CCTCTTCACCCCCACCGATCTCGCCTCCCTGACCACAATCTACGAGTCCACCAAGCCCTGGTTCGAGACCCAGCTTGAGTTGCAGGAGAAGCTCACCGAGTCTGACGACCCGGCTCTCACCGTCGTGGAGATCGACTCGCGCCTTCGTGAGTTCGAGCGCGTGTTGAACCGCATGTACGAGCGTATGACTGCCGCCGCTGGGCGCGAGGCCAAGAAGAACAGTGGCAAGCCGAATAAAAAGAAGACTCCCGAGGAGAAGGGCAAGGGTAAAGAAAAGGCCAAGGAGGAGAAAAGCAAGGCGAAGGAGGATACTAAGGACGAGCTGTGATGAATTCTGCTTTCGTCTCTCTAACTCTGCATCGTCTCCTGTTTAGCTTGCATTTTGGGTATTTTGTGCGCCTTATAAAGTACAAAGCATGATTTTCTTTTTCGTTACACCTTTTTCAAATCCCATGTACCCCATGTCCATGCCATCTTTGCAAAAATAGAGAAAATAATTGCAATGGAGTTTTGGGTTTGATCTTTCTTGCTTCTTAACATTACGACTGTCTACATTCAGACCGAGGATTACCGCATTGCTCCAACAATGCTCAATTACTTGCAACGTAGCGTGTCACCACTAGTATAAAAATCACCACTGGCGCAAGCACCGAGGCATTTCTTCTCGGTCTCACAATTCCATCCATGCGCGCCAACTTTGGCTATTATCACATTTAGTCACCCTTTGCCAGGGCATAATCACGGAAATAGGGGTCTACGTACGAACAACTTGGGCTCCACTGGCTGGCGATACTGGAACGGATGTAGCTCCTGGGAGTTGAGGCTGTGGAACAGCTAGAACAAGAGATACCATCCCAAGGACAGAGAGAAAAACAGTGGCTTTCGTGTTTGGCGGACGAGGTCTCCTGTGAGGGTCATTATTAGATCAAAGACAATTAAGGCCTGATAACGACTCACGGTGACTCGAAGACAGCTAGACGTTGATAGTGAGGAACAGCAGTTCAAGAATTCCAGATATGGGATACAGATGAGGGATATCACCGTCGAAGGGACTTCTCTTCATCGTTCAGATCTCAAATTTGAGTCTCATGCCAGGTACTGTACACAAAACAAAGCAAGGGGCCTGGCTCTCCACTACAAACGCAATTCCACGCGCTGATTGGTGGCCTCCTTCCTTTTTATTGACCGTAATTCTCAACCCCGAGAATAAGCAATAGCTCCCGTAGTCTATCTTGCACCAACAAACACTACGAGGATGGAGCAACGAAACAGCCTCTTTGCCCAAGCTTTAGGGCGCTTTGATGAAGCGACAGCGGTACAAGAACATGTTGTGCATGTAAGCATTGAGCTGCGAGGATCCAATCATCCTAGCACACTCACCGATCTGACCAAGCTAGGATGCACTTTTGGAGACAGGGACGGTTGGAGGAAGCAGAATCGCTGGAGCAGCTGGTTGTGTAAGCTTGCCGGCAAGTGCTGAGACCAGAATATCCCGATCCTGTGATTAGCATGAACAATCTTGCTTTTACTTACAAAGCATCTGGCAAAAGTCAAGAAGGGTTGCTGCTCATTGGTGAGCGTGTGGAGATCTTGGATAAGTCTTTGGGCCCTGACCATCCTCGAAACATTCATTCGACTGCCGCTCCTACCGAATGGCGCCAGGCGGATGCTACTAGATCAATTTGAGCGCATAAAACATCGATTCGGGGACTATGTACGGTAAAGAAGTGGTACTTTTAGTCATCGGCTCACACTTTTCAATGGATGTACAAGTACATATTCTCTGTAGAGCATATCCTGATGGGATGCCTTATTGCCTCTACGAAAGATCTGACTGAAGATAAATCGAATTTGCTCTCTTTGGAATACAATGACTATTCGAAAAATCAAATAGCTAGAAGAGACGAAAATACTTTCTATCAATCAGGCCTGGGCTAAGCAAGCAATTGTCTTATCTATTTCTCTGATACGGTGCAGGTACGGGAATCTGGATTCGATTCTCTAAGGGCCTCGTCGATGGGGAATGCTCTGGATATCCAAAGTTAGCTAGGCATGACAATGTGGTGGAGGACTAGCAATTCAAATGTATACATGTAGCAAAGCCCGAAACAAAAGAAGACTACAGAATCCATCACGATCATATCCTAGTCGACCGGTGTCGACTTGCCAATTACGGGGTTAGATCATCCCCCCTATGCGTTAGCTGGATCGTGTTAATTTGTGACCAGCTGAGTGTAGTCCTATTATGCGGGATTTGGCCACTATCCTCACCGCAAGCGACCATTTACTGGCTCAGGTGATCAGCAACTCTTGTGTTTTTAGAGGTGGAAGACAGGATATCGGCAGTTGAAAAACTCCACAAATCCCGTCCACAGCCATCGACCTTCCCCCCGGAATTCAAGTAGCTCCAATCTAGCCCCACGTCGCCCCCGCGACCCAAAGATAGACCCCCGCATTCTCATGCCCCAGAAGCCACAAGAAAGCTATGATACACCCTGGCCGGGTGTTGCGGCCCATGTATCCGCTCAAATCGGACATGGAACTTAACCAACTTGATGCTACATTTTTGAGAAAGGGGGGATTTATGACGAAATCCTCGGCAATTGCTTCTCCGCGTTTAGGCCCCCGTACTCCAACCAGAGACTGTCTGAGAAACAAGATTGAAACCTGATTGGGCCTAAAAAGCCGCCTGGCTCCCACATGCTGGCTGGATCGGTGTTGGCTCCGCGATGGGGCTTTCATATTCTCGATGATAAGCCTTGGTCCAGGTCGTCGTGGCAAGTTCCACCCTTCAACATTCCTGGCAAGGCCCGGTAGTTAGAAGGAGGACTTACATGCCGATTTGTACTATATCTTGCACTGGGATATCGCTTTCTCTGGCTGGTCGTAGTATTTTCATTCTTATAATCTCGAGGCAAATCCCCCAAGATGCATGGACTAACAGACCACGTTCTGCGCATCCTCACCCAGCACTGGATAGCAGTCTCTCTGGCAGCCCTGGTGTTGTGGCTAGTCAAGAATCGATATCATAACGGTCTCAACAAGTATCCAGGTCCACTATTGGCGTCCTTAACGGACTGGTGGCGCTTCTTGGATGTCTATGGTCGAAGGCCTGAAGTCACTCATCGTGCTCTCCACAAAAAATACGGCGATGTCGTTCGCCTCGGCCCAAATACTCTTTCTTTCTCGGACCCTCAAGCTCTCAAGTCGATATATGGCTTGAACAAAGGGTTTATCAAGGTATGGACATACTATCATGTTCCCGGGAATAGGGCCAAAGGCCATTGTTGACAGTCCGTGTAGTCTGAATTCTACGTTGTCCAGCAATCCATTGCTAGAGGCCACCGCTTGCAGTCCTTGTTCAGCTCTACAGACAACGATTTCCATGCGAGATTTCGCCGTTGCGTAAACTCGGCGTTCGCCATGTCTTCCTTGGTTCAATATGAGCCCTTCGTCGACAACACGACCAAACTGTTCCTGGAGCAAACCAGGAAATTTTATGTCGACAACCCTGAGGGTTGTGGTTTTACTCAGTGGCTACAGTTTTATGCCTTCGATGTCATTGGAGAGATCACTTACAGCAAGAGGCACGGGTTCGTGGAAAAGAACGAAGACATTGACGGTATTGTGTCATATCTGTCATGGCTATTCCTCTATGTCGCGCCAGTATGTCAATCTCCTCCGCCCCTGTCATGCTCATAATTAACATTTTTAAGATTGGACAACTACCCTTTCTAGACAGGCTTCTTCTCAAGAATCCAATTTATCTCAAACTCTCCCAATGGGGCTTCATCGATGCCACGTTCCCCGTGGCACGATTTGCTGGCAATCGCATGGCCGAGAGACTCCCCGAGCTATCCAAAGGAAAGTCCGCATCCGAACTCGGCATCAAGTCGCCAGACCTTCTCTCCAAGTTCTTGGCGGCACACGAGGCACATCCCGAATTCATGAGCCAGACTCTAGTCCAGACCATGGCTGTGAGCATGGCTTTTGCCGGTTCCGAGACTACGGCTATCAGTCTTTCCGCCGTATTCTACTTTTTGCTCAAGAATCCTGGTGCTTTGAGGCAACTTTTATCTGAAATTGATGAGGCTGCTCGCGCTGGAGCCTTTGAAGACTCCGAGACGGGACTAGTCACTTGGCACGAGAGCCAACGGCTTCCGTATCTGGATGCATGTATCAAGGAGGCTTTCCGGTTGCATCCAGCTGCAGGACTCCCCTTGGAACGTATCGTACCGGAGCAGGGCGCCGAAATTGCTGGCCATTTTGTGCCCGGTGGTACCATTGTTGGCTGCTCGGCCTGGCTGATTCATATGAACAAGGGCATATTTGGTGAAGATGCCGAGCTCTATCGTCCTGAACGTTGGCTTCCGGATGAAGAGATCAGTAAGACTGCGGCCGGCAAGGATTCCGAAGACCGTCGCATCAAAGAGATGAATGGTACCATGTTCCAGTTTGGTATGGGTAGTCGCACCTGCATTGGAAAGAATATCAGTTTGCTCGAGATCTACAAGCTCGTGCCTAGCATGTTACGACGGTTCGATGTGAGTTTCCCCCATGCTATTCGGAGATATGACATTCCTAACAGAGCATCGGACAGATCCAATTCCAAGATCCCGCTCAAGAATGGGAACTGATTAACGCGTGGTTCGTGAAACAAAAGAACTTTACGACGACATTCAAGCTTAGGGAGATTGTGAAACCAGAGGCCGAGCCGGTTCCCTCCACCCCTTGAGGTATTCTCTTTCTGTTGATCTTCCCTTTGAGCGGAAAAGCATAGCAATAAGCATGTAGAAATCTTCTATGTCTTTTCATATTATTAACATACCATCAACTCAATAGAAATATTCAGAGTTTCCGGGTGACCTTCACGAACTTTTATTGTAAACGCTGTTTGAGATACGCTGCGAGAAACTTGAGATTGATAGCACTGCAGATAGAACACCGAGAAACAAGAGACAGGTTACCGAATTCACGGGCTTCTTTGATAGTGGATCGTGTTACTTCAAGCTGCCCTTTGACATGATCTCGGACGGACTGTCCGTCGCACTGGGTAGCTCCGGTACCCGATACACATTATCCAACTCAACCGGCCGAGTTCCCCTCTCTCGCAGGTTCGTATACGGTCCACCATATGGTGTACCTGCAGCTGGCGGCATTCCTCGGCCTTTCAATGCCCGCCGCCTCTCAAATAGCGCCCATACTATTGAGAACAATGCGATCACGCCAAGTGGTACGCCTACCCCGGCACCAATCGCGGTTTCGTGACATGTGGTGCAAATACTCGCTGAGCCCGACGACGATGACGATGACGATGAAGACGAGGTTGAAGATGTGGCTGAGGACGAGACCGAAGCTGTCACTGATGGTGAAGACGCTGTTGCGATCGCGTCGAGTAGTGTAGAATTGGCCAGCAATGCACGACCGGGAATAGGCCAGCCTGAAGGGACTTCGAAACCGGAGGTAGGATTATTGGGACAGACGATCTTATCACCGTCAATGATTGGGGTGCCACAGCAGTAAATTGCGTTACCATTATAGAAACTCAGGTTAATGATCGAAGCTCCCATGCTTGGAGTGCTGGTGGCTAAAGACCGCCATGTCTGTCAGTTGCGCTATCTAACCCTCCCTCAACCTAGAACTCCAGGCGCATTGGTCGTGCACTCACAACAATAGCTCGAACATCCCGAGTTCCAGTCTGAATTGGTGCATGCTCCGCGAGATAACACATAGGGCTGATGCGCGACGTTCAAACAAAGCCCATTCGACAGGCAAATATCTTGTGACCCGCAACAGGTGGCACTTGTGTCGTCAGAACAAGGAACGTTCCCTTTGGCGATATTGCCTGAGGGGAAGTAACAATATCGATTGTCGGCGACCATTTCCGCAGGACTCTGGAAATGTTTTAGAGCTCTGGGTTGGGACAGCCGTTGCGGGTCTGGCCCTTCCCAGTGTTAAAGGACTCATTGCAGACACTGGCTGCTGAATGCGTCGAGTGATCACTAGTCCTGACCCCACTGGGGGCGGATTCGAGCTGACCCTGAAGTAATCGGTTGGGTGGACACGAGAGTGATGAGCCCACCTCAAAAGACATAATTGGCAGCGGCCACAATTAAAGCGTGGCCCCCAACATTCTGCAGCCCTCGGAGGCGCTATCTTAGTATCCAGCCTCGGTCTCACCGTTTTGAGCTTGGCCTCCGCTGACACTGCAGAAAGGCCTCTCATTGAGAGATTTAGTTGGTCCTGAGATTTGCGCCCTTTCACAAAGAAAGTATGTTCCTGACGAGCAGATAGACAGGGTCATTGCAAGGCTGCAGCATCGGACTGTCGCTGCGACCATCAATCCGTGTGTCCTGTCAGGGTTTGGATCGTCATGGTTTGGATCAACAGGGTTTGGATCAACATGGTACTAATTGCGGGCTCCACTTTGGTGCACCGAGATGGCTCGTGTGTGGTTTCCTCCCAGCCACTTAGATTATAGACAGTAATTGATATTGGGCTCGGCGATAGGCGTACACAAGGACAAGCTCAAATATTGTTTCGCACGTAACTGAACGGCGGGTGATCATTTCAACATAATAATACAAACAATGATGGAACAAGGCTGAGATAAAACTGGGTATAGGTACAAAGCAAAGATGACAAACGCAGGTGGTGATACAGGATTGATCGGGAAAAGGACAAGTGAGAAAGAAAGTAAAGACCAAACTCGGGACAGTGGCAAGTGTTGGCAAAGCAAATCAGGTCCTCTTCATGGGCCATCCAGTAGCAACCACTGAGGACCAAAGCAAGTGCGACGAATGAAAGCGTGCTAGGCACAATCCATTCGCATATAGTCCGAATCAACTTCCTCCCGTTGACGGAGGAAAGACGCTTCTTCAAAGTCATCTAGGTCCATCTTCGGCAGGTTGCTAGAATGCTGGGCAAGCACACGGCGCCTTGGAGACAGAATGATTCGTTCTCGAGGAGCATTCTGTCGGGTCTCATCCTCGTCAGCATATAAATCATCCTCGAAATCGAATGATCGTTTCTGACCATTCAGTCCGGAGGCATATGAGCCGGTTGATATGATGGATTCCTGACTGCTAGGGGGGAGGGAAAAGGCATCACCATCATCAGTGACGATTGAGTGTGGATCGTCGATGGATTTGGAGAGGCCAGAAAAGGGTGCGAGTTCCGCGTGACGAGTGTTGCCATAATAAGATTGAGCGAGATGGGATTGCGTTGCAACGACTGCAACTTTGGCTTTCTCGGCTTCCAGTGACAATTGAGTTTTATATCCATCTGCTACAGATTTGCGGACCCGCATTCCGACCGACAGTAGTGAGGCCTGCACCTTGGCTGGAACCACCGGGGTTGCAGAGAACGTCGAGGCGGAATAGTGGTTGTTTGAAACGGCGTGGCCATCAGCAGATTGAGACTCTGATGGAACCGAAGGGAAGAAATTTGTGATAGGTGTCTGGAAGCGACGTCGCTTGGAGAGTTTGCTATTAGAGGCAGACATGGTCGGGTTGGTGACGATCGAGGGCATGATGGAGAGAGAGTGGAGAGTGTAATGAGAACGGCAAAGCTGAGTGAACGAAGAACAAACAAGGAACGTATGACCCTAGGTAACTATGCAGCGAACACTTGAGGGGCAGATAAGATCCTGCAGGTATGGTTGAGGGGTAGAGGAATGGATATGGTACAGAACCGATAAGGATTGAGGTGATGCAAAATGATGCGGCTGGGAAACGCGACGCGGGGGACCTGGCGCGTTCTCCATTAAGCCTATTCTGGCTAGGGCTTAGGGCTACGTATGTCATCAGTCACGTGTCAATACTTGCTTCTAGAAGTTGGACATCTCGACCTTGGAAGCATCGAAAGATAGAAATTACAATCTATGGATATGAATTCTGCATGATATGCTTCTAGTGATGTTTTGAAAGATTGAGGCTACCACGTATTTGATCTAAATTACCAGCACCGCCAATTAACACCACGGTATTGACATTATCTCGGTACAAATGGTAATGAAGTAGGCAAAGTATATATTGTTATGATCCACTTAAAGAGCTTTCATTGTATGTACCCCAAACGTTATTGCCGCAGGCATTACGCATGGCATAACCCAATGATTCCAGTAGCTCTAACAATCACTAGCTAAGAGTCATTCGACATACATTCCACATTGTAGGTACCCAAGTTCAACTGCCTCCCAATACCCATTTGACCCGACTTACCATTGGCCGATGAATGAGAATGGATTCTTGAAACTGAAACCTTGATCTCAAGCAAAAAGCTATATAGGAATTAGGATATCGAAAGATGCAATGCAATGAATCAGATTTTGGGTCTCATATATAACTTGCGAACATCAAATGAAGTAAAAGCAAAATAAAACGCCAATTTTTCAACAGATCAATGGCCATTATCTACAATGCGATGCCCAGAGTAAGTGAGTCAAAGTTATCAACAACAGTGATGGACTTTCAATCAGTTTCCAGCATTACCACGCTTGCCGCCTCTCTTCTGTCGGTCGTGGTGGGCCTTCAGCACCGCCCGAGTCTCCACCAGGCTGCGCTTGTTCTTGCTCTTCGCCTTGCCGAGGGTCATGAGGAAGTTCTTGCGGCGGGCCTTCTCCTTGTTCGTGGTACTCTTGCCCTGCTCCTGCTTGCGTTCTCTCCGCCTGCCTTCCTTGCTCTTGTGCTCCTCGCGATCCGGCTTGCCCTCACGTGCATGGGCAATCCGTTCTTCACGCGTGGCCTTGCCAGCAGACAAAGATGCCAGACCCTCGATCTCTGCAGCAGTCAACGGGTCATCCGTGTGGCGGGCAGCAAGCTGAGCAGCCCCGCGGGACCTTGAGCCGTTAACAGCAGACTCGACAGATGCCTGAGCACGGAGCTCGGCAAGCTTCGCCAAGTCGGCAGGAGTCAAGATTCTCGTGGTGGCGAGGGTGGATAGCTTAGCCACTTGAGCCGCATCGTCCTTCTCCTTCTCCTGCTCCTTCTCCTTGGCCTCAGCGTCACCCTGCTTGGATTTCTTCGAAGGTCGGTTCTTGCCCTCATCTTCAGAATCGCTGAGTTCAATCTCAACATCGCTCTGGACATTAATCCATTCACCAGAGTCATCGCTGTCGTCATCATCCTCAACATTCCAAGCAGCCCAATCGTCTTCCTCGTCCTCGTCATCCTCGGCGTCAGAAGCCAGGCCCTTCTCCTCGCGTCTCTTGCGACGCTCCTCTTCCTTCCATTTCTCCAGCAGCTCGAGACCCTCGATTCCGCCAACCTCCTGTTGACCGAAACGTCTCTGCTCTTTGTCACCAGCGCGAAGGCTCATAGAGGCTTCCTTGCCGCGATCCCGCTTCTTAAGCATCTGGGCTCCAACATCACGGTAGAGACTGAGCAAGCCCTTGGAAGCCATGATCACACCCTTATCTTTGCTCTTCTTGTACATGACAAGGTCCTGGAGGAGGGTTTCGTTCATGGCCAGCGGCTGTCTCACACAGATCTCTCGGATGGCATTGAGACCAGCAGTGGCGACCTCTCCTGCAGATGCTTCTGAGACAAACTCGTTGGCAATCTTCTGAATGAGAGGTTCGAGAACATCTGGGGGCACCAGGTCGTGCGATGCCTGAGCCAATGAAGCCAAGAAGGAGGTGACTGAAGGCTGGCGGGGAGTAAGGAACTTCTGGAAGTAGGAGTAGAGCGACATGATATGAAGCTTGTGCAGGCCAACCAGGCGGGAGACCAACTGCAGAACAAAGAGTTTCTGCTCCAAGTTGAGTTTAGCTCTGCTGTTTTGCAAGTGCTTGGTGAATAGGCTGTCGGCGAATCCTTGCGGATCGTGGAGCAAGTGGAGAGCTGAGAAGTTGAGAGGGTGCGGCTGGTTCTTCTTCTTCTCTTTCTTCTTATGCGTAGCCATGGCCTTCTCCGCGACACGTGCCTTCTTCTTCGACTTTTTATTGATCTGCAGGGTATGACGAAGACGACCGATGTCGAGAGTCTCTTCGTCACTGCTCTCATCCTCCATCTCCTCGCGCTCTTTATCGCCACCAAGGAAGAAACGCACTCCACCAACGATCACCTTCGGGTTCTCCGAAAGCGCTGCCTCTTTCATAACCTCGACAGCCTTGGCGTCGGTCCAGATCTGGCGCTTCCACAGCTCTCGGGTAATTTTGATAGCCCACAAAGCCTTGGAAGATGTGCGATCAGAAGTGACCAAATTGAAGAGAACAGTCTGCATGGTTCGGTTCAACTTGTGGTTGGTGGTTTTCGAGTTAGCCTGGCGCAGCTCCGACAGGATCTTCTGGAACAGAAGAGCGCGAAGGGTTTTGCTGGGAGTGGTGATAAGAATCGGGAAGAGAGTGTGAAGTAGAGTAGCCGAATCCAGAAGGTCTTTCTTCTTGAGAAGCACGATGCTTCCAACGATTTTCTCACGTAGTTCAGGCTCCAAAACCAGGTGGTGCTGCATCAGCATGTCAATGAGCTGCTGTGGGAAATCCTTCAGAATCTCTGGGTAGCAATCGGCAACATGAGAAATGAAGTCGATCAGCTCTTTCAAAGAGATAATGCCAGTGTCCGTGGCCGCAGAGGGAGCCGCCATGAAAATTTCGCGATGCGACTCATATTGGTAGTGCTGCGCGCGGAAATCCTCGATATACGACCTGAACACAACGAGGCATGAATCAGCATTAATCCTATCTCATAGACTTGCATCAATCGAGAATTTGGGCCACTTACTTAGGATCCCTTCGAATCTTGTGCTGCAAGTTGGGCCTGCGGAGGACGGAAAACAGGTCAGTATTCGACTCCACAACATTGTTGCACCCAGGTGCACTGCCTTTCAAGGCACATGAAATACTCACAGATCGGCCTCGACCTTTTCCAAGGCCCCAAGCTTTCTTTTCACCATCGTGAAAGCCTCTGGTGTAGATGTAATCAGGCGGTGGAGGGAAAAAGGCTGGAGGTCAGTTGCGCTCCGAAACTTTTTTTCCGCCGTATCGATAAGCGACCCATTTTGGAGAACAAGCGCGGGTGCCTCCACCATAATCTAGTACAGGCTATTAGTCGCCCACCCTTGATTGAGAATGGGAAAATAGACCGCCAGGTCTGTTAAATTCCCAGACTATTGTTTTAAATTTGTTTTTTAAAATGAAAAGGTCCTTGAAGTGTCATCTGAAAGAACTCGTAGACTACTTTTGAATGCTACAGAAAATCCATAATCGCATGATGTGAACAGTAAAAAAATTTTGTTTTTTCACTTAAACTTGGCCATTACCACCCAAGGCCCTTGCGACCGCATCACAACTGCTGGAAACGAAGCTATCCGATTGTGTTCCCATTTTTGGATCCTGCTTCCTCCATGGCCGTCCCAATCCATGTACAGCCTTGCAGTTGTATGTCAATCATCCGAAACCCGGTGAAAAACACCCCGTTCACTCCAGTATCCATAAAACACATAGGACCAAACGGAGAATGCATCCAGTACACCCTTTACCGGTTAGACTTGGCAACACGCTCCAGCTCGTCCTTCTTCTTGATGGCGTAGGAGTTGCTGCTGCCCTTGGCGGCGTTGACGAGCTCCTCAGCTATAGGGATATGTTAGTAGGAATTCTCAACGAAAAACACAAGATCACCGGTGGGGATCTAGAAACGGTTGGATAGAACGAACCAAGGCACTCAGAGATGGACTTGACAGAGCGGAAAGAGCTCTCACGGGCGCCAATGGTGATCAGGGCAATGGCGGTGTTGACACGGCGGAGGGGAGAAACATCGACGGCCTGGCGACGGACAGTACCGGCGGAACCAATACGGGTGGAGTCCTCACGGGCACCGCAGTTGACGATGGCATCAACAGCGATCTGGATGGGGTTGGAGTCGGTGGTGATGTTGATCTAAATGGGGAAAAGTTAGATTCAGATCAGCAAGAATGCAAGTCCAGAGAATGTCAAAGCGGAGGATAAACGGTCGTCCGGCCATTCGCTTGTAGACATGTTCTCGGGATTGATTTGCATGCATAGACGGGGGAAACGAACGATCTCGAAAGCGTGGGCGACAATGCGGACGGCCATGGCCTTCTTTCCGTTGTTGCGGCCGTTCATCATGATCGAGTTGGTCAGGCGCTCAATGATGGGGCACTGGGCCTTGCGGAAACGCTTGGCGGCATAGCGACCGGCGGAGTGGGAGGTGTAGACCGGCTGGCGGATCTGGATGTAGTCGCTGTTGGCGAGCAAAGAGAGGTTAGCCATTTCGGATTCTCCGTGGTGAATTCGACATTTGGTTCCTTCCAGAAAAATTTGTCCCGGTGCGCGTAGACTTCCTCGCTGTCCTGTTCCTTCCCATCTCTTGCAGCGCAGCTCGCGCCCTGCGCGTAATCCTCCGGGACCAAATCCATCCAGAAAAACTCGTTGTCGGTCGATATGAGGTAGACTCACGTCAGGGAAATGTCGCGGATCTCGACATCCTCGTAGCTCCACTTGCCGAAGAGGAGGACGGGCTGGTTGTCGAGGTGAGCAATCTCCTTAGGCAGCTGAACGGCCTGAACTTCCCCGGAGTCGGACATCTTGATTGTCGAGGGGGGGGTGGTGGAAAGGATGACCGGGTTGTCGAGGGTGGTTGAACGATCAATCGGGATGGCTATCCACACAGGAATTTGGAGGTGCTCTCGCTTAGCGGTGTGTGGTGTGTGGGTGGAGTCACATGAGAAATTTTAGGGCAATCGCTCGGATGAGGTAAGCAATGCATAGTGGTCATGTGATAGAACACCCTCCTGCCTCAGGTGTCAAAAAAGGATCACGGACATTTCACTCGTTTATTGGCCGGCTTGGCATTTTCACATAGAAGTGCCACTTTTCTAATGGGTTTGATTACATCCCCGCTATTGGATTTTGCCATGTCTTAAGTCCTATGGTATCGTTACCGCGGCATCATTTGGATCAATACCCTTGTATTCTATTACGCAAGCACAATATGAGTACTTAGGTAGTCACCCTGTAGACACATACATAAGACCGATAAAACAGAGCGGACTGGGGGCCAGAGACACAATAGCCTACTTGGTACCTGAGAAAGCCACAGTTTCTATTGTGACCACAGCATGGTACACAACGTTTATAGCCCCCAATTCTTCTGTCGCAGCCATAGCAGTCATATTCTTAGACTCGCTAAAAGCCATCGTCTCCATAAATATAGCATCAATTGCCCGACTATACTTCTTCTTGGTCAGCCTTGTCTCACTTGTACATTCGGCTCGATCTGACCGCCTTTGGGTGGGTGACGTTGTGTCAAGCGCGGAGGTCCGACACTTGAGACTAGACAGCAATTCGCTGGTGGTTGGTCAACATTACCAGGGAACTCAACTACAATCAGCAGGGGTCTCTGCAAGTCACCCCTCTTCGTGTCCATTTGTTGCGCCTCGGGAATTTTCATGAGATGAGGCTTTGTTGACAGACTACTTCCCCATCCCTCCCCCGCGTGCTCGATCCACTTGCCTCGAATTGAGGCCCTTTTCGTATTATAATGGCGGAGGAGAATCCAGAGTTTCAGTCCGCTTTGCGGGAGCTGGACAGAGAGCTGGAGGTACGTTTTGCCTTCCGAAGATGACGGGGTCTGCTCGCGCTTACACAGGATTTTGTTCGATCAGGAGGGCGATATCACAGAGAAAGGGTAAGCAGTCGTACGGCAGTGACATGACGAGCATGAATAAGAGGGCACATTGATCGTCCACGGAATCAACCGAAACCTGCCGCACAAGAACGGCGCACTAACGTCAAGTACAGGTATCAAAAGCGACGTACCCTCCTGCTCTCCCAATTTCTCGGCCCTAACAAGCCACTTGAGATTGGCTCACATACGGCTGCAGGCTATGGAGGCCTTTCTGAAGGCGTCCATGCCACCCCACCAGCGATATTGAGCGTTCGACCGCCAACCGCCGAGTCTTCGCAGCCGACCATCGCTTCTCCAACCTATGCAGGCGGATACGATGCGATACCGAGTGGCGGAGGATTTGGATACAATCGTCGGGTCAGCGTGGACGCACAGAATCCGTCTCCGGCTCCAGCCGGATCTCGTGAGCGTGATAGCACGGGCATGTTACAAGCTCTTGATCGGATGCCTTCCTCGGCTTCATACGATTCGCTTTTCCTTCCCAAGCCTCCGGTTCCCGGTTCGCAAGGCCAAGATGGGTCGCGCACCGCGACCCTGATGAGCCAAAACTACGCCTTTAATCCCGAGTCACAAGCGGAATATGCTCAGCCCGACTACACCCAGCCAGAACACGTCCAGCCCGAGTACATTGATGATGGCATGGGGGGCTATGATCCAGCTTCAGGCGGGGTCACGCGACAGTCGACAATGTTGGATTCTCAGCAAGGTTACTTCTCGGACTTTGCCGGACAGCAGCACGATGATTACAGGGAAAGTTATGGTGGTGGCTTTCATCGCTACTCTCAATCGGGCGAGGCCTTCTCACCAACCGCAAACATGGCGCCGCCGTTCATACCTCCCTCCGAATTGCCTCACGGCCCGGCGATCGAGCATCTCCTACCCCTCGAGCCTCGAGATATTCCCTTTGCCGTGAATGATCCCCATGACAAGAACATCCCCATGTCAAATTTTGACAACATCCCGACTGTCCTTCGACACCGCGCGCGAGTCCACCCGAAACAGCCTGCGTACTGGGTGCTTGATCAGAAGGGCAAGGAAATCGCTTCAATCACATGGGACAAGTTGGCAAGCCGCGCAGAAAAGGTTGCGCAAGTTATTCGCGATAAGAGCAACCTGTACCGCGGAGATCGGGTGGCGCTGATCTATCGCGAGGCTGAAATTATCGAGTTCGCCGTGGCCCTCATGGGTTGTTTCATAGCAGGCGTGGTCGCTGTTCCAATTAATAGCCTGGATGACTACCAAAGCTTGAATCTGGTGCTCACATCAACACAAGCCCATCTAGCTTTGACTACGGAGAACAATCTGAAAGGTTTCCAGCGTGACATCACAGCACAGAAGCTCAATTGGCCTCGTGGAGTTGAATGGTGGAAAACCAATGAATTTGGTAGTTTTCACCCCAAGAAGAAGGATGACACACCCGCCCTTGTTGTTCCTGATCTAGCATTCATCGAGTTTGCGCGGGCTCCGACTGGGGATATGCGTGGCGTCGTGATGAGCCATCGAACCATCATGCACCAGATGGCTTGTCTGAGTGCCATCGTCTCAACTGTACCTACGGATTCTGGTACCAGGCAGTTTGCGGCCAAGGGGGAAACCATTATCAGCTACCTTGACCCAAGACAAGGTATTGGCATGATTCTGGGTGTTCTCTTGACTGTTTATGGCGGCCACACTACGGTCTGGCATGAGGACCGTGCGGTCGAGACTCCCGGTCTGTATGCTCATCTCATCTCAAAATATAGAGCGACTATCATGGCTGCGGATTACTCAGGCCTGAAGATCGCCGCATACAACTACCAACAGGATCCCATGTCCACCAGACACTTCAAAAAGAATTCGGAACCCAATTTCAGCAGCGTCAAACTTTGCCTCATTGACACAATCACTGTTGATTCGGAGTTTCACGAGATCCTGTCGGACAGATGGCTACGACCTATGAGAAACCCACGTGCCAGAGAGATCGTTTGTCCAATGCTTTGTCTACCTGAGCATGGTGGCATGGTCATCAGTGTACGCGACTGGCTTGGTGGTGAGGAACGAATGGGATGTGTCTTGACCCATGAACTGGACCCAGCAGGGCGAGACAAGAAGGAAGAAGACGAGAAACTCGAGAAGTCAGATACCAACACCGGCTTTGGTAGTAGTCTTCTGGGCGGTGGCGCTCGCGTCTCGGCACCAAAGGAGATCACAAAGAATGACCTTGGTGAGGTGCTTCTTGACAAGGAGGCTCTCAAAAGCAACGAAATCGTCGTGGTGGCTATGGGAGAGGATGCTCGTAGGTATGCTAGCACGATGCCGCATACTGTGCGAGTCGGTGCCTTTGGCTATCCTATACCCGATGCTACACTCGCTATCGTCGATCCCGAGACAAATCTCCTGTGCACACCAAATGTGGTTGGAGAAATTTGGGTGGATTCCCCGTCATTGTCGGGAGGCTTCTGGGCACTGCCCAAGCATACCGAGGCCATCTTCCATGCTCGGCCGTACAAGTTTGAAGATTCCAACCCTACCCCGGTTCTCGTCGAGCCTGAATTCCTGCGTACTGGTCTGCTGGGCTGTGTGATTGAAGGAAAAGTTTTCGTGCTGGGTTTGTATGAGGACAGACTACGCCAGAAGGTGGAATGGGTTGAGCATGGCCAGGAGACTTCTGAACACAGGTACTTCTTTGTTCAGCACTTGGTCGTCAGTCTCCTGAAGAAGGTCCCGAAGATCCACGACTGCACCGCATTCGACGTTTTTGTGAACGAAGAGCATCTGCCGGTCATTGTCTTGGAGTCGTATGCTGCTTCGACAGCACCTACAACGTCAGGCGGTCCGCCACGTCAGCTTGATTCTGTTCTACTTGACTCGCTTGCCGAGCGCTGCATGGAGGTTCTTTATCAGGAACACCATCTCCGAGTCTATTGTGTTTTGCTTACCGCTCCCAACTCTCTACCGCGTGTGACCAAGAACGGTAGAATGGAGATTGGCAACATGCTGTGCCGCAAGGACTTCGAAGCCGGTATGTTGCAGGCTGTGCACGTCAAGTTTGGCGTAGAGCGGTCCGTGATGAACTTGCCCGTTGGTGTCGACCCTGAGGGTGGTATCTGGTCACCCCTTGCTCTAGAATCTCGACAAGATGTGTTGGCCTACCAGGAGAAACAATATTCAGGTGTGGACTACCGGGATGTCGTCATGGACGATCGAACCTCTACTCCTCTCAACCAATTCAAGACGATTGTCGATGTTTTCCAGTGGCGGGTTTCACGCCAGGCCGAGGAGCTCGCTTATTGCTCCATCGACGGCCGTGGGAAAGAAGGCAAGGGCATTACCTGGAAGAAGTTTGATTTGAAGGTGTCTGCGGTTGCAACTTATCTCAAGAACAAGGTGAAGGTTCGACCTGGTGACCATCTAGTCTTGATGTACACCCATTCGGAAGAATACATCTATGCCGTTCACGCCTGCTTCTGCTTGGGTGTCATTGTCATTCCAGTGGCTCCCATTGACCAAAACCGTCTCTCCGAGGACGCTCCTGCATTCCTGCACGTGATTAACGACTTCAATGTCAAGGCCATCATTGTCAACACCGAGGTTGACCATGTCATGCGGCAGAAACTTGTCTCCCAACATATTAAGCAATCGGCACAGGTTCTTCGCATTGGTGTACCGGCTATCTACAACACCAGCAAGCCTTCAAAGCAATCGCACGGTTGTCGTGAGCTTGGCTACACTGTGAAGGATAGTTGGCTTCAGGGCAATCAGGCTGCCCTCGTTTGGACCTACTGGACTCCAGACCAACGACGCATTTCCGTACAAATCGGACATGATACAATCATGGGCATGTGCAAGGTGCAGAAGGAGACCTGCCAAATGACTAGCTCGCGTCCAGTTCTTGGTAGTGTGCGCAGCACTCTGGGGCTTGGATTCCTCCACACTTGCTTGATGGGTGTCTATGTCGGTGCTCCTACATACCTCGTCTCTCCCGTCGACTTTGCTCAGAACCCAATGACCTTGTTCGTGACACTTGCGCGGTATAAGATCAAGGATACCTATGCCACCAGTCAGATGTTGGACTATGCCATGACTACCATGGCCGGGAAGGGATTCCAGTTGCAAGAACTCAAGAACTTGATGATCTCTGCTGAAGGCCGACCTAGAGTCGATATCTACCAGAAGACGCGACTGCACTTTGCGTCAGCCGGCCTAGACCGTACCGCAATCAATGTTGTCTACTCGCACGTCCTCAATCCTATGATTGTCACGAGATCATACATGTGTATTGAGCCGATTGAGCTTCATCTGGATCTTCGCAGTCTTCGCCGCGGTCTTATCTATCCCGTGGATCCCGATGCAGATCCCAAGTCGTTGTTGGTACAAGATTCTGGAATGGTGCCTGTCAACACCCAGATTGCTATTGTCAACCCGGAGACCTGCACACTAGCTCACGTCGGCGAGTACGGTGAGATTTGGGTCCAATCAGATGCGTGTGCCCAAGGATTCTACAGGTCTACACAGGAGTTTGACGCAGAAAGAATGAATGGTCGCGTCGCAGACGGCGACCCCAACGTACCCTACGTTCGTACGGGAGATCTCGGTTTCTTGCACACCGTCACTCGGCCAATCGGGCCCGGTGGACAACCAGTTGAGATGCAGGTGCTTTTCGTTCTTGGAAGTATTGGCGAGACCTTTGAGGTTAATGGTCTGAATCATTTCCCCATGGACATTGAGAACTCGGTAGAGAGATGCCACCGCAACATCATGAACGGAGGATGGTGAGTTCACTTTCGTGTCTTGCTTTGCGTTCACCCTTGCTAACAACTTCTATCTATAGTGCCATCTTCCAAGCAGGCGGATTGATCGTGGTCGTAGTCGAGGTCACTCGCAAGTCTTTCCTGGCCTCTCTCGTTCCAGTCATTGTCGACACGATCCTGGGCGAACACCAGGTGGTCGCAGATATCGTTGCTTTCGTATCCCACGGCGACTTCCCGCGCTCGCGACTCGGTGAAAAGCAGCGCGGTAAGGTTCTGGCTTCTTGGGTGACGCGCAAGTTGCGTACGATTGCTCAATTCAGCATCCGCGATTTGGACGAAGATCATCCATTCAACCTGATGCAGAACCGTGCTAGCCGCAGCTCCAAGCCTGGAAGCACCATGGGCCACAGTCTCCGGCAGTCTAGTATCATTCCTGATGCCGACATGCCTGCCGTGCCTCGGTCTCCAGCCACTGCAGTCCCTGAGGACAGAGCTGTCACCCTGCAGGAATCTTACCGGGAGATGCCTCCTACAACTCTACCAGAGCTTGACACTCGCACTGAAAACTTTGTCTCCTCGACGCCAGTTCCTGCACCGACCTCTGCTGTGCCCCATATCCGTGAGCCACAGTCCGCAACGATTATGAACGAGGATGACGACCATTTCGATCATCACTTTGATGATCACAACTTCGACATGGTGGAACCCGCGCAGGAACCTGGTCCCCGTCCCGCCCGCGATTTCCGCTTCAGCTTCGACATGATCAATAGTCCCGTTGAGCAGCTACCGCACGATCCACTCCCGTCTGGAGCCGAATATCACCCGGCCAGGCAGAGTTCGCTCGCCAGTCAACATGCTGGATACCATGGAGACGGTGTAGAAATTGCAGCTCCTGGACATCAACAAAGACCACGCGCTGGAACTCAAGAGAGCGGCATAGTTGATGACTGGCCCCAGGAGGCTCTCATGTATCAATCCGCCCTGGGTGGAGAAGATGGTCAGCGAAAGCCTTCCGATACTGGCAGCCGCATCTGAAGTTCCGAGTCACGTCACGAATCATGAGTCACGAGTCTCCAAGGCAGCCCTGACTCTGTACATGGCATGGCATACTATATGCGAAAATTCCTAGAATAAAGAAACGAAAGCGCATAGCTTTGAGACTTATTAACGAAGCGATTGTTGTTTGGACTGCGTGGATTGATTTCTGTGGGTTATTTCTCCACCTTTTTTCTTTTGAACTCATTGTTTCTAGCATTTATTGTTATTTTTTTGTTCTCATCTCCCCCATACCTGACCCCATACCTGATTTGCACCATTGCCTGCTCTGTTATGTTCTGCATATGCGTTGGCTTCTTTTTGTACATAACAAGCACATACCCAACCACTTCGTATCTACCAAACCATATTTCCAGATCTAAGCACTGTAGTTTCCTCCACTGTATTTTTGGACGTCATCTCCGAATGAACCTTGACACCTGCATACCGGCAGAGTAATGCTGGTATTTCGCATACGAACGGGGGTCTATAAGAACCGAGTATTATTCTAAAGGAGGCTCCAGAAGAAGATATTGAAAAAGGTATTTGGTAAGTAGAAGAGCCTCATAACGTTGAATTAACCTAACCTCGTGTCATTTCATGCTTAATGATCGCAACATCATTAACGGAGTACAAAGCGAGCTCTAACATTTCCAACACTCAGGGCTTTAAACAGCGAGCAAAATCACTATTTATTCAAATTGAGCTTATATACTATTTATTATTTGCTCGCCAGCACCACAAAATGACAAGAAGCATCAAACTTTTTCAGCCGCTCATTACTGCTCAGCTTGCCGGGTCAGACCGTCAATGTTGACCTTGGCACTGAGACCGCCATTAGCAGTCGCTGTCTCGGGAGAAGCAGTCAGCTGCTCAAGAGCTTGGAGGTCCTCATTGGTAAGGGTATTGGAACGGATAGGGCGGAAGGGAGCGGGGGAGCCAGCGCGGGAGGTGAGGAACTAGATTAAATGGACAGGTTAGTTTGACCGTCATCAATATGGCTCAAGATTCATTTGATATAAAACTTACGGAGCTGGCGGCGCTGAGCAGAGCAATGAGGGAGGCCTGTACCACATCGGCGTGGATACCGACACCCCATACTTGATGCTTGCTGCCGGCGGCGGTACATTGGATGTACGTGGCGGCCTTGACTTCACGACCCAGACCACCCTCATTGCTTTGGCTAATAGAGTGCTCCTTGTAGTCGACAACGTCGAGGTCAATGCTCAGGGTAGACAGAGCAGCGGCAAGGGCGGAAATGGCACCGTTACCCGTGCCAGTGATAGCGTGCTGGACATGGTCGATCTCAATGATACCAGTGAAGCGACGCTTGAGGTTCGTAGTGCTCAGAGCCTTGCCAGGCTCAGGTGGCGCAGGGGACTGAGAACGATCGGTGGTGATGTTGTAGTCGATGAGGTTGAAACGAGGGTTTGACTTGAGGTGATAAGCCTCCTCGAAGAGGGTGACAAGCTCGGATGGGCGCAGCTCCCGGTTGACCCTCTCGGTCTCTTTTTGTACAACCTTGCTGAACTCGACCTGGAGACCGCGGGGGAGATCCAGCTCCAGGCTGCGCAGAATGATCCAGGCAGCTCCACCTTTGCCACTCTGGGAGTTGACACGGATGACGGCCTCGTAGTTTCGTCCAATATCCTTGGGGTCGAGGGGAAGGTAAGGCATCCTCCACTCATCATCATCCGTAGCACCGGCCTTCTCGCGAAGCGCGAAGCCCTTCTTGACAGCGTCTTGGTGACTTCCACTGAAGGCACTAGAAAGAGAAAGGAATGTCAGCATGTATTAATTAAGAATGTCGGACCTGGTTTACTAACCTCGTGACCAGAGCACCACCGTAAGGCCAGCGCTCGTTGACTGGAATCTTATTGCACTCTTCTACAAGCTTGATAACGGAGGGAATGTCGGAAAAGTCCACATTGGGTGAGACACCTTGCGTGTACAGGTTGAGAGCGAGAGTAACGAGATCGACATTACCCGTGCGCTCGCCGTTACCGAACAGAGTACCCTCAACACGCTGGGCACCGGCCATCTGAGCGAGCTCAGCGGCAGCAACAGCGCAACCGCGGTCGTTGTGGGGGTGGAGGGAGACAACAAACTTTTCGCGCTCAGTCATCGAGGTGCAGAAGTACTCAATCTGATCAGCGTAGACGTTGGGAGTAGACATTTCGACGGTAGCGGGCAGGTTGAAAATAATGGGGTTCTCAACAGTCGGCTCCCAAGCAGCCTTGACAGCCTCGCAAACCTCCACGGCGAAGTCAGGCTCGGTATCCGAGAAAGTCTCCGGTGAGAACTCAAACTGCCATTCTGTGCCGGCCATTGAGGGGTCATCCTTGGTGATTGAACGAGCATACTTGGCGCAGGCAACGGCCTTCTCCAGACTTTGCTTCTTGTCCATGTTGAACACGATCTGGCGGAAACAGGGGCTGGTAGCGAGGTAGATGTGCAGAATGGCCTTCTTGGCTCCCCTCAGGGAGTCGACAGTGCGACGGATAAGATCCTCACGGCAGGGAGCGAGAACCTGGAGCCAGACATCGTCGGGGGTGAGACCGGGCTCTTCAACGAGGCGGCGAGTAAAGTCGAAGTCGATTTGAGATGCTGAGGGGAAAGAGACTTCGATTTCCTTGTAGCCGAGTTCCACGAGCTTCTTGAAGAAGCGGTACTTTTGCTCGCCGTCCATTGGATCGGGCAGAGACTGGTTTCCATCACGCAGATCCGTAGCAAGCCATCTTGGTGCGGAGGTGATTTGCTTGTCGGGCCAAGTCCTGTTGGGGAGGTTCAGCGGCTTGTATGGCTTGTACTTTTTTGAAGGATCTTTGAGCCTAGAACACGAGATTGAAAATTAGCATTGAGTTTCTCGGTTATGCCATTTTCAGGGGATATGCAGCCTGAAGAGCGGTCGCGAAAAGGACGTACATCGGCATGTTGGCGGTTGGCGGGGTATACAGTGGGGGAGAAAGATGATAAGAGGCGATAAAAGAGAAGAAGAGGAGAGCGGCTACCAGACGAGGTGCAGTCCGGTCGAACAAAGATGACACAGTTGGCACACAGGAATTGAGGTATGAAGTCCCTTTTAAAATCAGAGAACAGCGAGACCAATGAAGAAAAGGGAATTTGTGACTCAATGGAGAGGGCGCGATCGTCGATGACGCCGAGTTTTTCGGCGCCGACAGCGGAGTCACGTGATACACGCCCTTCGGCGAGGGCCTGCAAATTAGTGGCGATCGACAGTTAACTTTGGAATGTATAGACTAACGAATCAGACTAATTTTACTTTTTTTCTAAGCTTCTTAGCCTTCCCATGTCCGCCTTCTTGAGGTGCGGGCTGTAGCGAGCATACTTGCCATTATACTGCTCGTTAGCTACAAGAACGGTCACCCCGAACTCGGAGCACTTTGTGGCCTGAGGCGAGCACTGTTGGCCGAGGCTAACCGCGCAAGATAGGCCCATAGTGGATTCGATAGCAAGGGCTGATTTCGCGCAGAAGAATGGGATACACACTGAGTTGTTATACATAGTTGAAAATCTCGTGAAGGATCTGGTGTATATGGTACAAAGATACAGAAGCGCTGAAAGGCCGGGATCATAGGAAGTTTCTCTCAAACTGCACCAGCAGTGGATGCACTTCATCCAGCTTGAGTTTCACCGCACGAGGGTTCTTCAGCGCGTCCCCTCCCAGGTGAGACTTGATCAGTGACTGGAATTGCTGGGCTTCGGGGTCGGTCTTGCTCTGCATCTGCCCGGTGACATCCAGGGTGATGCCACCTTCAGCGACATCGCGCGAGCCAAGGATAAAGATCATGTTGTACTTCATCTGCTTGGCTCGCTGGATCTTCTTGCTGAGAGTCTGTGCAGTGGTGTCGACATCGATCAGGAATGTGGTATCAACCGAGGAAAGAGGGCGCGGTGGTACAGCAGTTCCCTCGCTTTGGAGAACCTTGAACCCGGAGAACTGAGCCGCAGCTTCCTGTGCCTGGCGAACCACGGCTTCATCCTGGTTGACTGTCAAGATGATGCCCTGGCGAGGTGACAGCCAGAACGGCCAATGGCCACCGTGATGTTCGATGAGCAAGGCCAGGAACCTTTCGAGGGAGCCAAAGATGGCGCGATGCACGAGAACGGGAGTAGCGAATCCAGGTGTCGCCGGGTTATAATCCTCCTCCCCCTCTGCAACCTGATACTCCAGTCCAAACCGCTGGGGAAGGTTCATGTCTAGCTGAATAGTAGACAGTTGATGATACTTGCCCGCCTGATCCTGGAGCTGGATATCAATCTTCGGCCCGTAGAATGCACCGTCACCCTCATTCAACGCCCATTCACGCCCGGTACTATTTAATGCCTCGCGCAATTGGCTTTCTGCATTCTCCCACATCTCCAGGGTCCCAATATAATCCGTCTCCGGTCGCGTAGACAGTACCAGTCGGTATGGGCCCAGGCCGAACGTGTTCATAGCCATATCCATGAATCCCAGTGCGGACGCAATCTCCGACTTGATCTGCGATGGTCGGCAGAAAATGTGGCCATCGTCCTGGTGGAAGCGTCGCACACGCGTGAGACCCGTCAACGAGCCCGAGATTTCATTCCGGTGCAGCGGGCTGAAATCTGTATAGCGCACCGGGAGCTCGCGGTAGGAGTGGTTCTGCGACTTGAAAAGCAGGCAATGGCCAGGGCAGTTCATGGGCTTGAGGCCGTACGACTCATCCTCACCGAGTTCACCCTCCGTCTCACCAGTCGCACCGCGACCGGTCACCTCGTACATATCATCCTTGTAGTTTTGCCAGTGGCCGGAGACCTCCCATAGGGAGCGCTTGTAGATGGTCGGAGTCAGAACTTCGCGGAAGCCGTATTGCAAGTACTGCGTGCGGAGGAACGAGATGAGCTTGTTGATGACGTGTGTACCGTTTGGTAGGAACAGAGGCGAGCCGGGGCTATAGGTAGACGAGGTGAAGAGCTCCTGGCTCGTGCCCAGCGCTCGATGGTCATTTGGTGGAATTGAGGGAGCTTGAGCGTTGGGACGGCCGTTGGCAGCGTCAGCGCAGGAACATTGACGGAATGCGGTGGTTGACAGCCATTGTGATCTTGCAGAGGGCCATCGTGCCAGTTGATTAACCACTGGCCTCGAAATGAGACGTGGCCGTAGCCGAGAGACTGCGCGCATGGTTGCGTTGCGGAGGTCATTCTTCTTTTCTCCGCGGTCCGTCGATCCGGACTTTCTACGGCTGCAATTAGCGGTCATCGCGCAACTATTGGTCTAGCCCAGCGAACCTACTAATTACAGGTAGCGTCTAGGTTATATTCACAGACTATATGGAACCCAAGAGTATGTCATTAAAAACTAGTTTAACTTAGCTTACATAGCTATATCCAGGTATTTCCTTAATAGTCATTTAATCTCTGTGACTGACCCTTGACGGCGGGTAATTTGTAGAACCTGCTTGAGTAGAAATATATAGATCTAATAGACCTAATAGGTCGATCCATAGACGATGGCAAGCGTATACAAGGCAATGTGAAACCACTTTCTATCCTAAATCAAGTCTACTGAAATCCATCAATATGCCTATCTTGCAGTAGTAAGTGTTCTGTTTATCTCTGCAAAAGCGTGCCGACGAGTCTCGACTGCCCCACCGCTTTGCGCGTGAAACCGTCGCGCTTCGCTCCAACACTCCCTTGGGCCGTTACATGATCGCTAGCGTTTTCGCAATCGGCGAGACAGTCCTGCTACTACGAGGTTTATGAAGTGTACTCGTGTCAGCTGACCACTGAGACCTTTCGACCATCTATCCACCCGAAGCGCCCTGCTATCCATCGCGACATGTGTTTAGCGCCATGTCAACAGAGCCACCACGTACTCCAGACCGCTCGGTGTTAGGAGATTCCTGGGTTGTCGCATCGACAACGTCGATCAAGGATCACATCTGCAGCTCGACACCCAGCAATGATCCTGCAAGTCCTACGCCAGTGCCCAGGAGACAAAAGCAAGACGATACCGTCAAGCCGGCAAACAACATCGCGAACCCAAAGCCGAACCGGGACCAAAGCCAAAACCGGGATCAGACAAAGCTATCAGAGTCGCTGACTTCGTCTACCTCATCATGGAGTATGTCAGGCCCGGAGCTCGTCATGCCATCCATCTACGAGGTACCCATATCAGAGGCATCATGGGTTGCGCCGCATATGCGATCCGCAGAACCAAGGTCCTCGCACATGAGGAAGCGCCGCAAGATCACACCGAGTGGACAGCAGAAACAGCGGTCCAACTCCGCACCTGAAGCATCAGACGCAGGCTCGTCAACTTCAGGCCATATAACCAGGAAACCAAGTGCGTTCGCAAAGCTCTCATCCCTATGCCACGAGCAACGCACGCTACTCCGCACAGCGATCAACGCCCTCCTCATCGCCCTAATCATGCACCTCCTCATCCTCCCCGAACTCGTCTACCAAGCTCAAGACCTCTGCACCCTCCCAACAATCCAATCTATCTACCCAGCCAGCTGCATCCCTCTTCATCCGCGAGCCCTCCCCTCCAACCCCTTCCACTCTACCAGCATCCCCATCTCCCCAGAGGAAACCATCATCGCCGCGCAAACTACCCTCCAGGATATCTTCACCACCACCCTATCAACCCTCACCCCACTCGCATATACTCTGAAAGGCAGCGAATCCACCCTCTCCACCCTCCAAACAAACCTGCACACCAGTCTCCCCGACGCCCGCAACGCGCTAGCCCTCGAATTCCAAGGCAGTGACGCCGCCCTGCGCGCTGCAGCGTGGGAATTCGACTCGCTGCGCGCCGACCTGCGCTCTGCCGTCGACAGCCTCCTCGCGTCCCCGCTAGCCTTGGAGTCCGGGGGCTCAGCCTCGATCGCGCGGGATACCAGACTCGCAGCCCAACTGCGCCGCCGCGCAGAGTATCTCGATCGCCTGCGGGCGCAGTTGCGGAATAAAGCCGAGTCGCTGGGCGGCCGGTTCGCCACGCTAGACGACCATCTCGAAGCCATCGACGTGATCGTATCCCGGGAAGCGCGACGGGCGGCGCGTGCACACGGTGATGGCAGCCATGTAGATGCAGCCGGTCAACGCGGCGAGGGTCTGCTGCTTTCTCTATCCAGCTATGCCGGGTTCAGCGCGCGGCTGTTCGGTGCCGGGTTGGGCGCGCACCCGAGCTTGGACTCGGATTCGCGCGATCCATCAACGGAACACTCGGCTGCGGCTTTGTCTGGCGCGGACTCGCGGCAGCCTGCGAGCGCCCTTGCATTACTGCGGCTTGCAGCGACACAGCATCGTGCCGTGGCAGACGAGGTTGCTCGGCTGGCGAGGGCTCTGCGGGATGAACAGCGCGCTCGATTGGATCCCACTTGGTGAAGTGGATTTATCACTTGGCGAACCGTCAACCGTGAGTGGGTTCATCATGGGGGGTTTTTTGGTGCCCACGCGAGAGTTTGGCGGCTTGTCGATAGAGTGCTTTAGTGTGTGGATACTCTACCGATACGGGGAGCTCCATTTGCCATTTGGGGAGAGGCTTGATCCGAGATTTGATAGCGTCATTGAAAATCTCGATTTGATTGTTGATTTCAGGGAAGAAGGTTTTGGAGAATGGAAAGATATTCTTTTTGGAAATATTTTGGAGTCTTAAGGGGGTTTGATTTTATTGGGGAGCTGGTGCTGGTGCTGGTGCTGGTGCTTTGTTCTTTCGGGAGGCGTTCAGAAGTGTGGTGTTTGGGGCTGAATACGAGGGTATGACTTTACGACGAGAGCCATGAAAATTGAATACGATACAGTAGCGACCAGTATTGCATTCCATATTGAAAACATTGATTAAACATTTTGAAACCATAATAATCACATGACAGGCTAAGCCTTATATAGATATTTCCGTAATGAATATTTTGTTTCAATTTTGCATGGCAACATTGATGAAAGTACATATACTCATGTACCGTTACATGTCGGAAAATGGCCACGTCCCAGGAGCCACCATTGTAGATTACGTATCAGTCAATCAATATAACTATTATTTAATTGGTCCGGAGGCTTATGCATGCATTGGCGTATACACCGGGTTCCAGCTCAGCACTAGGTTACCCAAAAAGTGCTGACTAATTTTGGGTATTGCTGAGGTACCAGACTCAGGGCTCAAAATCACATTATATTGTTCAATACAACAACCTTTTCTAAGGATTTTGTATTTGAAATACAGTGATATCCTATATAATCATGATAATTACAGACAAGAGTAGTTTTTATAACTTATTAAGACGTAGAAAATTTTTGGGTAGTGCTGAGCTGGGTGCCCCGTATACACGCTAAGTGCGGTGTAACGCACACACATACTCCGTATATGTTGACAGTTGCTTACATTAAGTAAAAGTACCACGCTGACTGCCTCGGCGTCCGGTCCGTGTTCTGCTAGGCCAGACGTTGGCACGGGTGAGACCACCTTGGTGGCTGGGGACTGGGCGCCTTAAGCAGAGTTCTGCTTATATAGGGACGGTGGAGTTGGCTGACACCCTGCCTCTCTTCTGTAATAACAAACCGATGCCTACCTATGCACCTACCAAAGTACTCACTTCAACAAATGCCAATTTAAGGACTGTTAAAGTGGAGCGAAAACCAAGCGATTAGGTCCAGTAATGACAATGGAAACGCAAATAGCTGACCTGGCCATAGTTGGTGCGGGTAAATTCGCCCCTCTCATATCTTTAGACTCTTTTACCCTATATGTTCATCAGGAGCTTCTGCAGCTAACCACAATTGAAAATTTTGATCGCGACAGGCTGGCACGGTCTCGCGGCCGCCAAATCAGCACTCGCGCTCGATCCCAGTGTCAATCTGGTGGTTCTGGACTCCGCCGCATCAGTGGGGGGTGTCTGGGCAGAGGAACGCTTATATGCGGAACTCAGAACGAATAACCTACTGGGATCATATGAATATGGTGACTTTCCTATGAGGGACAACATTCCCGGTTTAGTTAAACCCGGTGAGCATATGTCAGGCAGAGCGATGCATGAATATCTGAAAGCGTACGCTGCCCACTTCGGGATCCTCGACAAAATCAAGTTGAATTGCAAGGTTGACAGCGTGAAATACTGCGAGGGAGATGATGGATGGGGAAAAGAGTGGTTCATTAAATGCACAACAACAACAGAACCAGGACACGAGAAGAGCAATACTATCCGGACGCGGAAACTGATACTCGCTACGGGCCTTACCTCGCAGCCGCGTATTCCTACATTCTCTGGACAGCAATCTTTCGGCGCGCCATTGTTCCACGCAAAACAATTTGCCCTTTACCAAGACACCCTCTTCGCTAAACCCAGCAATGACAATGACAATACAGGCGGCCAACACGAAGGCGCCCGTGACGACCACACACCAATAACGGTACTCGGCGGAAGCAAATCCGCGTGGGACACCGTCTACGCCTGCGCATCAAAGGGACACCGCGTCAACTGGGTCATTAGAGCCTCTGGGACTGGGCCCGCGTGGGTGAGCCCGGCCGCTGTTTTCTCGCCCTTCAACCTCCTCCTCGAAAGCCTCCCTCTCGTGCGTGCCTTGGGCTGGTTCAGCCCCTGCATCTGGGTGAGCCACCCGATACGCAACTTTTTACACGGGACATGGCTTGGCTGTATCATTGTGCGTCTGTTCTGGGCCTGTTTGGAGTGGGATATGGTTCGGGTCAATCGATACAGCGATCATGAGGAGACCGCGAAGCTGAGACCCTGGTTTAAGCCTATCTGCATGGGGACCGCGGTGAGTATAATCAATTTCCCGGGTGATTTCTTTAGATTGATCCGGCAGGGACTGGTCAAGGTGCATATTGCCGATGTTGAGCGGCTGGAGCCTTATCAGGTCGTTCTGTCCAACGGCGGCGACAGGCTAGACACGAGGGCACTTATCCTGTGCACAGGCTGGAAAGTATCTCCGGGCATTCGGTTCTTGCCGGATGGAACCGAACAAGAGATGGGCTTCCCGTGGGCTGCGGACCCAATTGATCAGGAGCTCATTAGGCAGGCTCGCAAAGACATATATACGCGTCTGCCCATACTCCACACCGGCCCAGCGAACAGGACCTACCACACGAAGGATGCGGAGGGTCAAAATGAACCCGTTCTGCACCCCTTCCGTCTCGCGCGCTTCATTGTCCCACCAGGACTATGGGACGACCATAGCATCGCCTTCCTAGGGACCGTAACCACTTTCAACACATCCTTTATTGCCGAAGTGCAAGCCCTGTGGGCGCTAGTCTATCTTAACCACGGCTCTGAGCTTCACCATCATCATCATCATCATCAAGACAAGGAGTCAATAGTTAGCGAGACAGCACTACACACAGAGTTCTGTGCGCTACGCTCCCCGGCGGGCCATGGGGTGCGCACTGCCGACTTTGTCTTTGAGGCCATGCCGTATTTGGATCTCTTACTTGGGGATTTGGGCTTGAGGACTGCGAGGAAGGGGTCGTGGTGGGAAGATTTGTTTGTTCCGCATCGGCCGAGGGATTATGCGGGGTTGGTGGAGGAGTGGAAGGCGCGACGATCTTCATCCCAGGAGGGGCGGAAGATAAAGGATACTTAGCGCTATAGAGAAGACTCTGTACGGGGTGGCCCCGCGTTACTGTTCATGGTAAATACTTTGATAGGGTTTCATTTATAGATGTTAGCACGAGGGGATCTAAATGACCTTAGCCACTAGGCAGACGGCATGAATCTAAGATTACATATCACATTGATAATGTTGAACTCCGTTGACCATCTTCCCTCGATCAGCTTTCTCGCTAGCCTTGTCTATGATTTCGAACATCCAGCAACGCACTTGGGTTGGAACTTCCGAACATGGCGTAACATACCGTAAGGCAAGAAAAGCATATGACAGAGCCGATTGGGAAAAGATCAGGAGGGGAGGTGCGGACACTCTTAAGACTATGAAAAACCCTGACCTGATAGAGGCGCTTCATGCTACGGTAGAAAGGCTTATATAAGAGATTGCAAGAGCGATCGGCCGTCAGACTTCGGGCCTGCAGTTTTCTCTCTCTGCAAAGCGGTGGTCCAACCGCGGATTTGAACTGTCCACAAAAAGAGCTATTGGTCATGGCGAATACGTCCAAAGGAGGGGTAAGCTAGAGCTATACAACGTAAGGGGTTAGCCAGATATGCCTAACGCCCAATGAAAACTGGAAGCCGCCACATGGCGATAAGCAATGATAATCACGAAACAAAGCTGTCAAGCCTTGCCTACTATACCAACTCAACTAGAGATGGACACTCAAGGCAGCGTCAACCTCTGCAGTGAAGCAACTGAGAGGGAGGAGGGGGGAATGACAGATTGCTAACGGTCGCTGGTTTGTTTAATTTGCATAAAGCCTGCTAGTCATCCATGCTTCCAGGAACTTGTGTCGATATACTGTAGCCGGGGTACAAGATCAGGTACTATCACAATGTATATTCATAACTCGTAATTTACGCGATTCCGCATCAGGTTACTCAGACCACGTGATTAGGGTTTGAAAGAGCAACACTCTGTTTCCAGATATGGAAGGCAACAACGGGCGGCACTGTACTCATTGAATTGAACAATACACGTAAATTCTATCTTTCTCTTCCTGGCTCGGATTCCATCATGATCATAACTCATTATCGTCATGTTTCTATGAATAACTCGTCCCAATTCTTAACCCAAAGCTCCGAACCAAAGGTCAATCCAAGATACAGCAATCCCGTCCAATCACGCCGGACCCTTCCAACACTTACCCATGGTAGACAATCCAGTCTGGGCACACCAATGACAACATAACTTTTCTCAATGTAAATAGGCTGGAAACCAAGAAAGTCAATGGAAGGGAACGGCTTCGGCCGTAAGTTGCAGTTTTGGGGGAACAAATGGATGACAGGTACTTGTTACTCGGTCGACATGCCACGTTAGTACATTGCATTGATTAGTCTCGTTCGCATGTTGGAATCGGGTCCGGGATGGACCCGACCCGATTTAAATACTACAAGTCTATATTATCACTGGATGTGCTCCGTGCGTCCATTCCATGGTCGAAGAACCAGGCAACACAATACACCACCACAGGAAACTCGGTCCCAGAGGTTGAACCCACCATGCAGTCATCAACACACAACCTTACGATAGACCAGAAGAATGATAAATTCGGTGACGGCAGGCGATCGTCACTCGGGTACTGTGGTCTAGAGCGCTTCGATTCGTATTACGGGATTGACGGCTGCATGTACTGTACATATGTGCAAAGTATGTATCAAGTACCGCGTGCAGGAGATACGATGCGGATGCATGTCGAAAGACCTGGTGTATCTGCATGAAAACCAAAGAAGCAAATCTATCGTTGTGGGGTAATTCAACCTTGCGTCGAGCTTCTTAGGTCTAGAGCTCTAGACCAGTGGTGCAAGCTTGCTGGAAGATACGGCCTACAGATTGAATCGATATATATTGCGGGAGAAAAGAATATGACGAGTCTCAAAGGGAGACATATTAATCTAGTGGTAATAGTTATAAATGATGATCGTGAAAGATCCATAGATACATGTCAGAGCAGGATGAGGAACAGGGCGAAAAAAAGATACATCACGGGCAAATGGGGAATAGTAACCAAATGGAAACGTAAAAACAAAAACGAGCATTCCTCATGTCCAAAAACCCGGTTCCAGCCCAGTATGCTTCATATGTGAGAGGGTAAAACGTTATTAGGTGGGGTGTGCATAAAGTCGAGTAAACGTCAAAAGGGTCAAAGGCGAGCGTAATTTGAGGTTCGTGGGTTGTTTTTTACAGCTGGAGGAAAGCAGTTACCAGGCCCAGGAGGGAGATTGGAGCCAGGTAGTTGGCAACCACGTTGGCAGCTGCGTTGAAGGTGGCGGTCGCCTGGGGAGCAGTGCTGGAGGCTGAGCCGGAGCTGGAGCCGGAGCCGGAGCCGGAGCCGGAGCTCGAGCTCGAGCCAGAACCCGAGGTGGTACCAGAGCCAGAGCTAGTGCTGGAAGAACCGGACGAGGTGGACGAACCAGAGGAAGTAGTAGAAGAGCCAGTGCCCGAGGTAGAGCCAGAGCCGGAGGTGGTGGCATCAGTCGAGGAGGCAGTAGTCGACCCAGCAGTGGTAGTCTTGGCCGAGGTCAAGGTCTGAGTGGTGGTAGCCAAGGTAGTGTGAGCAGTGGTGGAGCTCTCGGTGGACGACTGGGAGCTGGAGGTGGAGGTGCTCGAGGTGGTGGAGCTCAAGGCGGAGGAGCTGGAGGCCTGGTTCAGAGAACCGGCACCGCTGAGCTTGATGCTGCCGGAGGAACCGGAGGTGTCGCTGTAGGTGTACGAGTCGGCCGGGTTGGTGTTGGTGATCTGCACCGACTTGACGTACATGGAGAAGGGAGCCTGGGAGTAGTCGGTCTGACCGCCAGCCCACTCAATGGTACCCTTTCCGTTGGAAGGATCACCGCCAGCCCAGATACCGATGCGCACACGCATGGGGGTCTGAGGGTAGCGAGCACCGCCCTGCGCATCGGCGTAGTTCAGAGTGCGGACGGGGGTGCCGTCGATAGACCACACGGTCTTGTCCTTCTGCCAGTTCACCGTGTAGGTGTGGAAAGTAGACTGGGGGTTGGCGACGGCGGGCCAAGTGTCGCGATCATAAGTGGAGGTATCACCCTTGCCAAAGTAGTTGGTCTCAATCTGGGCAGTGTTTCCACCGAGAGCCTCCTAGAAGAATTGTTAGAGATCGGACAGAAACAGGGGGGAAGGACCTCAATGCTTACCCAGTCAATCTCGTCCAGGTCATCGGACTCGAAGACAATGGAGCTCACGATACCAGTGCCGGGAGCAGCCTGCATGGTGACCGAGATCTCACCGTAGAAGATGTAGAAGTCGGTCTCGATAGTCGGGGCATCACCCTTCTTGTTGATCGTGAAGACGGCGCCATTGGAGCCGGTGCTGACGGAGCCGGCAGTGGTCTTCCACTGGCTCAGGCCGGAGCTCTGGGTAAAGTCAAAGTTCAGGCTCGACTTGGTGCTACCAGCATCGGCAGGGCACGTCTTTTCCAGCGGGTTGCAGTCGGTGTAAGTCTGAGCCGAGGCAAAGGGAGCAGCCGCAGCCAGCGCCACGGCGGCGTACTTGAAGAGAGACGGCATCATGGAAAGTTGTGTATATGCGTCACGAGAGAGGGGACGTGAGAAGCAGAAGAAGGATGAAGAGGAGAATTGAGGCTGGAAACGACTGTCGAAGAAGGGGGGGGGGGGGGAAGAGCGATAGTTATAAATGCACGCAGGCAGACAGTAGCGAGTGGAGCTGGAAAGTGGTCCAAGTGGTTCCCAAAGTGGTCCCTCACAAAGTGGAGTCTTTCAGTCAATAGATCGGTCAGAGACGGTATACTAAAAAAGCGAGTCGCGAGAGAAGTGCCCTGGAAAGAAATTAAGCTCCATGGTTACGAGGGCGATAGCTCTTTTTGTACTCCGCCGCAGCCACCGTTTCCCATGAACGGGCTTACCCTCTCGGTCCTGGACTCCTGGACTTGGGATGATCCGGGACAGACGGAATATACACGGTAGCATCCAGTTAGTCTCGTAAATCTATCCTTGACTCACGCTAGCTGACCGGCCACCAGGCACCAAACCCAAAAAGAAATAATCGAGGAGGCTGACAATGAGGAGGAGGAGCCGTGTGTGTACATGGGCCCCTCCCGGGAGGTCAGGACAAGCGGGCCGACAATGCTGATTGGACCTTCTCGTGGCAAGGACACCCGCCGGGGATCGTGGTGGAGCCTCCGCATGAGCTGCTGGGGAAACCCTCACTGGCGCAGTCATCGCGAGGGTGAGACACCGCTCTATCAGGACAGAATTAGCCATGGAGGATGCGACTGGTCTCTCTCTCTCTCTCTCTCTCGAAGGCTCACGCCCTGTGTTGTTTCATCCTCAACTCCTAGTGTAGTATTCCTCCTGTACGGAGGACTACTCCGTATAGTATGTATTTAGTTTTCCCGTTCTCCTCGCAACCGATCGGCCGATCATCCCGGACGATCATGTAACAGCAATTCCGGCGTAAACGCCAAAGTCAAAGTACTGCAATCATACCCCCATATGAAAGGGCACTCTTCACGGTAGCCCCGGCCCCAGCCCCGGCTTTTTTTTTTTTTTTTGCTCCATTTGCCATCCTGCCGCCCCTCGGGCTGACGCACGAGGGTACTGTGTGGCAGCACGCAATCAGATACTCCGTACTCCGTACAAAATCAGATCATATAGGCAAAAAGCGGACGCGAGTCAGACCAAGTCACCAGGCCACCCACTATTGTGCTGCCATCGCAAAGGCAACCCATACCGTACTAAAAAAAAAATACTAACGATACCAAGGCAAACTAAGTCTACCAAGCGAGACGAAGTAAGCGAGCCCAATACGAAGGGAGGACCCGATCTGAGACACTTGGATAAGAAAGGAAAAACCGGGGCAATTTACAATACGACAATACAACAAAACACAATACAACAACTGACACTTGGATACAGTAGAACAACACCATACTGTATAGTAGTAAGTAGGGTCATTTTAGATGATGCTCTCTACCTAAGCACCTCGGTAGCCTCCAGTACGGAGAGGAGAACCGATCTTCATCTTCTGCTCATCGTTGCCCGGTCTATCCAATTTTCTGATACAATCATGACATCTCCAGTCCACATTGATCCAGGGAATTGCGATCCTTGACTTTCTCTTCTCGTTCTCGCTTCGACTTGCCGTCCCATTCATCAACATCAACCCGTCAGAGGGTGAACGAGCGGCCCGTGCCCCGACTGCATAATGGGGTACCCGACTCTTCATCCAAGCAACTATATACTCTCCATACTTTGAACGGAGTTGATAGTAGAAAGAACTTGCCCGGTCCTTAGTTAATTACACAAACAGCTACTACTAATACTACTAATAGCTAATACTAATAGACAGTCATATTTCATCTCATTACCTCTAACAAAAGTCCGAGCTTGAGCAAAGTCAACTAGCGCCCGTCACAATGCGACCGTCCACGGAGTACCGTCGTGACCCTCGGACTGCCCTGCGCCCCCCCTTACTGAACCACGGGATCCGGGGGATGTTGAAAGGATTTTTTTCTGAATCACCTGCACGGTCAAAAAAAAAGGACACTAACCAGATCATCCCACAGTAGAGTATTATTTTTTTAAGCTATGGGACGGACTCTCCGTATATCCCGATATTAATAGAAACCCTTTTTTTGGCCTTTTTGCCTCCCCACTCCCCCTCGCTTCTGGGGGGGAAATCAAACGGTCCAATCATATACGAGTACAAACCTTGGGGCCTTCAACACAAGGCTCATTGAACCGGGGGACGGACAGTCCCTTTTTGGGTTGGGTCCAACGCAGGAACGAACGCTTGGCTCCCGGTTCCTCGGCATACGACTGGATCTTGGATGGAACGCATGTTGGCGCTGATTATCCTTGTCAAACGGTCCTTTGTTTCTGTATTCCGTAGATTCTGTACCGGTCGCCTAGGAAGGGGGACGGCCATGTGCGTGTCGGGTGGGTACGTGGGTATACGTCCAGAACCCTTTTTTTTTTCCACGTCATATTGATGTTATTCGTGGACTAGTCGCCCTGCCAGAACTACGGAGGAGGGGGGGAGAAGTCTCGGACATATACTACCTCTTGGCAGTTTGGGATTGATGCGTTCTGCCCTGTGATTTCATTTTGACCGTTCAGGGCCCTTCGTCAGTGACGCCTGGCGTTAACTTTATTCATACGGGACGTATCTTGTCTCCTTGTGGGCAGCTCAGCGAGGGTCCGAGGGGAGGTATAGTTTCATACAGGTCCGACAGGGCGGTTTCCCAGGAAGCAATTATTGGGAACGCTATCAAATCCCCGAGTCCGAAGGGGAAATAAGGGTCCTACGTCAAAAACCAAGGGGACAAATTCAAATAATCAATTATTGATCGTGATTCATTTGGATCCTTTCTTGCCTTCTCTCTCTCTTTTCCTTCAATCCCCATTTTTAGACGTGCCAGAGACATGTGGCGGGTCAGTCGCTCCTAACGAGATCACGCCGCCCGAAGCCCTAAGACAACGTCTTAGCCACCATCTCAGCGGCAAAATGGTCAGAGGAACCGAACCGACCCTTCTGTCCCTCCAAGTGCATTCCCCCTTGGAAATTGTCCCCAAGGAAAAAGAAAGAAAAGAGAAAAAAAAAACTAGAAAACTATCCAATCCATATGGCAGACCATCAGTCCCCTAGATATCAATCTCGGTGGGCCCGCTCAAATCAATATTCACCGTCTTGGTGATACTATGCCGAGCCGCATTGAATTCCACCCCACGCTTCTGCTTCCACGGCCGGCTCTGTCCCAGCACCGTCACGGACTCGATCACTACATTAGCCCGGTATCCGAACTGTCCCCGGATAGTCAGATGGCCACGGTTGTACTCGAACTCGACCTCACTGCTAACCGTATTCAACGACTCGCCATCGTCCAGGTACAACGAGCCCCAGGCGTAACCGCTCACGTTGGGGGCAACCAGGATCTCGAAGCCGCGGCGGCGCAACTCGGTCGTGGTCATGGCGCTCTTTGCGCGGAGCGGGATCACACTACCGCCGCGGATATGGATCGGAATGTCGGTAATGCCGATGTTGTCCAGGTGTTGGGTGGCGCCTTGACCGCGGATCACGGCGCCGGTATGCCAGTCGTAGAAGATGTCGTTGGGGAAGTAGGCATCCACGGAGGTTTGGCCGACGTCTTGAACGGGGGAGATGAGCAGGGAGTCGCCGTAGAAGAACTGGGCTTCGTTGGCGAAGGTGTTGGTGTCCGACGGGTAGACATAGAAGAGTGGCTGCAGGAAGGGCTCGCCCGTCTGGGTTTGACGGTGGAAGGCCGTGTAGAGGTAGTCCAACAGGCGGTAACGGATGTCAATGGTCTTGCGGGCAGCATCGGCGACGGTGGGCCAGCGGTAGAATTCCTGGGGGATCGCGCCAAGCTCGTTGTGGTTGCGGTAGAAGGGATTGAAGGCACCCAGAGTGGCCCAGCGCGCGCACAGCTCCTCGGTCGTGTTGCCGCCGAATCCGCAAACGTCGGATCCGACCATGGGGATCTGAAAGATGGAGGCAAAGGCTAGCATCTGCGAGATGGAAACACGGTACTTGTCCCATTGGCTAAGGTTGTCGCCGAGCCTATGATGACGGTATGGATTAGCTAGTTGTAGGATAGAAAGGGCGTTCATAAGAAGACTTACCAATGACCAACGTGAGCACCTGCACCAGCAAAGGTGCTGCGAGTAATCACCAAAGGACGGACTCTAGGACGACGCAGAGTCATCGCCCAGCGAGAGGCGGCGCTCATCACTGAGATCAGGGTTAGTATTGTTTGAAGGAAAGCGACCTGCAGAGTTACATCTCTCACTGTTGCAGCACTTACTAGTTCCATAAAGGTTATGAGTATCATACTCTGCGAACGAGTCACCGCCATTGTGCACAAGATCGGTATCAATGGTCTTGTTGCTCAACGAACCCGCGGCATTGGCAATCTGATATGGCGGCGAAAGCAGGTCCCGATCAGGCAAGCCAGCCTTGGTACCTGTTCCACGACGAGTCTTGCGAGGGCCCGACCGCTTGACAGTTGGAGACTTCTTGGGCTGGAAGTCGGATGGGAAACCGGGGATCGGACGAGGCGATGACTCGCGGACAGCTGGAGCAGCCGGGGGCAAGTCGTTCGCCTGTGCATAACCAGCGGGGTCCTTGCAAGGCCAAGGGCAGAAGTTGGCGGCCTCATTCATGTCGATCCATAGACCGTCGATGTCGACGCCCTTTTCAGAGTCGAAGAACCGTGCGAATTCGTCATCCCACCATTCTTGTGTGCCGGGGTGGAACCAGTCGGGGTAAACGGTGACACCGGGCCAGACGGCGCCTAAATAAGAGGTCAGATACAGTCATGGCAACAGAATTGGTGATTATCTTTACCTTGATAGAGCTCCTCGCCGCGCGCAAGGAAGATTCCTTGATCTTTACCACGGTTGGCAGCACCGTTGTCTATGCAGGAGTCAGCATGATCGAGACTTTTAAGAGATGATCAGTCAGAATTTACTTACCGCTGTCGCTCACTGCAGGATCCACCATCACAATGTAATGCTGGTTGTGCTGGTGCAGGTGATCCACTAGCTCACGCATCTTCTCAAGGGGGAAGCGCTCGGGATCCAGAGTGAACACCCGGCGACGATCCATGTAGTCAATATCAGTCCACATAGTCTCCAGTGGAATATGAGCATGGCTGTAATTGTAGACCACCTCGGCAACGTCATAGACATCCTGGTATCCATAGCGGCAGTTGTGGAACTAGAGAGACCAATGTTAGGAATATCACAAACATCCGGGTATTTCAAATAAACATACGCCAAAGGTCCAGTAGGCCTGCATGGCGGGTAGGCCCACAACTTCCGAGTACTGCTTGGCCACCTCCTTGGGCGTTGGACCAGCGAGGAAGTAGAAGTCCAGCACACCGCCGATGGTGTTGTACTCCAGATACTGGCGGCCATCATCGGTCTGGTCAATCTTGATGTCCATGCCATTGGAGTTCAAGAAGAACACGCCGTGCGTGCCGTCGTCTCCACGGTGGTCCACGTAGATGGGATGGTTACCATACAAGTTTGTGTTCTCTGGGATACCATAGGCATCGCGACTCCACAGGGTGCGCGTGTAATTCTTGTTCGGCAGACGCAGAGAATCAGTGTGTTCACCCAGACCGTACAGGTACGGATCAGCCGGCAGCCAAGTCCGCAGTCGGAGATACTGGCTCTCAAAGACCAAATTGGTATCGGTGGTATCAAAGAGCACCTGGTCACCACGCAGAACGCGGAAGGAGAAGGGCTCAGCCTCGTAGTCAAAGCGAATGGTGGGCTGATTGTTGTGGTGGTCACCATTAGCATCAGGGCGAGGCAAAACAGAAGTGGGAACCTGGTAAACGTCTTCCTCGAGATCCGAGATGAGAACGTGAAGACGATCGTCTGCGTGATGTCAATATAAGCATGAGAGCTTGTCGATATCTGGCCTGGAACATGGTGATACGAACCAGTCTGGTACTCGACGAGCAGCTTCAGGTTTTCCAGGTCAGTGCCATAGGCGTCGCAGTGGTCGCCAGCAAGAGTCAGGTCAGCCTCGAAAGAATGACCCTGCTCGCGAATATTGACAACCTTGTAACCAGGACAATCGTCAAGGGTTCCAGATCGAGCCTCCAAAGCCACGGCACCCACGAGGGGCGCCAAATGGAGCAGCAGTGATCCCCGCATGTTGTGATTTCACCCGGAGAAGCGCTTGATGCACAACAAAGGGGGAAGAAGAGGGGGGTTTTTAAAGTCGGCCAGCAGTGCTTCCAAGGTCAAGGTGGGTTGCCTGAGAAAAGACAAGGAACAGGGTGAGGGGAAGAAAAAGAAAAGGTGGAGAGAGAAGATCAAGGGGTGGAGAGGATAATGTCCGATGAATGCGCGAGCAACGTGAGGAGAGAGGAAAAGATACCAAAATGTTGTCATACCAAGACTTGCCAAGTGAGGCCAGCAGCTACAGCAAACTCCATTTTGTATAGTTATTGCCATTTCTTGATGCGATCGGAGCTTTCTTGTCTGTGCTACCTTCATCTATAGACCGTGCCGAGGCGCGGGCAAATATCGGAGATCGTGGCTTGGCCTGATCGGCAGGGTCCATCTAGGTTACACTTTCGTGCAGTGGCTGCTGGGCTTGCAAAGAGCCGGATTGAGGCGTAAATGTAAAGCCGGGAATCGTTGATTAGCCCCCCACTTGTCGGTATTTGCCGAGATGGGGGAGACGCATGAGGAGTAGGTACGTAGTATGTGGTTCAAAAGGAACGCCAGCCTCATAGAATGAAGCTGGCGCTTGAGAATACCCAAACCATATCTCTTTTCCAATATTTGACATCGTTGTTATGCCTCAAATTGACATAGTCGTATCTTGTACGGTTTAGAGTTATTGATACAAAGCATAGCCTTCAGGGGCTCGGCCTCAACTTGCTGATCTTCCCGCAAATTTCTCAATCCATCACTGACAACTGGAGTCTGAACGATCGATCGTGAATGCAAGCCTTTATTGAAAAGACATTGAAAGTACAGAGTAGTTGAGGCTTTGCTAAGATGTAACCTTTTATGAAGCTACCATCCTTCGAGGTATACTTCGGGTGGCGGGTTTTCTTCGGACACCAAAACGCCGGTCCACAAACTCTCCCGCGTTCTCGCTCACAAGGTTCCACCGTAAAAACTAGACTTCGACTTGCTCAAATATTCAACAGAACTGCACAAAAAAAAGGAAATTCATTTCAGGGTCTCTCTATAGTACCCAGTGGGCATCTCTAGACATCATTCGTGTCGTGATTATGAAAAAAAAAGTCATCATCTGGAACCTCCGCTCTGACCAGGATACCAAAGGTCAATAAAACGGCACCTCTCTCACACCATGGACCTATCGAGTCCATCCTCCATCAATCCTTCCAACCTCTTATTCAGATCTTCTCACCAGCCGAGGCCGCCTTAACATCCTCCTCCGAGCTCATAATCTGCACCTTGATAGCACCAGTTTTGGGGTTGGCCGCAGTCTCAAAGGCCTTGAGGGCATCCTCCAACGTAAAACGGTGGGTCACCAACTTGCGCAGGTCAATCACACCATTCTGCACCAGGCGGATGGCGCGGGGCCAGGTATTGCAGTAGCGGTACTGATACTGCAGGTCGATCTCCTGAGTACTCAAACGCATGAAGGGAATAGTCATCTCGTTCTTGCCAACACCAATCACAAACACCTTGCCGCCAAACTTCATACTCCAAATCGCAGAGTTGACACTGCTCTCGACACCGGTGCACTCCAAGCACAGCTTGGGTCGCAAGGCATCCGGGCCAGAGCCCTTGCCGTCGTTCAGGGCATTGATGATGCCCTCCGCGGACTCCTCGGCCGACTTGCCAATCTCCACCTTGTAAGTGCGCACCTCGGGGGCCAGTGACTTGGCAAAGGCCAGACGGCCCTCGTCAATATCGGTAATAACAATAGGGCAAGCACCAGCGGCGCGGGCACTCAGCAATGAAATCAGACCGATGGGACCAGCACCGGTGATGAGGGTAGGGTCGCCCAGGCGCAGCCCGCTGCGCTCGACGGCCGCCAGAGTCACACTCAGTGGCTCCAGGAGGGCACCGTCCTCGTAGCTCATGTCGCCGATCTTGTGGCACCAGATGGCGGGGTGGTTGACATAGCGGCGCAACAGGCCGTCCACGGGTGGGGTGGAAAGGAAAGCGACTTTCTCACAGCCGTTGTACCGGCCGGTCAAGCAGGGCTCGCACTCGTTGCAGATAATGTTGGGTTCAATGGCGACACGGTCGCCGGGCTTAAGAGAGGTGACATCGGAGGCGACGGCAACGACCTGACCGGCAGATTCGTGGCCGAGGATGTGGTCGTCGGTGACGATCATGGGGCCGATGCAGCCCGCATGCCAGAAGTGCACGTCGGATCTGTGAAAGAGCGCGGAGGTTGATAATCAGCCAATCTGGTTCTACAATGTATGGGAGATCACTGTAGGAGGGATTCATTGTCATTCCCCCAGGGCTGCGCTGATCGTGGGGGTCATTAGAAGAAGGGGGGAGTCTTTTACCCGCAAATTCCAGTGCTTCGCACCTCGATGGTCACCTCACCGGGCTTGAGGGTCTTGCCACTCTGGACATCCTCAGCTTTGGGCTCGGCCTCAGCAATCCACAGATCATGCTTGGGGTTGGTGTAGACACCAATGTTGGTCTTGGAGACGGTTGTAGCGGTCGACATGGTGACCTTGTCAACTATGAACTGCGGAACGTCGGGGGTGAAGAGAGTGAGAGGAAGAGCAAAGGAGAGAGGATCAACAGGTTTCTTTTTCCCTTACGAGGCGCGAGCGCACGAATTTAAATGATTCGGGCAGCCAAGCAGGTGATCAAGAAAGGAGCCCGCATTTCTTTCTTTTTCTTTTTTTTGGCCGTGACCCCATCGCGGTCCATAATCCAGACAAGACGTGGAGAGGGACGCGGAGTTACTCCTACCTTACGGAGTATGTCCCCCTTGTAACCAACAAGTAGCCCAAAAGCTCCGTGTTCATTCGTCTTGCTGGAGAGAAAAGTGGAGTGGAGGGGCAAAGTGATTTAACCGCGCGGGGTTAAACTGCCTGGCGAGCTACCAACGGGGCAATCTGGACCCGCCTGGGTAGTCCCATACGGTACGGTACTCCAAAGAAACAACTGAACACTGTCGTTGGTTCACCGTGTTCTCCGTACCCGGGCCGAGTCCGACAGTCGGCTATCGGGTAAATTCAAAGTATTAGGCCCTGAGCGGTCAAAAGTGACTATTTATTAGTATCTGGTATTGTCTTCTTCCAGTAACGAACGGAGAATGGCATGGCATACGTTGTAGAGAAGCATATTGCGTTCCCGGATGAATTGGCGCTTGTCACTCGGACATCCTGTCCCAGTGCAACCCAGCGTCCTCGAGGCACGGCATAGCCTTCGAGAAGCCTTCCACGACCGAAGTGGCAATTCTCCGGTGGAAACTCGTTCTGGTTGATGGAGTTTTTGGACGGGCTCGGGCCTCGCTAGCCCGTTTTCCCGCCACATTTTCTTGACAAACAGGACAAACATGCCCTGGGGAGTATGCACGTATCTCATCTTGATACTGAAGAAGGGCGCTTCATAGAATACCATTCACACTAGATCCCTTTTTATATCCTTGATCCTAGCTTTGTGTTCTATCCACGACATGCAACTGCAAAAGGAAACCCACGAAACACATTCTCTCCGTGCCTTTGTGAAACCCCCACCTACCGGCAGCAGGTGAGCGTGCGCCATCGTCGGTCCAGCAAGGCTAGACGTTGGTCAGTAGAAAAGAGGATAGAAATATGTTACAATGTTGGGAATTCGGATGATGCTTACGATATAGCTTGATCAAAATCGTCAAGTAATCTCTCGTGGGTATCCTCCAAACTAGAGATTCATCCGAATAGCACATCTATTCCAAGATGCCTCACTGTGGGGATTACCAATAGGGAGCCCTTATCGGTATAATCATGTCTAGTTAACTTAATTGATGCACATCATTCAGTAGTTTCAAGAATACCTACTTGGGCTGGATTGGCCTGAACTCCAGAGCCGGGCTGTCAGCTGGCCATCGGGAATTTACCCGAACCCACCGCTTCCGTCGCCGAGATGGATCCTCTCGAGATGGCATAAGTGACTCGGGATTTATTATCGATTGTAAATAGAGTCTATTGTACCTGACTCGGTGGCATTTTTTGCTATCTCTAACATAGCTGACGGGTTACATCGTCAAGCATGTCGCATCTGAGCACGAAAGGCGCGGTTCATCCGGAATATATATCCCCATAAAGTGCTCACGACAGGCGTCTCAGCCTGTTAAAAATCACAATATTACAGATTGAAACCGAACAAATGCCAATCAAATTTATTTGATCGATTTGGTTCATTGACCCGACTCGCTCAATTTCGACGAAAGGTCTAGGCATGTGGTGGAGGTCCCGGCTAGTCTGTTGTAGGGCCAAATGCAGGTACACACTGCTCAGGGACAACTAAATAGTTGCACATTGACCATCTCCTTCTCTCCTCTCAACCCAATTCTTCTCACAAACCCACGCTTCTATCAAATATCACTGCGTCATCTCAAAAAGAGCAATTTTCAAAAGACAATGGCAATTGTTTATTTCAAATCCAGGCACGCCGGAAGACCCAGTCACGTGACCACCATTCCCTGAACTTCCCGAGCCTCCAAATCCGCAGATTCTGGTCCTGTCGTTGCGCAAGACGAAATCCGCCATTGGACTTATACCACCCCCCGTCCCTTCCCACCAGCGATCGTTCCGGGTCATCTGTGCTTGGTCTCTCTTCATATCCACTCTGTCCTCCTTCTTCCTCGCACTCGTCCAAGATGCCCGCTGCCACCCGTGCCGTCCTGCGGCAATCGCAGTTCCTGGCCCGTCGAACCGTTGTCCGACACGCCTCTTCCACCTCCGAGGCTGCCTCCAAGGCCGGTCAGACTGCCTCTAACGCTGCTTCCAAGGCCCAGGAGGGTCTGTCCAAGGCCACTGCTGCCGCTGGCCCGGCTCTCTCTAATGCCGCCTCGGCCCTGCGGAAGGTCGGCGGTCCCGTCGGCAAGGTCGTTTCGTTCGTCGACTGTAAGAGATCAACCTCGACTATTTGGGAGCAAGATTTGCTCTGAATTGGACGAAGAGGTCGTGGATGGTCAAGATAGGAGGAAACGGAACTTCAATCGCTCTGATTGGAGTTGTGCCTGGCATTCTCCGGAACCTCCCTTTCGACAAATCCACAACCTTCGAATCCATTTCGATAACTCATACATGACTGACTGTGATATCTGCGATAGCCATGATCCCCCCTACCATCTACTACTCCCGTGTCGGTCTCGAGCTCGGCAAGCTGGTGTTCCGTGGCCAGAACATGTCTCCTCCGTAAGTCACCCACACCCCTCGTCAGACCATACCGGATCTAACATCCTACCTACTTCCTAGCACCCTGGCCACCTTCCAGTCCTACTTCCAGCCCCTGATTAACGTCGTCCGCAACCCTGCCGCCATCAAGAACCTCAGCGTGCCCTCTCCCCAGGGTTTCCTGGCCCGCGTTCGCAACGCCAACGCCAAGGAGATTGCTCTCGTCGGTGTCACCGCCGCCGAGGTCATCGGCTTCTTCACCGTCGGCGAGATGATCGGCCGCATGAACATTGTCGGATACCGGGGCGAGGCTGCTCACCACTAAATTTGGAAAATGCTCGCCCTTTCTTTTTCTTTAAACACCACCCCCTCCGTTTTTCCTATGTGCCCTACATTATTTCCGCCCCGTGTTGTGCTCTGTATGATAGACGATGGAATATAAACTGTTGTCTGAGATAGAATCATTTTTTCGTTGCAATTCATTTGAGCCTGGTCTTCTGGGTTGTGACAATACAACTCTTATCGATGTGTAGTAGGAGTGTAGCTAAATGAGCCCTGCAGCTCACAGACATTTCTGACATCCCATTCTTGAGGAAAGAATTGCCAAATATTTTGCACTATGCACTCCTTAGTACTCATCATCGAGTCTAGACTTAAGTAAGACTCTTTAAATCCGTTTCGAATATCTCTGGCCTGAGGTCCATCGGGTGATCTGATGAAGCCACCGAACAACGCTGATTGGTCCGGACGGGGAGTGCGGGTCACTTTTTTTTCTGCCAAAATATCAAAGTCTCAAAGCTCAAAGTTCAAAAAATCCAAGTTCGGCCTGCTTTGCCACAAATTTTACCCATCCAACATGGATGCTTTTAGATTGTTGACCCGGTCAACAAAATTCGGCAAATCGGCCACTGCGCCGGCTGCACAGTCGACTGCTCGTCTGCCCTCGACGGGCAAGGCGGCGAATCCGCAGCTCTTCCGAACCGCTGCGGGCGAGAAGCTCGAGTCGGAGAAGAACCAGAAGAAGAGGAAGAGAGCTGTCACCGCGGATGAAGCAGATGCCGAGCACGATGCAGCAGAATTAGACTTTTTCCAGTCCTCCAAGCGCTCTTCCACAGCCAAAGCGGAGCCATCTGCTATCACCAAGGGCGACCAGGACCAAAGGTCTGACCAAGATGATGGGTCCGATGAAGAGGATGAAATGGATGAAGTCGAGCGCCGCACGATCTTGAACTCGCATAAGATCAAGGTGACAGATCTCCGGGACTTGGACGAGATTCAGCCCCAGCCTGAAATTGCCACGGATTCCAAAAAGAAAAAGAAGAAGCAAAAGAAAGACGACACACCCGTTCTCAGCAAGAAGGAGCAAAAGCGTGCTCGACGCGTGTATCCACAGCCTTTGACTTCGTTCAAGGAGTTGCGCACGAGATACAAGATCTCGAGCCGATTGGCAGAGAATGTTGCGGAGCAGGGCTTTACGGTGCCCACGGAAGTGCAATTGGGAACGTTGCCCCTTCTTCTGGGCGATTCGTCTGTTTCATCCAAATCTGGTGAAGAGCCTGATTTGCTGGTAGTGGCTCCAACCGGTAGTGGAAAGACGCTTTCCTTCTTGATTCCCGTGATCAACAAGATTGTTCGACACCATCACTCCTCGCAGTCTGACGAGCATGGCATTTTGTCAATTATTGTGGCTCCGACTAAAGAGCTTGCAAGTCAGATTGTCAATGAGGGCCGGAAACTGGTCGCTGGTACTGGTGTCAAGATCACGCTGATGAAGAAGGGCATGCGTGTGGTGGAGCGTGACGATGAGGGTGAAGCAAATGTTCTTAATGAGGACAGTGAGGAATCCGAGTCCGACGAAGAGGAAGATGATGACAAGCCGAAGAAGTCCTCTAGCAATGTTCCCATCACCAAGAGCGATATCCTGGTTACTACGCCACTTCAGCTTGTGAATGCTCTCTCGGAGCATCAGACAAAGCCTATGGCTAAAATGCCCCTGGTGCGCAGCTTGGTCCTCGACGAAGCAGATGTGCTCCTAGACCCGCTCTTTCGCGAGCAGACCCTGGACATCTGGCGCTCCTGTGTCCACCCCGACCTGCGCGTGAGCCTCTGGTCTGCAACTATGGGCTCTAACATTGACGATCTTACCCGGTCAACAATCAAAGAGCGGCAAGCCGACATTGGACAGACGAGTACCACACAGCACCCGCTGGTTCGTCTCGTCGTCGGACTCAAGGACTCTGCCATCCCCAACATCGATCACAAACTCGTCTACGCCGCTACTGAGCAAGGCAAGCTTCTCGGCCTGCGTCAGCTTCTCCGCCCTGCGGCTGCCACAGCTTCAGACGTTCGTCTCCGCCCACCATTCCTCATTTTCACGCAAACCATCCCCCGTGCTATCGCCCTGCACTCCGAACTGAAATACGACATCCCCGCCGAAGCAGGCGGCTCCTCTCGCATCGCCGTACTCCACTCTGATCTATCAGACAGCCAGCGCTCCGAAATTATGCGAGACTTCCGCAAGGGCGAGATCTGGATCCTCGTGACAACCGACCTCCTCGCCCGGGGCGTGGACTTCCGCGGTATCAACGGCGTCGTAAACTACGACATTCCCAATTCCGCCGCCGTCTACGTGCACCGCGTTGGCCGAACCGGTCGTGCCGGTCGTGAGGGCGGTATCGCCGTGACATATTACACCAAGGAGGATATCCCCTACGTCAAGAGCATTGCCAACATCATCGACGTCAGCGAGAAGCTCCGCGGCACCGAGGGCGAGAAATCTATTCAAAAGTGGCTGCTGGACTCGCTGCCTGACTTGAGCAAGAAGGATAAGAAGGAGCTCAAGAAACATGGAGTTAAGGCAAGACAGATTTCGAAGCCGGTGGGCAAGGGTAAAGAAGGTGATGGCAAGGGTTTGCGGGGAATGAGGATCAGCACGAAGAGTGGATTTGAAAGGAGGATGGAGAATCGGAGGAAGGGGGCAATCGAGGCTAGTCGGAATCGGAAGGCGAATGAGTCTGGGAAAGCTGGGGAAGAGAGTGATAATGGGAGTTGGAACGGATTGGAGGACTAGATGATGTTTTGTTGTTTTTGATGCTGGATGCATCCTTTGTACAAAAGGGACTATGGGAGATAATATACCAGGTGTAACTTGTCAACACGTTAACGCATTCAGTCATGATATCATTCATACAGAAAAAAGCTCACTGGCCCTCTGCCTTTTTGGGTTCTTCACTAGAACCCTGTGCTTGACTCTGACTCGGAGCCTGTTGGGGCGCTGGTGGCGGGTCCTCAGCAGGCCTCCTCACCAACTTTACCGGCACAAATGCCTTATCCAATTTCCCCTGTTCCTCCAAAATAGCCTCACAATCATCCTCGTCTCCATCAAAATAAAGCGCCCACTCCCCTTCCTCCTCTTCAACCGCCACAAATCTCGTACTCTCTTCAAGGGATATCACCCTCTCATTCTCCGTCCAATCCCACGGCCCGACAATATGCGTCACGCTCTGGGAGCGGTTCCCGTATTTCATCTCGTGCGTGTTGACGTCCGCATAGATCCAGTTCAGTAAGGGTGGGTTCGCGGAGACGTAAGTTGGTAGACCGAGTCCGCGTTTGAGGTGTTTGGTCTCTTCGAGTTCGGGGTATTCAATATAGAAGGCGAGGACTGTGAAGGCCGGAATTGAACGGTCTGCGGGGTTTGGATGGTCAAGGTAAACCTGTGAAGAAATGGGTGTGAGCATGTATTAATGCTTAGGAATGAAGTGTATCTGGTAAACTGACCTTGTCATTTCGAACCACTAATCTTCGCCCGTTAACGTCGCGATCGTCGTCCGTATCTCCGTCGCATTCTACATCGATGTTGAATTTGAGCATGCGCCGCGCATCTTCCTTGCGCTGGTTTGCTTTGCGCTGCTCGCTGGTTGCGAATGCCACGCCCGTCGTGGTCGGAATGGCCGTGAGAACGAGTAGACCGATCATGATGTGCAACTCTTCAGATCAAGCTCGAAGTCGATCAAGTTGTGTCGAGCGGCTTAGGTTGCGCTGGATCAAAGGATTCGTCTTCACTCGCGTGGCGAATTTCAATACCCCAGTGCCGATGGTCTATGCATTTCACCCTGGCGGTATAGTATGTTTTGGCAGACTCTTAGGAGGTCCCATGAGGATTTCGAACAAAACATGGATTGTAGTGGGAAGAAATTGGACCAAATGTCGTCCGAACGCCTCAGTCCCTCTTTGACGTTAAACGCCAACGATCGACGTCATTGCCCCACACGTGATATTAGTCGCGTGAACGTTCCTTCGTTGCAGTGCATTCTTCGACTAACCCAGTTTCTATGCTAGATTTATGTCTCGGCATCAGGACACGATCATTGAGAGAGAAAATGCTTCTATTGAATCTAACAAAGACCTCTATTCTATTTCTAGGGTCATGCTGATCTATCGTGTATCATCTATTCGTGATCTCGTGTTGTAGTGTCGGGGCCACTGTTATACTTGCTCGCTCCATCCCCAGATGGACCACCAGCACTTTACAGCCAGTGCATCACCATCTGAACTCTCCCAATCATCATACCCAATCTCCTCACCCTCTTCCACAACGGCGAGGCCCAGATCAGTCATTCGCTGTCGAAATTCTTGCACTTGAGGCAGATATGCATCGCGCAACGGCATCTCTGCCACAACCCGGGCATCTAGGCCCTTGCTCAACCATGGCGCGATCGTATCCACTAACCATTTGGGGTGGTTGGGTGAGTACAACGGATCGGCGGCGAGGATCACATCGAACCGTTCTTCTGCTGTGGGCAGCGGTGCGGGTGTCACGGACCAATCTAGCACACCAGTGGTCACGTTGGCCTCGGTCTTATTGAGTAGCTCGACATTGAGAGCGGCATTGTGAGCCAAGTTTGGCACGATCTCTGGGAGATCGGTCAAATGGACTGTGGCTGATTTGCCCTTCAATGCCGCAAAGGAAAGGCCAACGAGGCCGGTCCCAGAGCCTAGCTCAAGAGCTCGAAGTGGCTTCTTTTCCTGCGATAATGCAGCTGAGGGATCAGTCGAACCAACAGGGACGAGCTCGGGCGGAGACTCGAGCATTTGGTGCAGTCGTCGGGAGAGAAGGTAGGATGACACCCAGGTCTTCATGCCCAGGTTGTCCGAGGTGAGAGAGGGCTCGTGCAAAGTGAGCGTATAGTCTTCACCGGACGATGTGGGAATGTTGAAGATGCGCGACATGGCCGGCATAGCTGATGCGGAAGCAATGGATGTCAGCATGACTACAATCCTGGGGCAGATTGCCGAGGCGAAAGATCAATTCTTACCGGTACGGCCAGACCGTTCACTCAGACGAGCCCCTGCAGCATCCCACACAGCCTCACGCAGTTCATCAGTCTCCAGCCATGACAGCGGGCTGGAGATGATTTGGGTGAGATACCTGGTCACCCCCGCCGGCTGAACCGAGGGGCCCTTGACAGCCTCCACACTGGTTCCGAATGTGCGTGGCTGCACAGCCAACAGGGCAAGAGCCTTGAGGAGATCGGTCCCGGAGGGCTTCTGGTAGATCTGGGGCAGATTGAGCACTGTGGCCGTTGCCGGTCTCTTATCAGTTCCACTATCTCGGGGGACCGAAGACAGGTGTAGATCGTAGACATACCATGAATTGGCTCGTCGGTTGTGGTACCGATCATGGCGGGCGAGATACTGAGCCCGTAGGCTATGGAGGCTCCGTTGAACAGGGAAGCCTACCTGACAGAGACCGAACGATCGGGCAACAGGCGGATTTATCTGCGGAGCCCAGTCCCTGAAGACCGCCGCCACGCGGGAAAAAGAAAAATCCCAATCGGGTAAGGCTGGCTCCAGTTCCGCGGATCGTCTGGTGGCCTTGATGCCTGGTGATTCAGGCTAAAATGAATGAGCAAGAGCCTGAAGCCATCACCAAACACTGGAGACCATGAGAGTTTACGTGTCAGGTAGGTCTCATGGTTAGATGCTGGTTCGTAGAAACACATTTTGTCAAAAAGAAAATCACAATTCTGTCCAAAATTGGCAAGTTTATCCAAACTGGAAGTAAAGATGCTTCGAAGCGATAAACTAGAGTGGTATCTATCATCAATCACATAATCATAACTCAACTTAACGCCATTCAGAATGCATGTGGCAGGCTTAGTTCAATGTTGCCTTGAACCCTTGATAGGCCTGCTCAATGTCAAATGCAAGTTCCCTCGCCTGATCTTCACTAAGCTCTTCCGTTGCCCGCATCTGATTGAGTGCTATCAACCATTGAATGATCTTGCCACGGTTTTCAAATTCTCCGTCCGTCACTTTATTGACCGACTGAATGACCTCCGATAGCAGTGGATGCAACGCATCCTTCGAGACCATATTCAACTTCAATGCGTCGAGGAACGTGATAAAGTTCTCCGTCGCTGCCAGGATGAGACTGCCCGATGCACCACCAACACCACCTCCGGCTCCCGTGCTATTTGTTTGTGGCGCGCCGTGTGAGGCTTGTTCGACGGTCGCTGGGAGACCAATCCGAAGTCGTTCGGTTGCGCGAGGACACTCCAACTGAGCAGAATGTTAGCAACGGGCGCCAGCAATACGGAGAAATACCGTAGACTCACGCCCCAGGTCCTCTTGAATGTTTCCAAATCGACAAATTCTCGTGAGACGGATTCGTCGCCTAGACTGGACTTGTATTGCTTCAAGAGTCTCGTGCAGGTCTCAGTGTACTCTGCCTCCGTGACCACATCTTTGATGTAGGCCTTTTCGAGTCCATCGAGGGTGATTATGATGCTATATATTTCGGCAAGTGATTCGTAGAGATCTCGTTCACCCGAGCTAGACACCAGTTTCACTTCCTGGAGTTATGTTAGTATGGAATTCCCCATCTTCATCCCGCTGAGCATACCTCATCGAGATTGATCGAGGCCGATCGTGCCGGATTGGGTGTGTAGCTATAGGGAGTTGGAGCATATGATAATGGGCGCTGTGAATACATCTTGATTTGATGCGATAAAACGAAACAAAATCTGTTTCTCCTGCATCAATCGTCAGAAGTCGTTCGTTGTCCCCCTCCAGACTGCGCCGAGGCGGAGCTTGTCCTTATCGGCAGCTCCATTAAGGCGGTCACGAAGGCGGATCCGCTGATAATTCCCCCAGCCAAATTTTTTTCTTCGTCCGCCAAAAGCTACAGGAAGAGCGTTCATCAACAGCCAAATCTTTCACAATGGCCGGCGCCAAGAAGTCGACCAAGAAGTTCGAGAAGAAGCATCTTAAAGATATTCTCGAGCGACGCAAGGCTTCGGCCAAGGTCAAGCAACGTCACCACCTACACGACAAGCGCAAGGCTCAAAATGCCCGCCGCGATGCCGAAGATGTCGAGGAGCCTGACACCGAGGAGGTCAAGAAGAAGAATGCCTTTGCAGAGATGAATGTCGATGACTTTTTCTCTGGTGGCTTTGAAATTGCCGACGCCGCCGACGGCAAGAAAAAGGCTGGCAAGAAGGACGTTACTCCCAAGATCGGAAAGCGCAAGCGCTCAACCAACCAGGAGCAGGAAGAGGAGGCCAGCGAAGACGGTGCTGCCAGCGACAACGACGGAGAACATTCGAGCGATGCCGATGATTTCGATGCGCACAAGGACCAGCTCGAGGCATTGAAGGAAAAGGACCCCGAGTTCTACAAATACCTGAAGGAGAACGACGCAGAACTACTCGATTTCGGCGCCCAGGGCGATCTCTCAGAGGTGGACGAATTGAGCGAAGGAGAGGCTTCCGAGGAAGAGGGTCCGGCCAAAAAGAAGAAGAAGAAGGGCAAGAAGGGTGAAGAAGAGGAAGAACAGGTCATTGACAATACTCTGACTATTCCCATGGTCAAGAAGTGGCAGACTTTGATGGAGGAGCAACATTCGATTCGGGCTATGCGCCAGACCGTTCTGGCATTCCGTGCCGCTGCCTCCGTTAACGATGCTGAGGCTCCGGAGCAAAAGTACACCATCTCCGATCCTAATGTCTACCACCAGGTTCTGGTCACGGCTTTGAATGTCGTTCCCAAGGTCTTGGGCCACCACCTCCCAGTCAAGGAGACCGCCTCTGGCAAGATCCGGGTCTCTCTGGACTCGAAGAAGTTCAAGACTCTGACGCCTCTCATCAAATCCTACACTTCCTCGGTTCACCAGCTCCTGGTCAACCTGTCTGATGCCTCCACTCTGAAGTTGACTCTATCGGCCATGGAGCCCATGCTCCCTTATCTGCTCCAGTTCCGCAAGGTCCTGAAGACTCTGATCAAGACCGTGGTCGGTATCTGGGCTGACGTCTCTACCGCCGACGCCACTCGGATCACTGCATTCCTCTTGCTCCGCCGCCTCATGGTTTTGGGTGACCCCGGCATCAAGGAGACCGTGCTCAAGGCTACTTACGAGGGTGTGGTCAAGGGCAGCCGCAACACCACTGTGCACACCCTAGCTGGCGTGAACTTGATGAAGAACTCTGCTGCTGAAATCTGGGGTATTGACCAGAACGTTGCCTACACGACGGGCTTCAGCTTCATCCGGCAATTGGCCATGCATCTGCGAAGCAGCATCACCAACACCTCCAAGGAGTCATACAAGACCATCTACAACTGGCAATACGTGCACTCTCTTGACTTCTGGTCGCGCGTTCTTTCCCAGCACTGCGACGGCCTCGTCGAGGCCCAAGCTGGCAAGCAATCTGCTCTGCGCCCGCTCATCTACCCCGTCGTTCAGATCACCCTCGGCGCTATGCGTCTCATCCCCACGGCACAGTACTTCCCTCTCCGCTTCCAGTTGACCCGTGCTCTGCTGCGTGTCTCTCGTGCCACCGGCACCTACGTTCCGCTTGCCTCCTCGCTCATCGAGGTCCTTACCTCTGCCGAGATGCGCAAGCCCCCCAAGTCCAGCACCCTCAAGCCCCTCGACTTCCATACTGCCATCCGCGCACCCAAATCCTACTTGCGCTCGCGCATCTACCAGGACGGTGTCGGTGAGCAAGTTGCCGAGCTTCTATCCGAATTCTTCGTCCTGTGGTGCAAGCACATCGCTTTCCCCGAGCTGTCCGTCCCCGTTGTCGTTGCCCTCAAGCGCTGGCTGAAGCAGGTCTCCGCCCGCACCGGCGGCAACAAGAACGCCAAGATCAATCAGATGATCCTGCTTCTGGTGCAAAAGGTCGAGGCGAATGCCCGCTGGATCGAGGAGCGCCGTCTCAACGTCTCTTATACCCCGCGCCAACGCACCGAGGTCGACAACTTCCTCAAGGATGTGGACTGGGAGTCTACACCGCTGGGCGCTTTCGTCAAAACGCAGCGGAAGTTGCGTGAGGAGCGTGCCGCTATCGTTGAAGAGGGCCGTCGCGAGGAAGAGAAGCGCCGTGCGGAAGATAAGAAGCGTGATGAGAATGAGTTGATGGAGGATTTCGGCAGTGATGATGATAGTGATGAGGGTGAGGATGAGGAGGAGATGGAGAGCGAGGATGAGATTGAGGAGGAAGATGAAGAGGAGGATGAGGATGAGCTGGAGATGGAGGACGAGTAGAGTCCTTCTTTCCCTGCTCTTCTGCTACGTTCTGTACATTCCATTTTATAAAAGAATCTCGGCGTTTATTTGGCTTCGTATGCAATGCACGAATTGAACATCCTTCTACCAACCCCAGTCCACAACGTGGAGCAAAAAATCATATCACCAACCCTCGCGTAAAAAGCAAAAGCAAAAGCATATCCCAATCGAGACAACAAAGGGTATATCTATCTCCAGCGAATGCCAATCACACGCTAATGTTCCCAAGGTCATATCCACATAAAGATTAAGCAAATCAAACCGAACCAGTCGGCATCCAATCCAACCCCCGATTCCTAGTCCTCTCCCGCCTCAACGCAGCATCCTCCTCCTCTGCCCACGCCAAAGACTCGGTAGGCAACATAATCGCCTTATCAATCGCAACGGGCAAACCCCGATGCCGTCCCCTCAACGCCACAGCCGCGAGAATCAATTTACTAATGGTATGCCAAGCGCCACAGAATGAATAATTCTTGCCCGGATATCCCACACTAACACCCACACAGCCGTACGCAGAGACAACCTCAAAAATGATGTTGAAAGTGCTAAAGGCCACGGGTTGATTGTTGTAGTGGTCTGATTCAGCGATCGCGATGAAGAGTACTGCTAGTGCGATCCACCAGATGTCGTGGCTGAGTTGGGAGCGGACTTGTTGGTGGACGAAGTAGCCGCGCGAGGACTCGGAGAGGCTGGGTCGGCCCATGTGGTGGCGGACTAGGTCCATGAGGACATTGCTGCGGCTGGTGTTTGCGCGCATCTCGGGAGTTTCGTCATTGGCGTAGATTCCGAGGGAGCGTTCTTCATAGACGTTTGTGTTGCTGAGGGGGTTTGTTAGGTGGGGTGTTGATGGTGGGAGGGGTGTGAGATGGAATGGACTTACCGGATTGTCACCAGCACGGGGAATGCGGAGACGTACTGACTAGATGTTAGTATGAGGTGTGTGAGGTCTATCTGGACTTGGGGCTTACCATCATGAGCACTGAAGAATAGGTGTTAGCATGAGCTTTACTGAGATAGTAGAGTAGTGGGAGATAGAAACTCACCATAAAGAACAAGAAGTCCTTGTCTCAAATCGGCAATGGTCACGACGTAGAAACCACCAGCGCGGACGGCTATATACAAAATTAACCAGAGTCAATCTCATTCCCCATTAATGGTACTCACCCAAAGCCTGGAACAATCCATCAAGAATTCGATACTCAATAGGCAAGGCCTCGATCTCCTTGTTTCCAATAGACAGGAGCTCGAAAGCCGCCCAATCAAGTCCATTCAGAATAATGATGGTAGCAAGAAGATACCATGTATGCCGAGCAGGGAAAAGATTGGTATAGACCCTCCTAGGATGGTCCAAGATGAAATCAAGAGTCACCCGCCACGATTTCCAAGATGGCGTGTTGGGCAACATCATCCGCATCGTCCAAACGATGAAACGCAGGAAGCATGGGTAAAGAGTATTACCAGCGAGAATGAGCATGCCCAGCGTGAGAAGGGGATATGCACTGGCGAGCTAGTCAGCATACGATGTAGTAACAAAGATCCGAGAAATCATACTTTAATTGCAGAGCAGTCATGTTCGCATCCAACAATGACATGCCACTGTTGACAAACGCAGAAACCGCAAAGAACGCGCCGGTCCAGAACGGCGAAAATCCATTGACTTCGGATACTTCGGGGTGATTCACAGCGAGCCAGGTACCCATACCGACGATCCCGAGAATCAAGAACATCAGAAAGTAGAGTGAGACAATAATCGACAAAAAGGAGACTGCCTTGTATTCCACACCACCGAGCTTTTCGCGCTCCGCGGATGTCAACCCGTAGAACTGCGAGTTGCGCGAGATAGTTCCCCTGGAGGTGAAGTATTTCTGCGTGCCGCGGATGATCCCCTTGAACCCAGACAGCGAGGTGTCGTCGGTATACAGAGGCAAAGGCGCAACGTCGCGGGGATGATTGTTCAGATCAGGTCGGGCGCCCACGCCAGCCATAGGAAAGACTCGGCGGTGGTGATGGTGATGCTGGGCTTGGGCATCGCCAACAGTGATTTGATCGTCATCCACCCATCGAATTTGATCATCACGGAATGTGGATAATTCGGCCGGACGCTCTTGTAGCCCTACGGCACCTTTGGGCTGGGCTTGGCTGGGTCCTTCGTTGAGAGGAGAATCCGGCTCCGCTGTCGAGTTCTGCAATTCTAGGGCTGACGCACGGCGAGATGCTTCACGCTCCTCCGAGACGTGTTTCAGCTTGTCCTCAAAGGCCTGCTTACGTACCATGAGGACAGTACTTGAGATGAGAATGGCGGATCCAAGCATCAGAAGGATAAATAAGATAGCCTGTTGGAAGGTATTCAGGGTTGACAAGTCCACCTATGGGTAGACGATTAGTCTCTTTCTCAATCGGTCGGAAAATGAGCAAGAGGTCATTAAAAGATCGAAAAATCATACCGTATTCAAACCCGCTCCAGTCATCGCACTAACACACAAGAAGATGGCATCCACATAGGCCACACTCTTCCACGGGGTGGAGGTCAGATAGAAAATGATGCTGGCCACCATACACGTCGCAATGAAATAGAGATAGTGCAGCGTGAGAAAGTTACAGGGCGGGAGCACTGCCATGATGGCCCGGCCCATCGATGTTCGCCATTTGCGAGCTGCACACAACCGTTAATATCATCCTGAGCAAGCGAAAAAGATATCCGACGGAGAGTTTGTGAACCGGGGGAAAGGGGAGATGATTGGATGTAAGAGTTCCGATCAATCGGGAGGAAAAGGGAGACATACAGATCAGCATCGCGTGGAGTTTCATGTTGACAGGATGGTATCGTATGCAAATGATAGTATCAAACGTAGACCCACTGATACAAGTACGCAACAATGCGTGCACTCGTGGGAGTCGGTGTCGGTGTGCGTTGCACCGCAGCGACTATCACTTCCAAGTACAGCCCTGCAGCTTTGAAGAAGCTCAAATAGTTCGACCAAAGCTAAGGAAAGCTCCTTCCGCTGCCCGGACAATTGTCGGACCACGATCCACGTCCACAAGAAAAAGGCGCGCAACCCCTACGGGCCGCGGGTGTGCTGAATCGGGATAGCCAGGCAACGAGGTCATGACTTTTCGTTGTGCAGGGAAAGAGGGGGGAAATTTGACAGACCGCAAAATCATCCGTCTGCACGACGGCGAGATGCACGGATCAGTTGCCAGGCTGTGCGTGTTGTGGGTTTTGGACCTTGGAAGGTTTTTTTCTTCTGGATCAACGGCGCCCCACTTGGGACGGCGTGGCGGACCGAGGGAAGTAGGGGAGAAGGAGAGCGGAGGTTGAGATGAAATGTTCTATGTTCTCCAGGACAGAGAATGTAAAAATCTGAGATTGAATGACTGTGAGGTAAGTGATCGAGAGGAATATAGAAACTTTCAAAAACTCGAGAGAAGTAAAAGACGGTGAGACGGAGAATTTCTGCATCCTGTCTGGGTCTGCTGTTCGTTCTCGGCGTGGGCCTGCGAGAGTCTTGGCGCTGCGTAGGGCTGGATTGGACTGAGGCATCCAGGCAGAAAGGCATTGGATCATTTGTATATTGCTATACCTGCCTTTAAAAGGAGTGCTGGGATCTGTCAAGTCGCACTCCTACCTAGCACGAAGACATCTCTTTTCACTTGCACAGGATAGAATAGAATCATCTACTCTTCCCTCCGCCAATGCCCACTCTTCCCCCCAACCTTCTCCAACAACCGTACTTCCCCAATAACCATCCCCTTGTCGACAGCCTTCAACATATCATACACCGTCAACCCAGCACCCATCGCAGCAGTCATAGCCTCCATCTCCACCCCCGTCCTCCCAAAACAACTAACCGTCGCCAGAATCTTCATACAACCATGATTATCCGCACTCTCCCCGGCAGGCCCCTCCAGCTCCACGCTCACTTCCACGCCCGTAATCCCAATGCCCGGGTGGCAAAGTGGAACGAGGTCGGGCGTCTTCTTGGCGGCCATGATGCCCGCAATGCGGGCGACGCTGAAGACGTCGCCTTTGTGAGTACCTTGGCCTTTGCGGAGGAGGGCCCAGGGGCGGGCGTTGGAGAAGTGAACGGTGCAGGCTGCGGTGGCGATACGTTTGGTTTCGGGTTTGGAGGTGATTTGGGTCATGTGTACCGTTTGGGAGGGGGTGAGGTGTGGAAGGTCCGGGTCGGATGCGGTGGGGAGAGCGTGGGATTTGCGGGTTTCCTCGTGGAGGGTTGACTCGGTGGATTGTGAAGAGGGTTGATGATCGAGGGTAGACTCCTTGGTGTGATAGAGGCGGGCTTGCAAGGAGCCACGCGAAAGGGGAAGTATATATGGAGGAATCTTTGCCCAGGCAGAGGACGAGGTTGTCCGGGATCTACTCGAGAATCCTAGTCCTGGCAGCGCTGGTTTACTATCTATTCGCCTATCAGCACAGAAACTAGAAAGACCAGTCCAGCCCGAGATCAAAAGATGAATTTGATAAATACATGGCACATGGCCACTCGAAAGGTAAATGCGATATCCGGGACGACACAAGGTATCCCAATCCCAATTTCCCGTGGACATATACGGAGGTCGTGAAATCATTCCAATCATGAGTGTGGACAAGAAGAATGCCGAGAAACAGAAAATGGAAAAAAAAGACAGGCCTACCCACCGATAAGAATCATGGGCCGGTTCTTCATATTCTCCAACTGGCCCATTCCGGCGTGCTTGGCCTTCTTGCGTTTCACGGCCATCCCGATGATGTCGAGAATCTGGCGTTCTCGTTCGTTGACCAGTTCACCTGCATCACTCAGGCGAGCTGCGGCCTGGACGGTCTCTAGAAGTTGAAGTTGCTTCGCGGCGGCTTCGTCAATGGGCTGTCCATCATTCTCTTTCCGGATGATGTCCCGTAGAGAGACCTCTGCATTTCCAAACAGACAGACTTTTAAATTTCCATCGCTAGTAATCCGCAAGCGGTTGCAGGTGCCGCAGAAATTATGGGTCATACTCGTGATGAATCCCACCCGCCCTTCGAATCCCGGTACTTGATATGTCTTGCTTGTGTCGTTCTTGTGGTCTTGCACTTTTTCCAACGTCGGATACTTTTCCCGAATCACGGCGAGCATCTCCTGGTAGGAGAACATCTTGCCTTTGTTCCATTTGTTCCCGCCGAATGGCATGTACTCGATAAACCGCACCTCGATGGGTTTCTCGCGACCCATTTCGACAAAGGGCACAATCTCGCGGTCATTCATCCCGCGCATCACCACGCAGTTGATCTTTAACTTGATGCCCGCACCAGCCTTGTTCATCTCCAAAATCCGGTCGATACTCTTCATCACGGCATCGAAGCCCTTGCGTCGCGTCATGATTTGGAATTGGAAGGGATCCAAGGTGTCTAAGCTCAGGTTGACGCCGGTCAACCCGGCTTCCACCATGGAATCGAGCTTGCGGTGCAGTGAGATGCCATTCGTAGTCAAGCAGAGCTCACGCAGGCCATCCCGTCGTAGCTTGCCGATGTCCTGCATCAAGGGCACAATGTCCTTGCGCACGGTGGGCTCTCCACCCGTCAGGCGGATCTTGGTCACCCCTTGCGAGACGAAGAGCGATGATAGGTAGACAATCTCCGGGGAAGTGAGCAGCCGCGCGGGTGGCGATAGCTCGATCCCTTCTTCTGGCATACAGTACAGGCAACGCAGGTTGCATCGTTCCGTGACGCTGATTCGGAGGTAATCATGTTGTCGATGGAAGGTGTCCGTTAAGAACTCTGAGAACGGTTTCGCAGACTTGAGTGCGGTGACCCTAGCGGAGGCCTCGGAGGAAGCATGGTGCGGGTGAGGCGGAGGAATCTCGGATAGTGCGGGGCTCGCTCGTGTTGAGGAGGAAGCTGTGGTGCTCTGCCCTCGAGTCTGCACTGCGACTGAAGCCCAAGACGCGGCGATCCCGGTCCTGGGGATGGACAGGACCCGTTTGCACAGCATTCCCGCCAGATGGTTAGTTTCCAGGAAGTTGGGGGATCATGGCGGGGGTGGGAAGGGGAGTGAATATTATAAACTTCCAGAACCACGAAGTGAGGGGCTCAAAGCAGTAGTATTACTGTAAGGAGTTGGTCCAGGAAGAAGGCGCGGAGCTTATCGCGCAGATAACCCGCTTGGACATTCCTTGGGCGTGTGACTCGTTTGAGTAATTCCTTTCTGACTCCGGTCGGGGCTCCCCGCGGACCTCGTTCTCTCGCCGAACCAGCCAACACGTTGAACATGTTGACAAGTCGTGACTCGTCTTACGGTCAGCAGAGTGGAGCTTGACACCAATGGAGCACCCGAGGGTTGGCCACTCATCCACCCGCAGACGTGATAACGATTGGCTGTGCTAATATTTACACGGGTGATGATTCATAGCCATTTCATCTTAGTGAACTAACTATTCGACCCCCTCCCTACCATTATCATCATCATATCGTCTGCTAGGTCTCTCACTATTTGAGTAGCCTTTGTACTCGCTTCACCAGGCTCTTCTCGAATTGCTCCACTCCAGTTGACTGCTCATTCATCTGGCCCGCCTTGAGCACGTACACTGACCGGCGTCGTGGAGCAGACTCGGTGGACTCTTCCTCTTCCACACCCTCAAAGTCTTCATCAAGCTTATGCTCCGTATCTCGCTTGCCTTCAATCACAGATCGAACTAGGAAACGGTCGTGTGAGACGAGAATGATGGCTCCATCGAATGAGGAAAGCGCGGTAGCTAGAGCGGTCACCGTGTGGAAATCCAAATGAGTGGTAATTTCATCCAGAATGAGCAGCTGGGGTGAAGCCCACACGATTCGCGCCAAAGCCAGCCGTACGAGTTGTCCACCGGACAGTTTGGCCACGGGCACATCCGACGCAATGCGACCGGCCAAGCCCATGGACGAGAGCAGACCACGAATGGCACCTTCATTCAGACGGCCTTCTGTTTCAGCGGTCAACAACCCCAGCGCAGTCAAAGTGGGCTCACTCCGACCACGCTCCTGCAACTCTTCGACAGAATGCTGGCCATAGTAGCCCACCTTCAGTCGAGGATGGGTCGACACCTTGCCCTTTGATGGCGGCATCTGGCCGTTCAGAATGCGAATCAAAGTGGTCTTGCCAGATCCATTCAGGCCCATGATACCCACGCGATCACCGAGATGCACCACGAGATTCACATCGTCCAGAATTACCCGGTCATTCTTCTGATACCGGAAGTTGATTCCTTCAAGCGATACTAATGGCCCGGGAAATCGCAGTTCTGTCACCTCGGGTAGGGCCATCGACGCACCCCTCTCGTCCTGTGGCACCTCAATCTCTGCGCGGCTGCTCAAATGGAACCCAACCAGATCACGGTTGAGCTTGAAGCGATGGCCATTAGCATTCACCTGTAGCCCCATCCGATCATCCACTTTCTTCTGTCGAGATTTTGCCTGCCGAAGCTTATTGTCGTCGTTGGTCTTTTTGCCGATCTTCAAGTTCTCCCGAATACTCGCTTCCATGTGTGCGATTTGTCGTTCCTGTGATTCCTTCATGCGTCCCAAGTACAGTTTCTGCTCTTCAAAGTCTTGCTCGTAGGCAGCGAGGTTTCCCCGGAAATAGGTGAGCTTTTGATCTCGTAGAAATACAATTTCTTCGCAAACGGCATTGATGAAATCGCGATCGTGCGAGACTAGAAGGATTGTCGTTTCGGACGTCTCGCGCAGTTGCTGGAGATAATTCTCAAGCCAGACGACTCCTAGAAGATCCAAGAAATTGGTAGGCTCGTCGAGGATCATGATGTCCGGGGATTGGACCAGGACGCTTGCGAGCATGCAACGCATTCGCCAGCCGCCTGATAGGGTGGAGACCTTTTTCTCGAGGTTTTCTTCTTTGAAACCGAGGCCTAGAAGGATTCGACGAGCTTCTTTCTCCATATCTGCCAGGTTCATCTAGTTTCGAGTAAGATTGGGGTGGTTGTTGTTGAAAGGATCGAGGAAATACTCACATCCTCGAGCTGTGACTGCAAAGTCTGAAGTGTCTCTACTGCAGCTTGTGTATCCACTTGAACGGCGTCTGCATCGATAGACTGGGCATTTTGAGCCATTCTAGTTCAAGAATTAACATTGGCTGCTATCACGATGTGGCTCTCATGAATTCTTCACAACTCCTCACCGTTCAGTCGCAGATTCCATATTGGCCTCCGCTGTCTTCAGATCCTTTCGTGCCTGGAAACCTCTCGCACCACTTTTGAGGTTGGCATTCTTATGAGCAAGGAAGAGATTCTTCTCGGCTTGGCGATACTGAATCTTGCGAATCGCCTTGACCGGTTCCAGGGGATCATCCGTGTCAAAGCTTTTAGAAAGAACTAGCTTCTTATTAGTGACGAGGGTCTCAATGCGATGCGAAGTATATCCTCACAATCTGCTGTGTACATTACTTCATTCCTCGTCTCATCACTGCTGAGAACTGCATCCAAGACCGTTTTATCTGGTCTTAACCTCCCGTAGCCTCCAGACTCGTCATCCACGCCAGTTTGCTGAAGAATTGCAATCCGAGTGACATGCGGAATTCCGGGAATGAGTTTATCGGCCATTGCGCGCAGGAGTGCTGGCAGAGAGTTAATACACGTATCGGGATCATTTTCGTGACGGCTCTTACTGGACTTTCCGGTTCCATTGCGACCGAGTAGGCCATAGTGAACCCCACCCTTCAGACGGAGGTGAGCGTCGGAGATGAGCTCTTTTCCAGGAGCCTTTGCCTTGGATTTCCCCTTGACCTTTGATTTCGAAGGTTCGTCTGGAGATTCTGCACCAGCGGAGGTGATTGTAATACTGAGGCCCTCTACATCAATCTTCGAGGGAGTGATATTCACGGATCAGAGTTGACTCTCGGTATTCGATGAATAAGTCTCAAACATCTCACACACCTCAGTCGACGGGTTCTCATCCAAAAGATGGAACCGCGTCTGCTTGCACGTCGCAAGAATAGTCGGAGCCGAAGTCATTATCAGTCTCAATTGGCAAATCAGCCTTCGATGGGAATTCGCAAGTCGGCCTGGCGAAGACAGGTTCATATAAAATCGTGGCGCGGATAACCTCGGCCCCCATTAAGAATTCCCGCCACCAACGATCAGTCAGGAGAATGAAGATCTTTTCATAAGAGTCATCGCCAAGCCATGAAAAGCGAGGATAATCCACAATCATTCATGCTTGACGCACACTCGCGGCTGTTGAATTGTCGCGTTTCCTGGGGTCGGGGTCCTAATGGGGTTTAGTCTTGGGCCTCAGGCCGCAGTCTTGCATTCCGCGCTTGACACCACAGAGACCAAGTGCAGGAAATACGTTTGGACTGAATCATGTACTGCATGACTGTTTTATGACTCTTCTTATTAGGATGATCCGGGAGTTAAAGATCTCTCGGATCAGGTAAATGACTCGGTATGTATAATTTTGAGACTATTTCAGTAATTCAGCTAGTAGTATGATCAATATTATGTCTTCTCAAAACTACCTTGTAGTTAACTATTGCTACTAGCATGACAAAATAGGCCTGTTTAATATGACTCTCGTCTACTCTCTATAGCGTTTTATTTGAATCTCAAAAGAGATTGAACGACGATAAATCAAAAGATTGTTCGAGACAAAATACGAAAGCTTGTTAGAAAGAGCTCTCAGAAGAGCGTTAAGTATATCGTGTCTAGGTAGACTTGTTTTCTGATTGCTAGACTAATGCTTCTTATAAAGCGTAAGCAATCCAACTGAGCTAGGCTCAATTTTTTGTGCCAGTCAACGGATCCTATCTTCTTTACAGGTAATGATCCTAGTGCAGTAGTTTTACTTTGTTGGTGTAATAAGATGATTCATTGCATGCGCACGTCGAACGTTCAGTATCTTGGTAACATACTACTGTCGCTACCCCGATTCAAAACATGGGAAACCTCGTCCTAGCTTGTTTCAACCTGTCTAAAGGTTCAATTTACCGTCTGGCGGTATCCCGTCCTCTGTTTTGTCACCCATCCACCTGTTGTATCATAGTCATTCACCAGCTGGCTTCTTATTGTCCTACATTCACCTACCAGGCATAAAACGCAACCTAAAGGCTTAGAACACCACACTCCCAAGAGCCTCGGCATCACTCTTGCCCCAGGGATATTGCTTCTCCAGGGCCTGGATAAGCTCTCGATGCTTCTCACTTCGTGGATGTATCGCTAATTCAAATGGAGCAGGGTGGCTGATAACCCCTGGTAGGAATTTGAGAGGGACATCTTGTACTTCACCATTGCGCACCGGCTTTCCGATATTAAAAACCGCCAGAGACTGCACGACGGAAAGGAACACATTTGAATCCGCCAAAGTACGGCCGGGACAGGCTCGACGACCAAAGCCAAATGCGAGTAGATGAGGATCTCGTTCCGGATGCGGATGCTCGGGCGTGACGAGAAAACGTTCCGGTTTGAAGGCCATGGGATCATGGTAGACATTTTCATCGTGTGTAAATGCCCTTAATCAAATAATTAGCGAATCTGACGGGGGAAATCGGGCATCGATACACACCATATATTGGCAAGAATAGACGATCCCTTGGGAATCAAGTATCCCTCACAAATGTCATCCTGGCTCGAGGCGTGTGCAACATTCATTGGAACTACCGGGTGCCATCGTAATACCTCTTTGACTAAGGCGTTAATGTAGGGAAGATTCTCACGATCCTCGAATCCCGGTAGCTTGGTTCTTCCAACCACCGTGTCTAGTTCCGACTGTGCCTTGAGTTGCACTTCAGGGAATAATGCCATCGCCAGGAAGAAGCTCGCAATGGAGGACACGGTCGATTTATTCTGTTAGCAATATGCTTTGTATAGTCGGTCTGGATAGTACTTACTGTATCCGCTCCTCCAGCATATAAAGATCCAGCAGACCATTTGACGATATTCTCATCTTCTGACCCCGGCTCCACAGGATTGCTTGCAAGAAGATTAGACAGGAACGATTGTGTGAAGCATCCACTTTGCATCTGTTGTCTAACAAATGCAAATGGGATACCACTGAACGCTTTTACGCGTCTGTTGTAGGCCTGTGCTGTCTTAATAAATCCTGTGCCGGGGAGCCATGTCGGCAAGTGTTTCACTAGACAGATAGTCGGATCAATTACCCTTCACTCCACCTTGTCTGGCCTGGTTACTCACGCATTGGGAAGAAATCCACTGCCCACGTTGCTGGGAGCAATGCGTATGAAAAGTCCTCCATTGCTTTATCGGCCAGGTCCACGAGGGGATCGTTACCGTGGGGTTCAATGGTGTAGCCGTAGCCAATTTTCAATATGATTGCGCCAGCCTCTCTACATGTCATTAGTATCCATGCGACCATGCATTAATACCTGGGGATTTGAGGGAATATCTCTACTCGCTTTCGAATATGTTGTTGAAGCTTTTCTGGGGCTTCCAGAACTTTCAATAAGAGATGAGCGACCTCGGCTTGCTGAATGTCATTGAAAGATAAGATAGACTTGTTAGATCCAATTTCTTGGTAAAGGTTCCTGCGTGTCTTTCGAACATCCTCTGGCTTTCGGAGGGCTCCGAGGATCTCGTCCCAGCCGGACCTCTTGAAGTCAGCTTACTGTGACGCATTTTGAATATCATCTCATCTTACATGTCAGTGAACGTTTGTTGAGGACGTAGAGAGTGGATAGCCGATCTCTTTTCCAAGAGTTGGACAGCTAGTTGAGCATCATTCAGAATGATGATATTCTTCCCAAGCACGGCAAGGGAGCTAATAGGTCCTGATCGTAGAATTTCAGTTCCCAAATTCAAAGAGATTTACGTTGTTCGATCTTTATCTCACCAAAGGAGTCTTTATGCTTTAGCCAATGCTGCCAGTCTTGCTCGTCTGGTCTGGGCAGATCCGTCAAATTACCAATGATGGGTTTCCGCCAGGGGCCTGGCGGGAGAGGTGGAAGTCGTCTTTTCCGCCCATAAATGACAGAGAAACCATAGCTGCTAATTATTATCACAAATAGACCAATCCATAAAGTGGAAAACATGACGGGATATACTCTTTGAGAAATGTGAAGTCTGTCAAAAGAGGGGAAGGTCTGCTGGGCTGGGCTGGGCTGCTTCAAATACTGCTTGGGAGGAGGCGCTCGCAGTGGCGTCAGCTCCTGCCTTTACTGCCTCTCATTGGCCTCAGAGCAATTAGATGAGATGGGTGGTAGCACTGCGTTATACATGCATTATCTCGGGCGGGGAAATAAATTCAATGGGTGGTCTTGCTGCAGTATCGTGGGTCCGTGGCAGGGGTTCTATGCTGTCATGCGTAAAGTCACAGGCAGAAATTCTGCAATGAGATTGACATTACCCTTGATGATTCAAAAGTATGGATGCTTTCTATTTGACGTGACCATCCAAGATCAGATATATGACATTCATGCGGCTTGTAACTCTACCAGCCCAATAGACTCGTAGAATCCTTGAATTCTGCCAAAGAGACCTTTGTTCATCCTGGAAAAGGCAGTCACATTGTTAGGTAGCGGTAAAAGCCTTCACGCCAGGCATTGCAGTAGTCAGTACTTCCTTAAACAGGGGAGAACGGCAAGCCTCTAGCTAAATATCTTTCCGCTATTGAAAGAGGTATACGTGCCTGACTCCGAGAGCCTCGACATCATCACCCGATATAAACATCTGGCCACGGGTCATCCTCTTCGGTGAATGCATGTTGTATCTTCAAATCGTCACCATCCTGCATATTCTCCCACAGACTCCATGGCGCATATGGCCAGCATTTTATCCATCTGGGGGAAACATCACACTGATCGATATCCGGGAAAGCTTCAAGAACCTTCACATATCTTAAGGGCTCATGGAAATCCTCTGTTTCAGTTTCCGCCACAGTTGCATCTTTCAGCGTTTGTAGAGATTCTTCATCAATAATAATGCACATTCGAAACTTGGTCCATTTATCTCGCATGCCTTGCGCATCCACCCATGTCTCAAAATGAGTGCGAATTTCGTCGGGAGATGCTCCTTGGAATTGATCAGGGTCTTCCATAATCGTCGATCGGTACTTAGGCCAATCTTCGGAGGCATAATGTCAAGGACGATCAGCGCCAGCGCTCACAAACTGCTTGTTAATACAGGCATCGATGAACCTGATAATGTCTGGGAATAAAGCATTCGATTCGGCAGAGTAGGTCGTGCGATAAATGACATATCCCCTATCTGGAAAAAGCAGAAAGTCTGCCATGGACTTCTTCCATATTCGCAACTGCTTTAGGGTAGGGTGTAGTCGATGCAAGTGTGTTCAATCGGATTTGGTAATTTCGCGAAGGAAGAGGATGTGAGGAAGGCAAGTTTCAAGTCCCGGCGTGTTTTTCCATGTTATATACTAAGGGTGTCCATGCCGAGGCCAACTAGAGCCAACCAGATTTACCAAGGCAAAGTTCCGGGTATTGATGCCAAAACTAATCAAAGATAACGGAGTTTGCTAACATGAAAAGGGTCCGGACGTCCAATTGATAGAATGTGCTAAGCTCGTCAAACTGGGGCTAGCAAAGGTGTGGCTGTGATCTTGTCACGAGCTGATACCGGAGAGTACTTGGGGTACCAACCTCCGGCATGAAGGGTCACAGTAGTAGTTCTACATTTGTGGCTTCATGGCTCTATCAATAGTCTCGTATATCATGCACAAGGTAGAATCTGCGGAACTATGTGATATCCTGGAGTGGAAGGGCATACTTCGCTAGCTGCCGGGCACTGCCATGCGAAACGATACAGTACAGCTATGCACAAATAAACACTTCGTTATTTTTTTATGTACCGAAACATCCCACACTGCGCCACCGCGTCATGATAATTACAAAATCGCGTTGGTCGAGAAAAGGTAAGGCAGAAGAATCGAAAAGAAATAGAAGAACAGTCACAGGGAAAGCTGCTGACATGGTCAGGTCAATGCCATCTCTCATGGGTGTCGTTCATTGGGACCGCCGAGCCATGAAATAGGTGAGCAGATTGAGCGAACCCTCGCCAGCGGGTGGAGTGACCTTCTGGACACGCTCGAGGCCAAACTTGAGGTTGAGTAGGGTACATAACTCAGTAGCCTGCTTCCGCACGCCGGGGCGGGGATGACCCAGTTGCTGGCTGACAACCGTGCCAACACTGGCCAAGCTCTCGTCCGAGAGCTCAACGGGCCCTTGAGATAGCGCCTGTTGAACAGTGGCTAGTCCCATGATGATGGACCGATAGGAATCCTCGCTTGTAGCATCCTTACCGAAATCCATCCCTTGAAGCACACCCTCGATAACCGTCTGCGGTGCAATCAGCGAAGCCAACTGTTCTGCAACCTCTTCCAGGCAGGTCACAAAGTGCGAGTTGGACTCGTAGTGGCGACGGGCTCTGACAAGAGAGGCTATGGTGGCTACGTCGTATCGATGGAAGAGCTCGCTGGTCCGAAGGAGCATTGAGCGGATGGTGGCCAGAATCTGGGTCTTCACATCATGGTCCTTGCGGCTGGTAGGTGCCGCCTCGAGCTCACGCAGCAGTGCTTCGAGCATGGCATAGTAATCCTCTTCGCGAGAGACAATCTCCTCACCATGGTATTGGTACAGTCCCTGCAGCTTCCTATATCCAGAGATGTCCATAGTCTGGGAGGCAATTCGGCCAAGGGCCTTGTTCAGCATCTCCCGCGCATTCGCAGGATCCTTGGATCGAGGACTGGGGCTTCGGTGCCGCTCTGCCCACTTACGACTGCGGCGGAATGCTGGTTCTTCGGTCGTTGGCTGCACCGGGGATTCAAAGGACCGACTTCTTGACTCTGTAGGCAGGCGCAAAGTGGACTCGTTCAAGGGGACCTCCTCAAGTGCACCAGGCTTGGCAAGAGATCGTGGGGTCGCAGTGAGCTCTGCGGCCTTCATGACATGCGCAATAGCATTCTCGTTATTGGCGTTGCTCTCAAAGGTCTCTACCACGGCTGGCTTTGGTGGTGATGTAGAAACCAAAGCAGGTATATGTTGAGAGGGTGTAGGGTGAGGACGATTCCTGGTGGGAGAGGGGGTTCCCCGAAGTGGCGTCCTCTTGGGTGACGGGAATCGGGGCTCATTGAGCCCATCGTTGGTGAGGTCATGGGGAGGAGCCAGCTCCGGTACAGGGTTTTTAATAGGAGTTTCGAAGGTAGCCGGGGTACCTGGGATGGAGTCTTCTTCAAGCCCCTGCTCATCGAGGTGATGAGGTGACTTTTCAGGGGAAAAGTGGCGGACTGGAGACATCTTTGGTGTCGTAGGCTCCGCGGCAATCGGCGTATCAGGGTCCTCGTATATTACCAATTCTTCCGGCTGCGGCTTGAGATTTAGTTCGGCGTCAGCCGCGGACGGGGCAGGTTGCAATGGATTCGCCCGTCCAGATTCAGGTGCACGGGGTGGAGCTCGCGAAGGGCTAGGCTCGGCAAGTGAAAGCGCTTGTGGTTCTTCAATAAGCTCCGGAGCAACATCAGCAGGATTGACTTGCTGGCTGCGAGCAAGTGTTGGGTGTGACGCAGAAAGTGGTGGGCTCTCCAAAACGATAGGAACTGGGGAGTGGCGATCTTCAGACCCGCTTTGATGGCCGGTATGAGGAGCATGCATGGATGACTGATGCGCAACGCTCTCAGCAGAGTCGCTACGAGCACGGCTTGCCGCCATGAGGTCCCCGTGGGACTTGGATTTTGAAAGGTCAAGCTTCTTAGGCTTGCCTCTAGTGGTGCCCGTTTGTCCAGCATCGTGGGGCCGAAGGCGAGGCGCGTTGATCGGTTTAGATGAGGGTGTAGATGCCTTGGACCGCACTGATCTCGGGGAGCTGGCCGGTTTACTAGTAGCTTGAGCTGCTCTTGAGTCCGGCCGGCGGGCGTAAGGGTCCGCAGTTGCGGGACGACTGAGTTCAGGCCGGCGGGGTTTCATAGCAGGTCGCATGGGTGCGGATGATAGGGAAGAGAGAGGTGCCCCCGTGGGTACAGTCCGAGCAGAGGGTCTAGGAGCAGGATCTGACTCTATAAAAGCGGACTGGGCGGACTCTGGGCGAGAAAGTGGCATCGCCCTCTTGCGAGCTGCAATGGCTTCTTTCAGTGCGGAACGGCTAGCAGCTGGGCCGGTGGCACTTTTTGTGGGTGTAGATGTGACCTTGGAGGCATTTGGATTCGATGAATCCTTTTCCAGCAGAGTGCGCGATTTGGCATCGAGAGTCGCCATGATGGCATTTGCTCGGTCGGGCCAGACGCCGTAAAAGGTCCAGAAAGTGCTGCGTACAGCCTCTCGTACGCCAGGGTTGGCATCTCCCAGACCCTTCTTAATGGACTTCTCGATAAGATCCAAACCACCGCCATGCTCAATCGTACTTCTTTGATGAGCCTGTCGGTTGATCAGAGTCCGGAGCCATCCAGCCGCAAACAGACGCAATTGTAAGTTTTTATCTTGGGAGGCCCAGTGGACGTGTTGCAGAAGGCGAACATTGTATGTGACGTTCCCAAGAACGGTATCGACCGTGGCGTTTCCACTCTGTGCGGAGATCTTTTTCAAGGCTCCGCACAGCTTGATCAAGTTCTGCATGATGATTTCAACCATGGGGTCAAGTCTTGGGCCACAAGTCCGAGCAATATCTTGCATCAGCAGGCAACCGTTAGTACAGAGTGTGGTTCGCAAAGAGTTGACAACTCGGAAGATTCCATCGAGAAGAGTTTTGACACCGTGGATGTAGCTCTGGGGAAAGTCGTGAGGCCCATTACCGCGGGTGAGTCGGCGAAACAGAATTACATTCTTTTCACGTTTCAACCAATTGTCTTCGGATTCTTTGCCCTCAAACCAGGGAAGCATATCTCGCACGATATCGTCGATATCTCGGGCGGATGAGACAAGGAAGGGCTCAACTCCGTCATCTTCTTGGGACAGTTGCTGCATAGCCGGCGGCTCGGCCGGAGTCTTGGGCCTTAATGGGGCTTCCGGAGCAGGGGTAGATCTATCATGGTGGCCTCTTGAGGATTCTGGGCGGCTTTTGGTGGGTTCTGATTCTTAACACTCATTAGCGCCACTCTTTTATAGGAAAGCAACCTGAAATTTGGAATTATACCATCATCCACAAGTTCCCTAGCATGTGAGCGTGAAGACATCACCGAAATAGGGCGTTCGGCACGAGAGATGGGCCGATTTGAGCTGACGGGTTCCGAATCGCCGAGCCCAATGCCGGAAATAATGGCGCTAGCAATTGACTTGCGCACGCCGCGAGCAACAAGCTGCTTTTGCAGATCAGACTTGGCTCGTGCGGGAGCGTTTCTAAGTCATGAAGTCAGCTTTGAGATGTTGAATTGGGAATACAGAGTTACACATACCGGAACAATTCAACCACGACTAATCTTGCCGTATCTCTAACCGCGCTGTCTGCATCCTCCAAGCACGCAACCAGAGAAGGAACGTATTGACGGAACAACAGACCATGATTTTTTGTCATCTGCAACAATATGCTGTTAGCAGCGAGCTTGGTGTTTATGCAGCTAGTAAACGCACATTAGAGAGCCAGAGCATGCTCATCTCTTTGGCTCGTGGGTTTTTGCCAGTCAGTGCGGTCTCCAGAACGTAGTATTCAACCTCATTACTCGTCACGGACCAGAGCTCTGTAAAAATCGAGGCCGCCTGCGCTCGCACACGTTCTTTATGATCGCCGAGTCTCTCCATCAGGACGGGATAGAAATTCCGCGCCTGACTGACAATCCATTGCTGCTGGTCTTGAATCGATAGTCGCTTCAGAAAATGGCCAAGTGTGGAGAAGCCTGCACCGAGAACCGAATAGTGTTGGGACGTCAAAGCGAGTCGCAGGGTGTCAAAAATGGTCGGAATAGCGCCTTCGGGGACGTTCTTCTGTTTAATATCGGACTTGATAGCCGTCAGGTGGGCGACCTTGGCATCGACGGAGAGATTTGGATTTTTGAAGGCCGCCAGGAGCTCTGCAGCCTTTGCCTCCATCTTGGACACCGACAGATAATTTAAAGATATGTCAGGCACAAATCATAGGAGCTACCACCACTTTGGGGGGGAGCAGATGAAGTCGATTGGTCTTTTGAGCAGCCACGGGGGATAGGGGACGAGAAGCACGGAGAATGGAGTGAGCGATTCGTTACTGTATATTTTGAGTGTCAATTCGCTTCCATAGAATACTTTGCGCGCGCAGATAAGACAGATCGCGACAGGGGGTTGCGCGTAGAATTGGGGCACGGAGATGACCGTAGGGCCGGTTCAGAGAGAAGGGGCGCAGCAGAGTGATCAAGGCCAGTGCGAGATCCGAGAACAGCACAACATAAGATCAGAAGGATGATTGAACTTACCAAGGCAAATGCGACTGTCGAGGGCAGGCAAAGAGGTCAGTGGGCGCGAACCGTGGATGGTGGGATGTTGACGAAGGTGACGGAAACTCGGAGTCAAGGGGCGATAAGCGCGGATAAACGCGAGCGGCTCCACTGATGCGACAATCTTCTTCCCAAAATATCTATCCACAAGGGGCTTCTTGGGTACAGGGGGTTAATCTGCTCTCCAGGATGATGAGAGTGTTGTTTTTGTTTTTCCAAAAAATCAACTTGAATCTCGGTGGTCGTCAACCGTGGTTGTGCCCAAACCCCGCCCAACCCTCGAGGCCGGTTTGTTTATATGGCGGTCGCAATGGGCAACCAAATGCGGTGTAGTACCGTGTCACAAAACAAGAACATACACAAGAATAGACCTGAAAACTGAAGCTTAAGATTGAATTAAGATAGATGGGAGTTCCAATGGCAGATACATCTTCAAAATGAGGGACTACCATCCGGCTATCTCTACGATACGAAACACAGCAAAAAAGAATTGGGTCACGTGACCGGGCGAGGCATGAATATGGGCCTACAAAATGCGTACCAGTTGGCTATCAGGGCTAGGGAACGTGGGAGTTTCGCAATCATTTGTAACTTATGAGCAGGAAGTGGTCTAAGATCAACTGGTAACCAGGCATGTAAGGTTCCAATCAACGCATTCATCCCAGGATGCCCAGGCTCCAACAAATGCACTTGTGGATGAGGTATATACTTTCGGTCGGACATATGCAAGAGGGAGAAACTGTATCCAGCCAAATATTCGATCTTTCAAGCATATCAAATATCCCTAGATCCTCATTCTCCACCCCATAGCAAAGTAATGACGTGAAGAAGAATAGATATATGAGGTGTGGAGTCAATGCAAAGGCCAACTCCCCCCACCTTACGCATTGTCAATGTACAGAATGGATTAGCCTACGGAGTGCCTCGAACGGCTCCAATTGGCCCAAGCTCAGCCTCACCATCGACCACCAGTTCTCCCACCGACCGCAAATCTGAACAAAGTCACGTAACAAACTTCCGAGTATTTGATCTGATCTTCTCCAAAGCTTCAGGACTGTCAGTACGTGCATGACTGGACTCGCAATGACGACTACGTCGGCCCAACCGGCCGCTGCATCTGCGATTCCCAAGGCCAGCCCACCCGACGAGGCACAGCAGTCAACCTCCAAAGATCAAGATCAAAACCGAGAGATCACAAGAAAGAAAATACAAATTCCAAAGCCAAAGTATCGTCTCCATGCTGAGGACCTCCGCCATCCAGAGTCTGCATCATTCTCTACCTACATCCCGGATGTGGCCGCGACTCTCGACACGGCCCTCAGCAACATCGTCAGATACCTCTATACGAGCCCAGAAACCGGGTCTTCGGTGGAGGCGGAGAGTGTTCCGAAAAGAAAGCGGCCTCGGTTCATCCCATTTATCCCACCGACGCGCTCAGTGACATTATTCCTGCGCGACTTCGACGGCGTGGCCTACACGACGGGCACGGAGTTGGATGACGACCACAAAGAAATTCACCTCTCACTACCGTATATCACGCACTGCAAAAACTCGGCAGCAAAAGCTGACCCGGTGCACGAATTAGCGGGTGTGCTCACCCATGAGCTAGTTCACTGCTACCAGCACACCTCGCCCCCAGACTCTGCGAAGGGCGAGAAGGATATCCCTAACCCACCGGGAGGTCTGATTGAAGGTATTGCGGACTTTGTTCGGCTTAAGGCTGGTCTGTCGCCGCCACATTGGACGCGGCCTACGTCTTCCTCACAGAGAGAGAAGAAATGGGATGCGGGATATCAGCATACGGCGTACTTTTTGGCGTGGATTGAAGATGTTTGGGCTGGTGTGGGTGCGGTTGGCATGCTCAATGATCGGCTCTACAGGGTTGGTTATGTTGGCGAAGGGGAGAAGGATGAGGCGAATGGTCATGAAGGGGGCTTCTGGAAAAGTCTCTTTGGGCTTGAGGTTGCGCAATTATGGGATGAGTATGGGCAATGGCTTGATGATGGTGAGAAGGCCAAAGGAAACTGGGAGGAGGAGATTGTCAACCCAGTATAGTATATAATTTAGTGATGACGTGCTACATCCAAAACGATTCGGCCTTTGGCCTCGGTCATTATCGGCAGAAGCAATGAATGGGTATGTCTGGAATGTGATTTTGTTTTTAGAATACATTTGATAGAGGCACCTCTATACACCAATGCCGGGACACGCGACGTCGAAGCCCGATGTTAACCAAATTTCGCTGGAGAAGAGCGGGGGGCGTAGCCAAAAACATGAGACGAAGAAAACAATGATCGGGGAAAAGAAAATGAGGTAAGAAATAAAAGATCCTGTAAACAAAAAGACACCAGATGAAACGAAGGAACAAAATTCCCATACTATACAGTATCCAGTCATGCAAAAGACAGGAAGCAATGACTCTTATTTTTTCCCACTGGCCTGCTTCCCATGCGAAACCACAGCACCGAGAAAAATGGAAATAAAAAGGTCAGTAATAAACAAGACATGATGGAAGATGACAACTTGGGCGTCCAAGTCCAGAGCACGTATTAGACGATGACCTCACCCAGGTCAACATAGACGGGCTTCCAAGGCGCAGCACCTTCTTCCTCCATGGAGCTGGGCACGCGCACGTTGAGCGGGCTGTAGAGATACCATCCCTTCAGAGCAGCGAGAGCCGCGCGCTCTCGGGCCTCGATCAGGCTGGCGCCAGCGCCCTCGCCCAGCTTGTCCTGGCCAGAGAAGATACCAACCACAAAGACGGGATGTCTGCTCTTGCGACCAGTCTCACTGATAATTCTAGCAACTGGAGGCTCGAAGTTTTCGCGGGCACACAGACGAGCCAAGTCACGGGCGGGCTGGGAGAAGTTGAAAAGCTGGGAAATGTTGAGGTGTCGGGAGAGGAAGTGCTGCTCGAAGAAGCGCTTGGCTGCCGGACGGCCAGCGTGGAGGTAGATGGCACCCATCACGGCGCGGACGAAGGTGGCACTGGCGAGCTCAGCGGTAACACCCTCACCCGAGGTTGGTGGTCCCTGGATCGCGTCACCAAACTCGTCATCGTAGAAAATCTTCGATGTCACCGTCATCCTCCACGCCTTCTGTGCAGCATATGGGCGAGGTGTGCGGTTGTTATAAAGGACATTCAAGTCGCTGCCGGGTGCGACCCTACGGAACTGCAGCAGACCGGGATCGACTTCTCCACCAGGCAATGAAGCATGTTCCACACCCCATTCTCTGGCCATCGCAGCGAGTGTTTTAGGGCCGGCGTAGGCGTACATGGCGGCAAAGATGACAGTCAAGGGAAGGCGGGGGTAGGTGCAAAGGAGGTGCTCGGTGGTGTAGTAGGTGAGGAGGTCGTGACCAAGCGTGGCCAGCGATTCGTTGTTGAAATCGGGATTGGAATCAGCGGAGGCATCGACCAATGCTCGTGCAAGTGTCTGAGGGGGTAATCGGGAGGGAAGGTAGAGTCGAGCGTGAAGAGCAGCGAGTTTGGCGGAATTGAGCGCGGCATCCGCCGGAGGAGAGGGATATTTGAGCATATCCTTGCGCCTGTGGGCACTTTTGACGTGCTTCATCAACTCCACATCTTCAAACCCAGCGTCTCCAAGGCCTCCTTGAGCGCTAGCTTCAGCCTGCAGAGGAGATGCCGTCGATTGGCACCGCGATCCAGTAGCAAACATCTGTTGATGCAGCCGGCTAGCAGTCCGAGCCCGTGTCGAAAGGACTGTACTGCTCCATCGTTGGAGCTGTACCCTCTTCATCTGGGCGATTGTGCGAATGACTGAAAAACAAATGAAAAGCCGAGAAAATAACAATCCACGCTGCGTCAATAGGGCGAGGCTCGGAAGGCGTGCGGCCAAATTTACGGGGAGAGGAAAAGAGAAATTGTCTCGCCGAGTCACGGGATCGCTCTGTCGTGTGAGCTGACGCTAGTCCTATTTGAGTAATCAAGGCTTGGCACTCGACCTTCGACTGACGGCCCTGTCGGCTTCAGCCCGCTTGCGAGGAACCGTCCAGCCCGACACTCCTTACTCTACTCAACAACTCTCTCAGTCACATCTCATTCACAATGGGTGGAGGTGGAAAGATCCCGTATGTTTCCATTTTGGTGCCAATTGGTGGCTAGAGGGCTAACAGATTCTGCTGCACAGGTACCCCAAGGAAGTTTGGTCCCCCGCTGGTGGTTGGTACGCTCAGCCGGGCAACTGGAAGGCCAACACTGCGATCATGGGCGCCTTTGTTATTGGCGTTGCTGCCGTTGCCTTCAGCATCAGCGCTGACCGGGAGTACCGCGACAAGATGCCCGAGCCCGGCCGCTTCTTCCCCAGCCGGTAGTACGTCCTGCCCTGGACCCCCAATTTGTCTGACGACCCCCCCATACTGACCAATGTCTTTTTTGTCATTCTTAGCTGGAGCCGACAGATTCGCGAGCACGAGAAGCAGCAAGCTGCCGAGAACCTCTCATAAAAGAATACCAACCGAGCCGTGAACGGTAGCCAGAGGAGGAAATCGCTGCGTGACGGAACATTTTCTTATCGTGTTTTTACTACCATTTCATCATTTTCTGTGGCTGTACGACAATAGAAGGGCGTTCCTGAATGAGCCATTTGATCAATTGGTCAACAGGTGTCTCTGGGGAGACTCGTCCAATGTCTTAAATAATCGCTGCGTGTACAGGCGGACTCGTTCCGTGAATTCAGACTGATTCCACAATTCCTTCCCTCCGTTCTCTGCCATAGAGATCTCTGGCACACCGATCTGTTCTACCACAAATCCTGCAGCAACGGTAGCACAAATCAGGGCCATGGGCAGATTACGATGGACACTCCAGGCGTCGAGAGATTCTCTCCAGACCCGAGAGGCAGATAGGATAGATTCCATAACGTTGAATGGTTCACGCCCATCAGTCACCATCCCCTGGGCCAATGCACCGAGGAAAGAATTGCCTGCGCCTGTTGGGTCGACAATGGCCGTAACACCCGAGGTCCCTGGTTCATGATATGCGGGTAGCCACAACTTCTGAGTCCTCGAAAATGCGTAGCTCCCTTTCTTGCCCGCTCTGATGACAAGGAAGCCATCGCCATTAGGGCCGATACCAGAGGCAAGGATGCTTTGGACGAGTTCCTGGCCTTCCTTGCTCTGCTCGGACCACCCAGGCTGATCAAACATCATACCCAACTCCTGATGATTGGGGCTCACCACATCAATAACTTTGTTAGCTGCCAAGAATTTCTCTTGCTCTTCCGGCGTGCAGAGATCTGGTACTGGCTCCCAAACAAAGATGGGTCGAGTCGACGCATGCTCGGCGGAAGGGGCTTGTCCTGCCTCATGCAGCTCTTCTCGCCGCCGCAATATCTCATTCACAATATGAATGCAACGAGATGCAGAGCAGACCATATGAAAAGTACGTGACCAGACCTGGGTGTCCGATAGCATGTAGGGCTCTAGCCTCAGCTTCGGCGTAAGATATTTAAAATCTATATTTTCCTTTTGTTAGTGGTAGGTTCATCGGTCAGTCAGAACTAAGACTTTCAACCAACCCCGCTTCTCATCCGGATGATATCCATTCCATGCCCTAGTCGTCAGTCTGCTATGATCATTCCTGATGACACAATCGGTGCCCCAGGACTGGAGCACTGCCAGTGTCTCGGGTGGAAAGTCGGAGCCAACATCGACAATCCAACTAACAGATCGTGCATGTGTAGATCCTGCGACCAGACGAGCGCCAACTACAGCAAATGAAGCGGCACCGCCGAGAACATTCTTGACACCTGGTCTGAAGGCTCCAAAATCAATATCATCTGCGTGGAGGTGCAGTGTGAGCATCAGAGACCGCGGGGCTCTTAAGAAGAGGTAAGCATACCAAGAATGAACATCCCCAATGTGCAGAATTCAACCTCGCCCGGTCGGGCAGAGGCTAGAACAGGCTCAGCCATATTGAGCAGATAATCGAGAGCCAATTGCGGTTCAGGAACAAGATCGTAGCAGCTGATGTATCCAGTCGGTTGGGACGAGGTTTGGCTGAGCCTCTGTACTGGGAATACCAAAGATACGCAGCGACGTCATTGGATGCCGTTACCCCCGACGTACCGACGGAACGTACTGTTGCGGGCCCCGGAGCTGCGACTTCAGGAGCTCCATCCAGACTCCGGATCACCTTTAACCCTTTGACACTCCCACCGCTTGGCGCCCTGTGGATTCTGAAGGACTGAGAACAGCCGGATCGACTTTATTTACGATCCCGTTCCTTACAGCCAAGTGAAAATTGCCCTTTCGTCAAGTTCATCTCGCCCCTTTCCGACTTCTTCGAGCAACGTGTTGCCTAACATGGCGAGCGGCGGCCATATGCATAATTTCACCACCCTCATCAAGCGGTACGTATGATATCTATTGGTAGCTGCATGGAATTGAATCGTTTGTCTTTGTGTTTCAATCTCGTCTAAGTCGTGCGACGAGTACCCTAGCGCAGAGCATGCTAACCATGATATGGATTTATAGGCTCGAGGCAGCGACCTCACGCTTGGAGGATATGGCGATGTCTCTAGACGACCCTAGCGTAGCGAAAGGTCTCGGCACTCCGTCCCCAGCTGCACCTGCCACCCCGGAACCTCCTAAGCTTGCCCCTCCGCCCCCGGCGCCTCCTGCTGCGCCGCAGGTTCCCCCGCAGATCCAAGACTTCGATGCATTGATCAAGGGGGATGTCCAAAACTTTGTGAATCTGGGTGAGAAGGTTGGCGGGCTTGTTGCGGAGCAGGTGAGCACCCCAGAGCAGCCCTAAGACTTGGATATTGGCCATTTCTAACGCACACCGTGCAATAGTCAAAAGCAGTCCTGCAAGCCTTCCAGGCCGAGCGTACATTCCTCTATGTCTCGACGAAAGCCAAGAAGCCCGACGTACCTCCTCCAGAGCTCATGACTGAATTGCACAAGGCATCGGACAACATCAACAACATTAAGGAGTCGAACCGTGCGTCACCGTTATTCAACCACCTGAGTGCCGTTGCGGAAGGTATCGTTGCGTTGGGCTGGTTCTTCGAGAGCAAGCCCGCGGAGTTCGTGTCTGAGATGATCGGGGGCATTGAATACTATGGCAACAAGGTGCTGAAGGAGTACAAGGAGAAGTAAGACCATTGATAAAGTATACAGTATGCGCCGGTGACTGACATGTTACCAGGGACCGAACACACGTTGAGTACATCCAAGCATACTACCAGAACTTCAAGGCCCTCTCTGCCTATCTGAAGAAGCACTATCCCAAGGGCCTGACTTGGAACAACGAATCGGGTCTCAATGTATTGGATGCTTTGAAAGAGATCAAGGGCGGCTCTGCCCCAGCTGGCGGTGCTGCTCCTCCCCCTCCCCCTCCTCCTCCCCCTCCTGTCCCTGCTCTCAATACCCCTGGCGGTGTCCCGCCCCCTCCCCCTCCTCCCGGTATTCCTCCGGCTCCTGCGCCGTCTGCTCCCGCGGCCGATATGTCCGCTGTGTTTGATCAGCTCAACCAAGGCGAGCAGATCACATCTGGTCTTCGCAAGGTCGACAAGTCGCAAATGACACACAAGAACCCCAGCCTGCGTGCGGGCTCAGTAGTCTCAGAGGGCTCTGGTTCTCCCCGGGGCAAGTCGCCTGCGCCGAGCAAGAAGCCTAAGCCCGAGAGCATGCGCTCCCGCAAGCCTCCACGCAAGGATCTGGAAGGAAACAAGTGGCTGATTGAGAACTTCGAGGGCTCCGATGAGATCATCGAGGTCCCCGCGCAGCAAAACCAGTCCATTCTCATCACCCGCTGTAACAAGTGTATCGTCAAGGTCTCGGGCAAGGCCAATGCCATCGCCATTGACAACTGCAATGGCTTCTCTATCATTGTCGACTCTTTGGTCAGCAGCCTCGATGTCATCAAGTCGCCCAAGTTTGCTCTGCAGATTGACGGTGTCGTTCCGACCGTTCTCTTTGATCAGGTCGATGGTGCCACTGTCTACCTTGGCCAGCAGAGCCTTGCCACTGAGGTCTTCACTAGCAAGTGCAGCGCCATCAACATTATGCTGCCTCCCAAGGAGGGTACCAATGATGATACCAAGGAGTGCCCCGTTCCTGAGCAGATCAAGAGCTACGTCAAGGACGGTGTCCTGGTCAACGAGATCGTTGAGCACGCTGGCTAAAGCCATTACAAGAGGATGCCCGCGTGCGTGCATACGGCCGGATCTATAAACAGACTCGGCTTCGTATTGGTCACGACTGCCGGCTCCCCTTGTGATAGAATTCGGATTTGAGTTATCTTTTTTTAATCTTCGTTTGCTGTACCTAGCGCCCTTTGTAGATATATTCCACCCGAGAATACAGTTCCATCACCATCCTACCTACTCACCAAACTACCGAGTGATAGTATCAATCTCGAGATTTGTAATATTGTTTGCATCGATTATCTGCAATAGAAAAGTAACTCGGACGCCCTTGAGCAAAGGAGAATCAATGGAGAAAAGAACCGGACCAAGACGAAGAGTACTTCCAGTTTCTCCTCAGTAAACGCCAGACAATATCACGGGATCACATGACAGTTGCCTCGTGCCTTCAAGTCTGTGCGAGGCAAAACATGAGAGTTAAGTCAAGTAGGAAAAAACGATAGAATAGGGGGTATATGTTTGGAACCCAAGCGCCTGGCCTACACTGATACGATGAGGCTGGAAAGAAGAAGACAGAGTAACGAGGATATAGAACCTGGGCCCACGTGAGATGAGATGAGATGCACCGGCATCTGTGCCTGCAGATGAACTATCTCACGGGGCCGGTCGTAGCTGTGCGGGTATTGGTTAGTTTGTATTGATCAAGCTGCAGTCCGGCGCGGCCGTCGATTGCTGTGACCAATTGGAAAGAAAAAAAAAAGGGTAAGAGACAACAAAAAAGGTTTAATCAATCATCATACCGACAGTAACTCAACAGTTTGGAGCCTGGTCACACATTTGACTTTCGTGCTACAGCATGTTCAGAGATGGAAGGTGGCAGACTGAGACCTATGCTGAGGCCCTCGGGGTTGAGAAACCATTCCGATAGCCGGCTCATTTATTGTCAAATGCCTTGTGTTTGTGAACATCCAGGCCACGAAGCCGCTTGGCAAGCAAGCTCTCGCCGTTTTCGGAGCCGCTCTGGCTAGAAGCGTAAGGATAGCCTCCATAGCCAACGTCGCCCTTGTTGAGCTTGTTATATACAGTGCCAGACTGATGAGAGGGCTGCGAAGGCTCCACAAGATCCATTGGCTCTGATGGATCCCAATGCAGAGGGCCCTCACTTGGCGAGGAGATATAAGGCGGTAAACCTGAGAATCCCCCTTGGTCCGCACTTCGCCGGCGAGCTGCTTTCTCGATCGCTAGTCGAGCTCCGGCAGAAGTAGAAAGAGCATTCTCACGAACGGGTTTATACGGGCTGTATCGAGGTTCTGGCAATTGAATCTCGTTCCGAAGTTTCTCCTTGCCATCCGGGACTCGGTTTGCGAACACGACCCGAATGCTGGAGTGCAGATAGAAGCGACCCCGAGACGGACAACAGATGTTCAGATGAACGAGATACCGCAAGATTGGCTTATCTTGGGGGTCCTCCGTTGGGTTTAACGAGGCTTCTGGACGATCAGTCCCATAGTTCTTTCGCACGCTCAGGGGCATATCGATTATTGGACCTGCCGAGTAACTTCTTTGCCGGATGAACGTCTTCGTGCCGGGTTCCATATCGCTGAGATCGTAAGGGACGAGGAACAGCTTCACCGCGGTCTTGTGCGGGTTCTTGATGATGATTTGTAATTGTCCCTGCTGGGGAATGCGGTAGCTCCCACCCGGGGGGCATTTAGGAGATTCCGCTCTGCGGTTCTTCTTTTCCCGACGGCGCCGCGAGTCAGCGTCTGGGGCTCGCTGAACACCCGTCTCGATCGGGCCAATTTCCTCCGGAGCCTTGGATGGGCTAAAATGATGCTTACGACGCCGGGTCGTACTGGAACCATCCTTGGGTAGCGAATTCTCCAGGTCGATCTGCCCAACGTAAGGGCTGGGACTATCGTCGGCAATCGACCGGCCATTCCCCGAAGTCGGGTAGCTGTAGAAGACGGCCGGGAACGGGACTGTCACATGGGGAGGACATCTCAGATGTCCTTTGCAGTTGCCTTTTCCTAGAACTCCAATCTGAGCAGTGAAGTCTAGCGGCTTGGACGGGTTCATGGACATCCGCCCGCGCAATATGGACTCCTCGTACGATCCTACCATCGGCGCATGCGGCTTGGGGGAGATCTCCGAGGCAAGAGAAGGCCTCCGTGCCCGGAAAGCAGGCGTATTCGCCGTTGAAGCAAGCTGGAGGCTATATGACGAGGCAAGGGACCGACGAGGGGAGTGATGGGGTTGGAAAAGCCCGTCTTGTCTGCCTCTGGGATACGAACTGCCGGTATGAATTGTCCGTAGGCTAGGGGGACTGGAGTGCAGATGCCGAAAGGTCTCCGGAGGGAGAGTTCGTCGTCGGTTAGCCCTTTCTAATGATTCTAGTGGCTCGGCTGGATCAACCCGAGGCGAAAAGTCTAGATCGGTGTTGTTGGCTTGGTAGACTAGAGGGCTTGTCGGGGCTTTAAGAACGTAGCTCGATGAGAACGACCCAAGCGACGGTGCTCGGGATCTTGATTGTAGAGCACGTTCTGGTTCACGGCGATCGGAAAAGGGGTTGAACTGTCGTTGGTTGCTTCGAAAAACGGACGCTCCAAACCATGGAGTTGTAGGAGAACTGCCGAGACGGGGAAATGGCGAGGACGGGTTGGGTTCCGCAAAGCGAGGTTGCGGTGATCGGTCCCCATGATGCGGGGAGCCTTCCCTAAAGTCACCAGAGTGTAATGCAGATCTAGGCCGCTGTATATCGGCAGGCGAGCCTAGCTCTTCAGTGTCTTCCCCATGGTGTTGGTTCTCTGAGACCTGCTCAACCATCCGCTTGTCGGCCTGCAAGTTAAGGGGCGGTATAGAACTATGAGGCGAATAGGATTCGCCGGGATTGGTGTTTTGCGACTTCATACTTGGTTAGCTCAAGACATTCAAGCAGGTATGAATGAGAAGACCTCTAGAACCAAGACCAGAAGTCACTATCTCAGCCCAATAGCAGCCCGACATACCTGATATTGCAATCTCCACGGCGATGACTCTTTGATTCGCTGTATGAGCTCCTGCCGATCGTTGGCCCGAAATTTGGACGGAGACGGTTCCATGGACGTAGAATATATAGCCCTCCCAGTTGATCCCACTGTATAACGTCCACGGTCATCGTCATCACCAGCCTGATCCCGAGGGGACCCTGGGGCTGGCTGCTCCGGCTCGTAATGATCACCCGACCAGCGGTGCTGGGCCCGTCGATCCGGATCATGAAAGAGGGGCATCGTGGCAAGGCTGGGCAGACTATGAGGGCTTAAACGGCGAGTTGAACATTGCAAGAGGCCACCGACGTGGCAAGTGCTCTTGAGAACAGGCCCGACAGTGCCGCGGTGGGGTATGGGATGAGATGCGGTGTGCTGCAGAGAGCGGGTATGCCGTCAGAGGTTCCGAAGAATGGGGTGATTGGCACGGAAGAGGTTTAGTAGGTATTTCGAACGCAAAGATATATGGTCGTAGCAAAACGAACTTGGAATATACAAGCAAGCACTGTGGAAAGAAAGAAGGAGTGCGACCGGAGGAAGAGTCCGGGAGAGAGAAAGACAAGGCGTAAGGTCGGACGGCGGAGCTTGTCATCTGGTGAGGTCGTGGGTCGTGGGTCTCCCGATGATTCATCGGCGAGTAGTTTCGGGTTCTTCTGGTGCGAGGGCTTATGTTTCATCCAACCAAGTTGGGCCACTTTGGAGGGAGATAATAAAAATAGCGAATATCTACTTGATATATGGAAAAAAGAGTATACCAAAGATCCGCTATATATATCATATGACTATTGATTGCTCGCCCATATACTATCAGCTCTGTACTTACTCCGTGGGGGGAAATCCAGACTACAACTTTTTTTCCGGCGCTTGGCCGCGGCTCGCCGCTTTTTTTCTTCTCCAACTCCAACTGCAACAAACCACCCACCTGCAAACCCAACCCTGTACCCAGCCATATTCGAGCTTGTTCAAGTCGGTCTTGAATCATCATGGCTCCCAAACGAACTCGCGATGGCGAGAGCAAATCTTCCGAGTCACGGGCAGATCCCGCTATGAAGAAGCGCAAGGGCTTCAGTGTCGGCCCTGCAAACCTCCCCGATGGCACGTATCGGCGCAAGAGTAAGAAGCTACTATTCTCTCCGTGTGATTTTTCCAACTTGCTCATCCGATTTCTCCCTGCAGCACAAAAGATCAAGTCCGACCTTATCCAAAAGGCCAAAGTCAAGAAAGCCTACGCCAAGATCAAAGCCCAGGAACTCGCCACCAACCACCCCAAACCAGTCTTCACCACCGCCGAAGAAGAATCCGAAGACAAGCCCGAACCAGCTTCCTTGGAACTGCACCCCGATCGGGTAGCAATGATGAACGAGCCCGAGCTGGCGCCCGAGCCTGCGCCGCGACCGGAGCGTCGCCCCCGCAATATGGACGGACAGCGAAGAGAGCGAAAACCGAAGCCATCGGCATTCTCCAGGGAGATTGAGATCGCAGAGCAGCGGAAACAGGCGGCGGAGGCGCGGCAACGGGAGCGGGAGGCTAGACAGAAGGAACGTGATGCGATGACTCGGGCGAAGCGGCCGGATCAATTTGGCAAGAGGCGGTTGGGGCGAGAGAGTAATGCATTGTTGAGTCGGGTGCAGCGGATGGTTGGCCAGAACTGAGAATAAAATTGGCAGGACGGGAGATGGAACATCTTCTTGAGTGGAAAGAGGCCTACATGGAATGGCAAACTAAAAAGTTGTGATACCCGATTGTTACTTATACCATGTTCGAAATTCATGAACACGTCATATTAGAAAGGTCTCTTCGTTGAACTATATACATGGCTAGACTAAGTGGACGTGGAAGGCTTGGAGGCACCTCCACTTCGAGGCTTCTTGAAGCAAGCGAATTCGCCCTTCGTTCGCTCGCGCAGGCGTTTGAGCACCACTCGCATCTCTCCCAGTTCGGACTGGAGTTTGGTGCGAGCCTCGTTAGTGGTACGGCGATCTAATTCCACATAGATCTGGCTTTGGATATTGGATGCTTCGTCGGTTGAGTACTGGGATAAAGTCTGCGCAATAAACTCGGTATCCAGCGTGGCTTGCATCAAGGCAGCCAGTGAGAAAGTGGGACGAGAGCGGAACGCGGCAAGCAAGGACGAGGACACTTCTACCAGGAGGTGTGTTAAGATGGTGGCTAGGAGCGAAGATGGGGCATTTGCCGATGAGCGACTGGAGCTCGGAGATACTGTGGAGGGAATGGTTGTTGAGATCTCCGTATGCACCAGCACCAGAGTGAGCATGGTGCTGTAGACATAAGGGCGCACTTGATCTGGGCGATCGGTGGCAGGCACCCAGTCGGACGCGGTAATGCCTGTGGTGATGGTTTCATTCAATGTGGCAATAGTCGGCTTGGTGTATGACTGGAAGAGCCGGTCTTCGATCTGTTTCAGGACATCCCGAACAGTTTTGCCTTCTTCCGTCAACTTGACTGAGAATGACGTCTCGAAGTTGGCGATTAACTGCGGCACATACTCGGCCTGAAGGGCCTTGAGGTTTGAAAGTGTGAGGAGAATTCGTATATTCTGCGGAGGTCAGACTTGAAACAAATAAACGTGATATGATGCGAGGAAACTCACCCTGTTGCGAGAATCGACGGAGTCTGCAGTGAGAACCGACAGAGCTGCATCGACCACCTGGCTGGCTATGACCGGCCTGGAAATAACCCATTCATTCTCCTCTTCTGAGGGCGCGAGGCGCTCTGCATTTTCAACCAGTCCGCTAAGTGCCTTGTAGACACTGGACACAAATTGTGTCCGTACCATCTGAAGTAACTTGGCAGGCGGTTGGGTAACAACATCAACAGAGCCCGATTTCGCCATCGCCTCGGAGATGTACAGAATCTTCTGCATGCCCCCAAGGATAGCACTCTCGAAAGCCACGAACAAGCCCGGCATCTTCGTTAGATCCCGCTTTTCCGAATCACGGGTCCAATCCTCTAACATCTTGCAGATCTCCGCGTCTTTGCTCCACGCAGAGCATGCTACGCGAGCAGAACGCTCTCGCGCGATGCTGATAAGAGACTTGAGTTGATCATACGTTGGTCCTGCGCTACCAACGGGACCTAGTGCCGCCATCTCACTAGCAGCCATTCCCAGGATGACGAGGAACTTGCTTAGATAGTGGACACCGCTGAGAGAATTGGAATAGGGCGGCCAGAATGCATAGCCCTCCCAATGCTCTCCCTTCTTAGGAGCTAGGATGGGCAGATTCTTAGGATCCAGTTTAAACCTAGACTCAGTAGGGGTGACGCCCCGCGAGGCCGGACTTGTTGGACTGGGTGGAATAGGAGAGGAGAGAAGGGAAATGTCCTCCGTTGGAGGATCATTGAAAAGAGACAAGACGTTCTCTCGAATGAGGTTCACCAGCTCCACAATTCCTCTCTCAAGTTGCGTCACATTGGCCGGGGTAAGCCGGTGGTGTTTGCGGCTCTCGCCCTCGAAGCCGACAGGAAGGAGTCTTTGGCGGGTGCCATCGATGAAGGATTGAGCTACCTCCCAGAAGTCGAGTACTTCGCCCAGCAGCCCCCCATGAGACGATAGAAGTCGATTTAGGAAAGCCTGGACACAATCCCAGAGCTCAATGACTTGATCAGTGTCAAGTCGTTCGGGTATCTCTACCGATCCATCTCGAGGAGCTAGACGCAGATAAGATGCAGTGGCCTGGGGCGATGGTTTCTCTCCGCCCGCGAGTCTTCGCCGCAAAATCTCGATCTCTACCTTGCATCGATCACAGAATGATGTTATCTTGGTCTTGAGGAACTCGTAACGGCTGTGGAGCCAGGTCCAGATAGGGTTGTCTTCAACACCCAATTCCAACAATGCTCCAATCAACTCCATGTGCTCCTCCACAGGCCCGGATGCTGTACTAGTAGTAGACGTCGTGGGTGCATCACTCAATCGTCTCCAGAGATCCCTCTTGAAGTTTTGGATTTGCTGATCAACATCCATCCACATCCGCCCCATGGCCAAGATCGTAAACGTTTCGTGGTCGGACAATTGTCGTTGAGCGCTGGAGGCCTGCTCCACAATATTCTTTGCTCGGTTCGCTAGAGTCCGAGCCTTGGTATACTGTTCAAAGACGGAATCATAATCGCGTTGCTGGATGGACTTGGACAAGCGACTTCCGATCTCATACACATCACGTTGCTTCTCCATCGTATCCACGACCGACTTAAGTAACTGCTCCCGGTCTCGGCCTCCCAGAGCAGGACCCCAAACTTCCTCGGCCTTCACTGACGCTTCGACCAGAGGGCCTCGAATGCCTTTCATACCGTATTCACTCTCCTTGGTCAGTGCGTTTTTCTTGGGCCCAGTTGTTACTACAGGAGCAGGTGATATGCTCCGGTGCTGGCCTGAATAATTCCGGAAGTGTCCTGATCGACGAGGAGCCAAGGCTTGCTCCTTTGTCGCTCCTTGATCTCTCATCTCAGTGTATACGCTGTCAATAGTTGCTTTCGCACGGACGAAGCGCTCGAAGTTTGCCTCCACCAGTACCTTCAGCGACGCTGACTTTTCGTCGATGGAATTCGACAGGTTCTCCAGACCAGCCACGAGCGATTCAATGGAAGCATCATGATGGACTTGGGAGAGGAACAAAGCGGGCGAGAAGGACGTCGATGAGAGTAGGAACCGAGACCGTTTACCCCCGTCATCCTCGAGGCGTATTCCACGGCTCTTTAGAGTGCGGAGGATACTGTCACTTCCTCCCAATGGATCCGGCTCATCATTCTGCGTGTTTTCTCTGGCATCTTTCCCTCTACGAGATCCAAAATTACTTCGCCAGTCACTAGGAGTGCGTTCTAGCGCAAAGTACCGCGACTTGCGCGACTTGGATTTCTGGACGGGCTCCTGATCGGACTGGTCAGCCTCGTCCAGCGCCGCCGGCCATTCGTCAGGGAACTCCGAGGGTAAGTTGTAATGGCTCGCAACGTCGAGGTCGGACATTATGGCTAGACGGGATGCTGGTCTGGGGTGGAGACAGGACGAATCGAAATGGAGGGGGTGGTCTCAGGGTCAGGGTCCGGAGGGTGGAGGGCAGAGGCCACTGCTCGGAGCCTCCTGCAGGAGACTGCAGATGACAAGAATCAGCAGAAGCTAGGATTTTGTGAAATCCGTAATGGTGGCAGTCAATGGCAGCTGTCGAATGGATCCAAGTATGAAGCTCAGGGCCCTGAAGTTGGGTTGCTGGTACCGCAGACCAATGACCAGCAGCAGAGTGGACTTTCGGGTAGCCGGAGAGCCCATCAAACCACCAATGCGGTCTGCCCGGTCGGATCGGTGCGGCGCCGAGAAACTCGATTCTTTCGTCCCTTTTCCCTCTTCTCTTCCTTCTCCCCACCATCACACCCTTTCCCCTACGAAGCCGATTGTCGGGATCTGTTCACGATGCTCGCCGCCAGAAACTTCTCTGCTGCTCGCCAGTGCCTGCGGTCAGCCCGCATGGCCCCCAGCTTCGTCACCTCTGTGTCGCAGGTACCGTCTACCACCTGCATCCCCTCTCGTCCACCGAATCCGAGTCGCCCACTTAACGAACATCAATTAACTGACCTTCTCTCGAATTGTAGCTGCGCGGTTACGCTTCCTCTCCCGCCGATGCTGTCGCCAAGTTCAAGGGCCAGAAGGGCTCTGATGTACGTGTTGTTCCCAGCCATCGCGATTTTTTTTTCCCTATTCTTGCCGGCGCCAACCGCGCGCCTGAAACCCACGAACAAATCCTCCTTCAATACTATCGTCGCAATACTGATTAATTCTGTTCTGCGTAATAGGGCAAGTACACCGTTACTCTGATTGAGGGTGACGGTATTGGCCCTGAGATCTCTCAGTCGGTCAAGGATATCTTCGAGGCTGCCAAGGTAAAGACTCGTCGCAACATTGATTGGACGGGAATGATTAGGGATACTAAGTCTTATCACAGGCCCCCATCAAGTGGGAGTCCGTCGACGTTACTCCCATTCTGAAGGATGGCAAGACCGCCATCCCCGACGACGCCATCCGCAGTGTCGAGAAGAACTATGTCGCGCTCAAGGGTCCCCTGGCTGTACGTTCAACTTCGCGCATTTTGGCATTATCACCCTGCGTCATTGGCGATGCTAATCGCAATTGTTTTCTATACTTTTAGACCCCCGTTGGTAAGGGTCACGTTTCCCTGAACCTTACTCTGCGCCGTACCTTCAACCTGTTCGCCAACGTCCGTCCTTGCCGCTCCATTGCCGGCTACAAGACCCCCTACGACGGTGTTGACACCGTCCTGATCCGCGAGAACACCGAGGGTGAATACTCCGGAATCGAGCACGTCGTTGTCGATGGCGTTGTCCAGAGCATCAAGCTCATCACCAAGGAGGCCTCCGAGCGCGTTCTGCGCTTCGCCTTCCAGTACGCCGAGTCCATCAACAAGAAGAAGGTTCGCGTCGTGCACAAGGCCACCATCATGAAGATGTCTGACGGTCTGTTCCTGAACACCGCCCGCGACATCTCCAAGGACTTCCCCGATGTCGAGTTCGACGCTGAGCTGCTGGACAACTCGTGCCTGAAGATCGTCACCGACCCCACTCCTTACAACGACAAGGTTCTTGTCATGCCCAACCTGTACGGTGACATTCTGTCCGACATGTGCGCCGGTCTGATCGGTGGTCTTGGTCTGACCCCCTCCGGTAACATCGGTGACGAGTGCTCCATCTTCGAGGCCGTCCACGGTTCCGCTCCTGACATTGCTGGCAAGGGTCTTGCCAACCCCACTGCTCTGCTCCTGTCTTCCATCATGATGCTGCAGCACATGGGTCTCCACGACCACGCTAACCGCATCCAGAAGGCTATCTTCGACACCCTGGCTGAGGGCAAGGTATGTTTTTGTGCTCCCAGTACCTTGGATATTGACTAGAAACAAATGCTGACAATCGTCTTTCCAGGCCCTCACTGGTGACCTCGGTGGCAAGGCCAAGACCCACGAGTACGCCGAAGCCATTATGAAGCGCCTGTAGACTTACGTCGCTACTTGGATTTCTTGTACTATGACCCCCCCATCTGATCTCTTTCTTCTGTACCCTCGAACGACCTTAGACTACCTATAGCGATCTAAATATACCTCTTTGTGGTTATGCCGATGTCTTCGAATTCAAAACCTTACGTAGTGGGTAGGCCTTGGTGGGAAGTTGTTTCATGGAAATAGTTGTAAAAAGTACATACAAGGCCCATTGTTACACAGAACAAATCACACAGTATTCAAAACGCCACTCCGAAGATCCGCTGGTATCAAAATATAAAACTGAAATGAAGGAAACAACCGATGTTTAGCGTCAACGTCGGCGAGCAGTTCGGCGGGTTGTAGTACTCGTTGAAGCCTTTTTGGTGTCCTTCTGCTTGGACCGTGATGCCTTTGCCCTCGTGCTCCTTGAACCTCCCTTGTCACTGCTCTCCTCTTCCTCATCGTCCTCGCTGTCTTTGCCACCGTCACTACCCTCCTCGCCCTCCTCTTCATCACCTTCATCATTGACGTCGGAATCTTCCCCAGAGTCTGCGTCCTCATCGGACGCCTTGCCTTGGCTACCAGAGCCAATTTCAATTTGAAGTCGTGTCGAGCGAGTTTCGCGTGCGGGTTGGCGTGTGCCACGATTGTATTTGCGGCCTCGAGATGGAGCGGGAGATGAGCGAGGCTCTGCGGCGAGCGATTGGGTCAGTTGCTGGAATTGGTAAATGGTTGAGAGGAGATGTTTGCAACTTACCGTCGGTGTCTGCCACCGTGCTTCCTCGTCGAGACTCGGCATGGCGACTTGTTACAGGCGACAACGAACCTTCTGTCGCCAGCCGCCTCTCAAACATGAGGTCGCCATATTCGTCGTAGGGAAGCTCAAACGGCCAGTACATCTCACTTGGCTCCTCCTCCTCATCCTCATTCGTATCCGCAAACACTGCGTCCTCCTGATTCATAGCAGTCATTAGTAAGGAGATGCTCAACTGGTCCAAAGTTCGAGTGTGGCCTACCCGTTCATCTAACGCCTCCAAGTTGTATAGAGTACCCAGCTTTTTCCATATCCCGGGAATACGCATATGTTCTGCTGACGAGGGCGCATATCCTTGACTCTTCAGGTAGTCTGCAATTGCGAGCATGCGGAAATGCTTGTGAACGCCTGGAATACGAGCTTAGTTAGCTTCCAATGCCCTCAAGTGCGACTCAGCTAGACCAAATGGTAACTCACCAACGGGTTTCCATTTTATTATCGCCTTTAATAGTGCCGTCTCTTGCTCGTCTGTCCAAGGATCGCCAATCAAGTCATATTCGGGCTCGGGCTTTTCAGCGCTGTCGATTGATCCTGGGGTATCCGCACTAGATTGCGCCGCTGTGTCCTCGGGAGGTGTAGTGGAGTGTGCGCGCTTGGTTTTCTTTCGGGGTGGCATTGCGATTAATCAATGTCATACAGCAATAGCTGAACGAATTGACGTGCGTGAGATGCGGATACTGGAGAAAGCTGAGCTTCAAGACTGACAGTCGCGGGTTTCTGTTATCGCGTGGCCCGTGCACGATAGCCCTCCCTCCCATCGCGGGACTGTCCCATGAATTTCGAACGCGTCCACCACAACGCCACGGAGAGTTTCTGGCTGGCTATGGATTCAGGATGGACTCCGCTGACCATGAGCCTGATCCTTTCTCCAGTGAGAGCCTATGGAGACTTTCAAGGTTTAGCATTGAGGCTCTGCAACCATTAGAAGACCTACCATGGAACGCGGACTTACCGAGTACGTATCCCGCCTCCGAGGGTATCTAGCTAGCTAATGACGTCTCTGTTGGTGTACAGCAATTCCCAAAACATGCTTTAAGCCCCCATTCGAAGGCGTTGACACGCCTGACTCGATATGGAAACTTAACTTCTTCCCCAATGACATTGAACGCCCCGAGTCTTCGGCCAATTCAGTTATCGAGCCTTCTATCGATGTCCAATCCGATGCGCCATCAGACACCCTCCACGACCTCGCAGACGATATTGATATCTGGAAGCTCGACTCGTGCAGAGAGGATTCCGACTACATCGCCCCTTCGAAAACGTGGGAGAGATATCAGAATCGTCGACATCGCGAACCAGTGTCGGCATACTTTAGCGAATCGGGCGCGAAAGGATTCGATGCAGCGCTGTCACACCAAGCACATGCAAAGGGGAAACCCATTGCCGGCCGATTAGTTCGAGATGGTGTCTTCATTCGGTCGCTGCTTCGTCTTGGACTCGGTTGGAGCTCGTCGTTCTTCCGCTACAACGAGCAGACAAAAACATTCGAGAGATGTATGAACGATGTGCGCGTTTCCGGGGTGAGCCTCGCAATGCTAGACTCTGTCATTTCCAGCGTGCTACAATGCGGTACGAACATGCAGCACATACGGGCCTTTGTAAAGAATGCGCCCACCAAGCCCAAGGATCTATTTTCTTTGTTCACGTTGCGCGGTACCGTCGCGATCATCATCTACAATCTGGAGCAGCAGATTCTCCTATATTCCCAAAACATCGTTTCAGTCTTGCGGGTCATGACACTGTTTCAACGATGCGGGGACTTGATAAGCGCTTTGGCCGATGTCGTCAATATGGCAGAGAAGGCCAAATCAGACGCCCAGGTTATATCTGCCGTGATTGAGCGAGCAACAGTCTTTACCCATATGTTTGGGTGGATGGAGAATCTATTGCAGGAGATTGTCTTCCGAGTAACTAGCCCCTGGTTCGAGTTCGTCGAACGCTGGATAGGGCTACGATCGGACGAAGGTGCTCTGAGCGAACTGGTGGCTAGTGGAAGAATGTTTGTACAGTTGGAGCATCATCATGACCCCACGAAGTTTAAGACGGGCTCTGAAAGGACCGAGTACATCTACGTTGATGCCCACATGCCTTCTTTCATACCGAAAGATCAAGCTCGGACTATTTTTGAGAGTGGGCGGAGTTTGCGCCTTCTGAAAAGATCAGATCCACACCATCCCATTGCACGTCATGACGTGCTTCCCGGTGCGAAAAATCTTCGTTTATATTGTGCGACTACGTGGAGTGACATTGAAAGGATCCAAAGGCAAGCAAATGAGCATGAAGCAAGCCTTCGCCATGAGATCTTGAAGTACCACAGAGGACATAATTCTAAGCAACCAGCCGAACTGGACACTCCGGCAAGCAGACAGCCATCATGTGGAAACTTGAATGGCACGTACGAGTTGTTCGATTTGGATGATGAGAAGATTATCTCGGGGTCTGTGGTAGATCAAAGGGCTCTTGTTAATGACAAAATCAATCAACTCCTTGAGAAGACCAGGGAGCCGGCCTCGGATTATGTCGATGACGCGAGTCGTTTTGGCCCTGAGCTATCGTCTGCCCTTTACCTCTCCCTTGCTCCAGTCATTTCTTCCCAGGCACAATTGATCGACTTTTCCTACCTACACCATCTATTCAAAGAGCATAATGTACGGCACCATCTCGACCTACAATGGCGCTTCCAATTGCTTGGAGACGGCTCCTTTGCCTCCCGTCTTACACACTCACTTTTTGACCCCGAGATGGAGAGTGGAGAACGCAAGAATGGCGTAGTCCGGAGTGGTGTTCATACTGGATTGCGTCTGGGAAACCGCGACGCTTGGCCCCCGGCGAGCTCAGAGCTACGACTGGTACTCAACGGGCTTCTCGGTGATTGTTATTTCTCCGAAGAGGAACCTGAGAAGTCGGAACAGACACGGGGCCAGCAAGACAATCAGCTCCCAGGCGGACTGAGCTTTGCGATCCGTGAGTTGACAGATGAAGAGATTGAAAGATGCAGAGATCCGAATGCTATCGAGGCCTTGGACTTCCTCCGTCTGCAGTACAAGCCTCCCGAAGCTCTTGAAGCACTCATCACAGCGAAGTCTTTGAAGAGGTACGATCGTCTCTTCAAACACCTGCTTCGGCTATTGCGAATGGTTTCGGTTGTGAAGGGACTTGTTCGGGACTCGACGAATCGTGGCTCTATGTCAGGAGACACCCGCAATGTGTTTCAAAAGTTCCGCATCGATGCCCAACATTTTGTGCTCGCTATTAGCGACTACTGCTTCCATGTCGGCATCGGATCTATTTGGGATCAGTTTCAAGAGACACTTGCTAGGATTGAGCGCTGCCTCGACCGCGGTGACATTGACGGGACAATCGAAGCCGCTCACTCCGTCCCGCGCCTGCGTGACTTTCACGAGGACATTCTTGACCAAATGCTATTTGCATTTTTCCTCAGTAAAAGGCACGCGCAGGCGGCTAAGCTGTTGGATTCCATCTTCGGGACTATATTGTCCTTTAGCACCCTGTCCAAGGCAGATGGGTTGAGTGGACTGCGTCACGAAAGCGAAGGAACCGTCTTTCACTTATACTCAAGTTTCCGGAAACAAACATCTACCTTTGTTGGACATCTCCGTAGCCTGGACACGGGCAAGGCATCCTCAAAGTCCATGGGGAAGTCTGAATCGTTGCTAAGCTCTCGTACCGACACGACTAGTATTTTCGAGCATCTGCGAGTCAGACTAGATGTGAGGGATTATTACTGAATTCTCTGAGCCCTTAGAGGAATGATGATTTACGATATGGCACTCAGAGACTTCTGAGAACTTTTGATGAATAACGGAATCTCCAAATACCACCAAAATCTGCGTGTTTGCTCAAGCTCGTAACTTTACAAATCGAATGTTCTTTATGTGAAAGGCCACAACCAGGAGGATATTGATACCTCGTCTCTCAGGCAAGCAATAATTATCAACATCACTCGTTCTCTCTCGATTGTTTCCTCTCTTCTTTTCCCATTCCTTGGGTAGGGCGCCCATTCCTTGACAAGCTGGGTAGCTTTCAGAAGCGATTATAAAATGATAAATTTCCCAGCTGAGCGCAGAAAACTCAACCCCTGGCACATTAAACCTCTAATAAAGTAAACTGCATTGTTTGAGAGCCTCTGACTATCAATTTCTTAAGGTTGTGGACCCCCTTTGGATTGTGTAGTCTAGTAGTAGTAAATCTTTCGTAAGAAGCCTGATAGAAGATTTCAGGGTCAATTTATCTATAGAGACAGGAGCGATGACTATCATGTAAATCCCTATATCTGGATTCACATGGCTCGCCTCGAAAAACAATAAACAAACTTTCCATGATGAGAAATACGGCGCGCTCGAACGCGTCCGTTCGCGACTCTAATGTTGATTCTTCGATAAAGACAACATCGCCATCCTTATTACAGAATACAGCGGCTCAATGGCTGTCCCTCAAGCCCCAACAATCTCGAATTTACATATTTTAGGTGCTGTAGAGAAATGGTGGTTGGTAGAAGCTCGCCTTCTATCTTGGAACTAAACGTAGGCATCGGATAGAGTAGAATAAGCATAAATGTATGCTTGGTTTATATTCAATATGGGCCGTTTAATACCAAGAGGACTTGATTAATTTGATGATTTCACATCAAATTTTTCCCTATCACAACACACTCTTCTCCTCTCATCTGCCTCTCCATCCTCGGCGTCACCTTCGCTTCACACATCCCTATAACGTGAAACATTTCGTTCTAAAAGTTTATCCCACGCTCCTCAAAATCTCCTCTACTCTTCAATCACCTCACCATATCATCAAATCTCTCTTCCATATGCCACCAATGTCTTCGTCGTGCGAGAAGCCCTCATCTGAGGCACCTAGCTCGGCCATCCTGTCTAGCCCGGCGGGTTCGCAAGCATCTCCGAGTGATGAGCATTCGTTGGTGACAATGGGCCGAGACACCCCATGGAGTCCTGTGGAGTCATTGCATGAATACCTCGATTCTGAATCCACGGGGTGTTCTTCTTCACGCCCATCAGCAGACAGCTTGATTTTTCGATCTGTGGAGCAAGGCGAAATGGTGGCCCCAGAGCCTCGGGAAACCTCTTTGTCAGATAACCTCTTCATGAGATTGATGAGACCAGCTGCTCAGCTGATGATCTCTCCCGCCGATCCAACCCTAATCCCTACCGAACAAGCCCTCAAATACCGCGAGGAGCTTTTCAGCCACGTCCCCCACGCGGTCCAGAAAACCATGCACAGCGTCAGAACTACTCGGCACGCATTGGCTGATCCTACCGGGACCCCATCCTCTCCTCCTAACTGGGTTAAGAACGTGGACTCCAAGTTCATCTCGGAGAAATGGCCGCAGATTGTGGAGCACCATAAAACAATCATGGCCGCCGCAGTGAAGCAGTTCCGCCTGAAAGAACTCGAACGCGAACTTCAGACCCCGGAAGCGAGAAGCGTTCTGCTCAAAATTAAAGAGCGTGGAGAGTTGAAGAAAGATATCTGCTTGTCTCACACCGATATTGCCGATCAGATCTTTGCCGAAGAGGACCCGGCCATGTGGGCCATGCTTCTTGAGCTGTACCAACAGGAAGTTGGAGAGAATCTTCTGGAGCCTCACTCACCTCCAGACCCTCCCGGATTTGCTGCTGTTATTGACGACTTGCTCTACGATCCAACCAAAGACTCTAGCTATGGAAGCAAGCATTCCTGAGTTTGTCGACAAGCACCAATTGAAACACCATGCGGAGTCTGGTGTCAATTCGGAGGATGTGTTACAGGTGGGGGCCTACCAAGGGCCTAGAAGGTTTCTTTGTACGGTATACTTGCACAAGACCTCCAGTGTACCAGGCTATCTGAATGAAATTTAATTCTCTTTCGTCTTGAAAAGTTATTGTAGATTGTCAAATTGTTCTCATTATACATGGACTTTGTTCATATATTAGTAGCTAGCAAGTCTGTTCTCGATCAAAAGAAGTGAAGGTCAGACTCGGCCCAGCCCTGGGCAAGAAGCACTTTCTTTGCCGATTGTTCCATTGCCCCTGGTCCACAAATAATGACCATACTGCTCTCTTCGGGAGGCGCGAATTCCTTCACTAAGTCTTCAGAGATACGTCCACGGCGACCTGTCCAGTCCTCTGACCCCTTCGTTAAGGTATGTACAACAGTACACTTTTCACCGTCTGTTTCCACATATTTATCAAGCTCCGAACGACACAGAATATCCTCCTCAAGTCTGTTGCCATCAAGGACAACACACTTTGTTGGATCTTGTGAATCCTCCATGACAGCACGCAGCACTTGAAAGATCGGTGTGATACCAGTACCACCACAGATCATCTTGAAAGAGCGAACATGCCGTTCCTTGCTGCTGGTGAGCACACGACCGTTACCCAGATACTCAAACCGACCAGTGGGTCCCTTGCAGTCAATCTCTGCTCCAATTTGGAGTTTGTCAAGGGCCATTGTCATCTTTCCACCAGGGACATCCTTGGTGGGGAAATAGATCTTGACCAGCAATTCCATCTTGCCTTCCATCTGTGTGTCTGATATAGGAGTGTATGATCTGATGATGGCTTCTTTGCTGTCCGGGTCGTTGATTTTGATCATCAAGTGCTGGCCGATCGGCAATCCCAAAGTCTGCTTTTCATGTTCCAAATCAAAGACGAATATCCTGGTATCCCAGGATACAGTCTTCACCTCTGAGAGTTTGAGTTTGGACCAAGCGCGGGACTGGAGGAATGTCGGACGTGGCTCGTCGGACATAGCTCCAGTGTTGCTGCTGAGCGCCTTTAGAGATGCTGCGTCCAATGTACCAATATGGTAGTCGGGCATCATCAACTTCGCAGTCTCGGAGTCTGGGAAGAAAGTTAGCGGAATAGCAAATGATGTGGGGTGCAATATTTATACTTACGAATTGCCAGGAAGTCCTCTGACACGTCGAGCCCAGCAGAGGATGTAATACTAATTGCTCCTCCAGGGTGACCCTCAAGGAACCCGGTGCCATCATACACTTCACCGTTCACAACGAACCAAGGCTTCTCGCTGCTGCTGTTTGCCTTGAACTCTTCCAGACTAATTTGGCGGTTCTCGCCTTCTTTCTTCATGTTGATCTCCTTCATGGGCTCTTGTTCCACCAGTTCTTCACCTTGGTGCCTCTCGCCCCAATTGCCGTTTGTCAAATCACCGCCCGCCTTCTTGACCCTCTCCATCCAGCCTCCAGCCCTGACTGGATGTGTCGGGTGTTCGAACTTCAGCAGGCTCCCTTCTTTTGTGATCGTCACCCTGAACCATGGGTTATTCATCATGCCGAGAACAGACCAGTACATATCGCGCGGTTGGGCGGCCATTGCATCGTCCATCGCTCGCACAAGTAGCGCATCACTATCTTCCAGGTCTGAGACGGGAATAGGGAGAGACCAGAATGACCAGCAAAAACAGGTCTCTCGTTGCCCCATGTCGACTGTTCCACCAAACAACTCGCCGTCGTATTCTCGGTATTTGTCTTCGGCGTATTCGATCTCGGCGAGACGCCATGCTGCAGATCATCATTATATGTTAGCTGAAGTTCATAAAGCTGAGGGCGGCCAGGCAGCCGTACATTTGCCTTTGTCCAAGGATACTTCAACCCTTGTGATCCGTCGACCACCACCGGCGTATGCATAACCTTTCGCAGTGTATGTTTTCCCACTTGAGAGCAAGTCCAGTGTCTCTTCGTGCTCTGGGTATGCTGCGACCGAGTTGACATTAAGGTCGTAAATGGCATATCGCTCATCAGTCCACCACTTCTTATCCGCCGCAGCCATCTCGGGAGAAACCATTGTTCTGGGAAAGAAGTTAGTTGAGGAATGCAACGCTCTCGCTCTTCCAAGATAACTTACGGAAGCACCCGGTTGTCGTAAATATGATACCAGTTTTCACTTGGGGCCTCGGTTACAATCAACTTGGTCAACCATTTAACACTACGGCCACCGATCTGGCCAGGTACAACTGCCCGCAGAGGACGGCCATGGTCTGGAGTAAGTGCCTCGCCGTTCATCTTGTAAGCCAACATGATCAACTTGTTCGGGTCCATAGCCCAGTTCAATTTGACAGAAGTTCCGTAGTATCCGTTGGGCTATAGAACGAGTTAGTCACATTGTTCTTACTTTTCAAGAGCAGTTCGAAGAAAGGATTTCTCATACCAATTTGTCAGCTCCCTCCATACACACAAACTTGGCTCGTCGGAGAGGCTTCGCGCTGCGGAGGATATCGGCCATCAAAGGCCCTGTAAATAGAGCAGTTGATAGACCAGCTGGACCCCATGAGAAACCTTTCGACTTCCGAACCGTGTTCTGTTCTTTGCGTCTGTTGCCAGCACAGACGAGTGTGATAGGTGCGGTGATTTGATCATATTTCTCGAGAATGTCGCGGAAGCTCAAAGTGATCGGGTTTTCGACGAGTCTAGATACAATCAGTATTCGCCAATGCCCGACAATAACACCACTCACCCTTCTATGCTCAGCTTCCAGTCGGGAATGTCTTCGTCGCGGACCTGTGGTACCGCGCCATGGTTTCGGACATAGAACAGTTCTGGTGGCGTGAGAAATCCTTATGGGAATGTCAGATGGATGTCCTGAACGGCTGAAGCGTTTTAAATTATAGTACCTTGGTTGAATAACGTTGTCAGAGGAGCCTCTACATTGAAAGGATGCACGCCGGTCAGTCGAATAAGCCTTGGATCGCGGGGCACATGGTTATCCGGGGTGCCTCGATCGACATCTAGAATCTCGGTCGGGGTGAAGGATGGCGGTGGTAGAGGGATATCAACTTCTTGTGGCGTTGGTAGATCATGGAATGTGATGAGTGATTTCTTGAATGACAACTTGTCACTATTGACAAGAACTTGTGTGTTGGTCATTGCCATAGCGAATGTACACGCGTGTGACACGTAGAATGTTTTTCGATGTCGTAGTGACAATCGACGGTATCTACGATGGACTCTTGAACTGATAATAAGGGTCAGATACTCCAAGAAATTTCATGCCAAATCATGTCATAACGGTCGATTGCCGAGAATACCGTCCATCAGCAAAATAAGACAACGTATGTACGATATCAGACCCCGAGATCGCCCACCGCCCACGACATCCGTCAGCATCCATTGTAAGCATCTCCGCGGGTCCGCAGGAGCAGTTCTTACGACATTAAATAAGACAATACATGATATGAGTGTGCGTCTATTAACCCGACCCATAGTACAACCTTAGGGGGAAATTCGTCAACATGGGTGTTCTTAGCCCTTATCGGACCATAGCTGGGGACCAATCAGCGCGAGGAAATTGTTATCAGGATAGAGTTGGTTGATCTCCATTAGTGTTGGGGCGACGATCTCCGCGGAAGGCCAGTTCCAGTCCACTTTCTTATCAACGATCGCCTTCGAATGGACTCGCCGATGTGGACCTTGCTTCTCCCGATGTCCCTACTCATTGCTTGTTCGTCGCAACTTTGTACTCCGGACTGCATGAAATGATCGGAAAGTCTGATTTCTTAAAACTAGATTGTAGCCAGATCTTTGTAGCGTGGTACGGATCATTCTGTTTTCAACTCTCCAACACTGTAATCCGTTACTATGCCACTTCTAGACGGGCTTCGCCATGGCGAGCCGGTCGACGGCAGCGCCAGCTCCGGTATCCATACCGAGCCAACTGCCACGCGACAAAAGATTGTAATTGTAGGATTGGGAATGGTGGCCATCTCATTGATGTAGGTCTTACAGACAGACATCGGCGCATTCGTCTCGCGCTAACAAAATACAGTGAGAAAGTGATCAAGCAGGATACGGCCCGTCGGTTCGATATCTTGGTCATTGGAGAAGAGCCGCACATCGCATACAACCGTGTAGGACTCTCAACATACTTTGAGCACCGCAAGATTGAGGACCTTTACCTTAATCCCAAAGAATGGGTCAGTTGACTGCGACCAACCGTGAAACTTGGAAGAAATGGTATCATCCTAATGCGATCGTATAGTACGGATCATTCAAAGAGCGCGCTTTCGATCACCATCTCAACACCCGAGTCACCGAGATCGATTCCAACAAGAAGACCGTTCAAACATCAACCGGAGAAACGATTTCCTATGATATTCTCGTTCTCGCTACTGGCTCCGATGCCGTCCTCCCCACAAACACCCCTGGCCATGATGCCAAGGGCGTTTTCGTATACCGCACAATCCAAGATCTCGAATCCCTCATTGACTTTGCATCCAAACACAAGGGCGAAACGGCCGTCACGGTCGGAGGAGGTCTGCTTGGCCTAGAAGCAGCCAAGGCTATGACGGATCTGGAAGATTTCGGCAACGTCAAACTCATTGATCGCAACAAGTGGGTCTTGGCCCGGCAATTAGACGCTGACGCCGGCTCTTTGGTCACTCGCAAGATTCGGGAGTTGGGTCTCGATGTGCTCCACCAGAAGCGGGTCAAGGCCGTGAACACGGACGCGGATAACCACGTGGTGGGTATGACGTTTGAGGATGGTGAGCAGATTGACTGCTGCTGCATTTGCTTCGCGGTAAGTTCTGGTTTTATGTTGTAAGCCCTATGGAGGCAGCAATTGATTGTTCTCTTATAGATCGGTGTGAAACCGAGAGACGAACTGGGCCAATCAGCGGGTATCCAGTTAGCTTCAAGAGGTGGCTTTGTCATTGACGAAAGGTAAATTGACTCTTCGATGCTTTTGCTTCTGTAAAGAGAATGTCCAACTAACATTTTCAGCCTTCAAACATCCGTACCTGGCATCTACGCCGTCGGGGAATGCGCCAGCTGGGAGAACCAGACATTCGGTATCATCGCGCCCGGTATCGAAATGGCCGATGTCCTCGCCTACAACCTCACAAACCCTGACAAGGAGCAGAAGCGCTTCACTCGCCCGGATCTCAGCACGAAGCTGAAGCTACTTGGAGTTGATGTTGCCTCGTTTGGAGATTTCTTTGCCGACAGAGATGGGCCCAAGTTCCTCCCCGGTCGCCGTCCATCGGTCATCGACGGGGTCAACGCAGAAGCACCTCGTGAAAAGGAACCTCCTGTAAAAGCATTGACATACAAGGATCCATTTGGTGGAGTGTATAAGAAGTATCTGTTTACTATGGATGGCAAATTCCTCCTGGGAGGTATGATGATCGGGGACACCAAGGACTACCTCAAATTGAACACGATGGTCAAAAGCCAGAAGGAACTGGAGGTACCACCAAGCCAATTCATTCTTGGGGCACAGAGCGATGGCGAGGAGAATGCCGATGACCTGTAAGCTGCCTTCTGGATTCCCTTGATTTTCGCGTCACTAACATCCTACTCTAGAGATGATAGCGTGCAGATTTGCTCTTGTCACAACGTGACCAAGGGCGATGTGGTTGAGTCCGTCAAGAGCGGAATTTGCAAGACCATGGGTGAAGTCAAGTCATGCACTAAGGCTGGTACCGGTTGTGGTGGCTGTATGCCTTTGGTGCAATCCATCTTCAACAAGACTATGCTCGAAATGGGACAAGAGGTGTCAAACCACTGTGAGTATAGAGCTCTTACTGACAGGCTTGATGTGGTAAATACTGACGGGATTAGTGTGCCAACACATTCCCTACTCCCGCGCCGATCTGTATAACATTGTTGCCATCAAGCAACTGAAGACCTTCCCCGAGGTGATGAGAGGTGCCGGCAAGAACCCCGATTCCTTGGGTTGTGAACTGTGCAAGCCTGCCATTGGCTCAATCCTTTCCAGTCTGTTCAACCCTCACGTCATGGACAAAGGATATAACGATCTTCAAGACACCAATGACAAGTTCCTCGCCAACATTCAAAGAAACGGCACATTTTCCGTCGTGCCTCGAGTACCAGGTGGAGAGATCACCGCCGACAGGCTGATTGCCATTGGAACAGTCGCCAAGAAATACGGACTTTACTGCAAGATCACTGGTGCCCAGCGCATTGATATGTTTGGGGCAAAGAAGCAGGATCTTCTGGCCATCTGGACTGAGCTTGTGGACGCTGGTATGGAGAGTGGTCATGCGTATGCCAAGGCTCTCCGTGCTATCAAGAGTTGTGTCGGTACTACTTGGTGTCGCTTCGGTGTTGGCGACAGTGTCGGCATGGCTATTCGATTGGAGGAGCGATACAAGAGTATTCGCGCACCTCATAAGTTCAAGGCCGCGGTGTCGGGCTGTGTGCGAGAGTGTGCCGAGGCGCAGAACAAAGAGTGAGCCTATTCACCAATTTCCTCTCCAACGATTAAAAACTTCAAACATTAACAAAATCACAGTTTCGGTCTTATCGCAACTGACAAAGGTTTCAACATCTATGTCGGAGGTAACGGTGGTGCTAAGCCTCGGCACTCTGAGCTCCTCGTAACGGATGTACCCCCCGAGATGGTTATGCCCATCATCGATCGCTATTTGATCTTCTACATTCGCACAGCAGACAAGCTGCAAAGAACTGCCCGTTGGATCGAGAACTTGCCTGGTGGCATCAGCTATCTGAAGGAAGTCATCATCGACGACAAGCTGGGTATCTGCGCCGACATGGAGCGACAAATGCAGGAGCTTGTTGATACCTATTTCTGCGAATGGACTGAGACCGTCCGAGATCCAAAGAGACGAAAGACCTTCCAACAATTCGCCAACACGGATGAAACTGTTGAAACTGTCGAAGTGATCAAAGAACGCGCCCAGAGCCGTCCCACATACTGGCCCGCAACCTCAGCGCAAGAAGACTTCAAGGGTCATCAGTGGTCTAGCCTTGCATGGCAGCCCGTGGTCAAATCGGATCACTTCTCGGATGAGCCTCCACAAGTCTCATCGGCGAATGTCAAACGAGGCGATACTCAACTCGCCGTATTCAAGATCAAGGGTAAATACTACGCGACGCAGCAGATGTGTCCCCACAAGCGAGCTTTCGTTCTTTCGGACGGTCTGATCGGCGATGACGACGCTGGCAAGTACTGGGTTTCATGCCCGTACCATAAGCGCAACTTCGAGCTCAACGGCGAACAAGCAGGGCGATGCACCAACGATGAGAGCATGAACATCGCTACTTTCCCCGTGGAAGAAAGAGACGATGGGTGGGTCTACGTCAAGCTACCTCCCATCGAGGAGCTAGATTCCGTTCTTGGAACGGAGAAGTGGAAGGTCAAGAAGGGAGAAGCTCCAGACCCGTTCCAGAAATTGGACAAGCGATACAAGGGCATGAAGGGCAAGAAGGTTGCCGAGGGTGAAGGTGTATCCGAATCACTAGCTCAACCAGCCAAGGGGATTGACTGGTAGAGGTTGTAGAATGTTAGTGTAACGACTGTATTGCATTTTGGCGTTTGGGCTGGATTGTATTTGCGGTTGCCTTATTGCCTCATGGGCCTCAGAGTGAGATTACACAATTTGAGTTACATCAATGCATTCTAATAGATCTGAGAAACGGCCCGGTTGATTGAATCTTCCATTAAAATGGACAATGGGAATCGACATAGAAACTGTTGCGATTTGGTCTAATTGACCACAGTTACAGTAGTAGTCTGTTAATTACTTACTGTAAGTTAGTGAAAATAATCCAGTCATGGCTAATTGGGTCAAGAGATGCCATAGTTAATCGAATCTTGGCCTCATGATGGACTTTGGCAGAGTGTAAACAAGCTAATACAACACCGGCTTCTCAGCATGGAGAAGTAATGAGCGTGGGAGCTCATCACCGATCGTAGTTTTTCATTCTTTTGCTTATCGAAGTTATTTTATGGTTCCAGCATTTCAAAAGATGCGCACACACAGACGCACGCAACCACGTTGACTGCGATTTCATCACGTGGAGGTAAACTGTATCCCACATTTTCTGCAAGCCATTGGGCTCTTGGGCTCTTGACTTCCTCGGAGAACGTTCTTCTTATTCAAGATTTTCCTCCCGATCTTCTCATGTACGTGAGATATGATGATAGTCATCCGGAGTACTCTGCGCCGCAAGGGGGCGATGGGCCACAGTCATAGTTGTCTTCCAGCAATTCCAAGGAGAAAGAGGAATTTTGCCAGGGAAGAACTCTTATTTAACTATTTCCGCGGAGGTCAGATCAACCCGATCAAGGCCGTTCCTGATCCACAGAAAAGTGGTTCGCACCCCTATTCCTATCTTCGTTGCAAGTTCGACATCCAATGAGAGGCAATGCGTTAATCAATGCCGGGCCTGGTGGGCCTGACAACCCTTGCTCCAGCGAACCGCCTCGAGCCCCAGACATTAAGATTGTATGACATGCTCAACTGAGGCTATGAAATGATCTTTTTCCATTCCCATTGTTAAACCCGCGGAGTTGTGAAATTCGAAATCCCAAACTGTCTTCTTATCGGGACTGGTCACTTAGGGTTTTCGGCACTCGGGCCGCGTTTTTCATAGGCCATTACGATCCATTCCTTATCTTTACCGGGTTTATGGCCCAGACCACCCTGTCCAATTCAAGTCTTGGGCAAGCCTGTGCGTGTCTGGGGTTCTTGCCTTATCCATCGAGTGATCTGCTAATAGAGTAAGATCGTCGTCGAATCAGCGGGGGTGGATGTAATCTGACTTTTTGCTTTTTTTGGCCGTGAATACTCTACCCGATTTTAGTTCGTGCGCTACTTGTTATTCTCCCAGGCACCGCGATAACCGTGATTGTGGCTCGGCATGTGTCACAATGAATAGAGGCCCAGTATACGAGTATCAATCCTAGATGCGAACGTCTTTGTCTATATAGATGTTAGCGGTTGCCGGTTAAGTTTGAACATCACACACTTCAACGATTCGATCTCATTACTTTAGCCTTGGGATCAGACACTTACCAATCGACCTCCCTCTTGGTACAGAAGCTTTTGTGCTATTCTCATTGGAGACCGATCTAGCCATCACCATATTTGTTGAAGGCGTATTGACACGCTTTGTGAGCCCACAATGGCTATTAGCTCTCTCAGAGTCCTCTATGCCTCGCCAGAGGTCAACCCTACCAACAGGAAAGCCATCTCTATTCCTATTCTGAACCCATACGATCAATATGGTCGAGTTTTCTTCTTTGCTTGGATGGGTTTCATGGTCGCATTCCTGTCGTGGTATGCGTTTCCTCCACTGGTAAGTTGTACAATCTCTGCTCGCAGTGTATCAAACGCAATTGTCCGCTAAACTAATTCTATAGTTGACTGTCACTATCAAAAAAGATCTTCACATGAGCCAGCAAGATGTAGCTAACTCAAACATTGTCGCGCTTCTTGCAACGTAAGATACCTGATTCGCTATAATTTGTCAACATGACCTAACGGAATTCTAGTTTCCTCGTTCGGTTCATTGCTGGACCACTCTGTGATCGCTTTGGTCCCCGCTTGGTCTTCGTTGGACTTTTGCTCGCTGGATCTCTCCCCACCGCCATGGCAGGCCTTGTGACGACTCCTAAGGGCTTGATCGCTCTGCGCTTCTTCGTTGGTATTCTGGGTGGTACATTCGTCCCATGCCAGGTCTGGTGCACCGGTTTCTTCGATAAGAAGATCGTCGGCACAGCCAACTCGCTAGCTGCTGGCTTTGGTAATGCAGGTGGTGGTATCACATAGTATGCTCACCCCTAAATCGTTTTAGGGTTCATATACTAACGATGTTTGTGCTTTAGCTTCGTTATGCCCGCCATCTTCGACTCTCTCGTCGCTAACCAGGGTTTGACTGCCCACAAGGCCTGGCGTGTCGCATACGTCGTTCCCTTCATCATCATTGTCTTCGTTGCTTTAGGTATGCTATTCCTGTGCGAGGATACCCCAACTGGAAAGTGGTCGGAGCGTCACCTCTGGGCCAAGGAGACGTCATCCACCGAGTCCACCTCTCAAGGCAACATTATCGACATCAACTCCGGCTTATCCTCCAGTGGACAATCGACAACGCCATCTCTGTATAACATGGGCCTGGAAGATGTGGAAAAGAAGGGCGCTCGCTCTCCTCGTGTCGTCGACAAGGACGCTTCGGCAATGGGTCAGATCGACACTCTCCGTCAGGATACCGTCGTTGCACCGACACGCAAGGAAGCATTCCGCGTTATATTCAGTCTCTCTACCATGGCTGTCACAATCCCCTATGCCTGCTCCTTCGGATCTGAGCTCGCTATCAACTCTATCCTTGGAACTTACTACGAGAAGAACTTCCCCCACATGGGCCAAACCAAGACCGGTCAGTGGGCAGCTATGTTCGGCCTCTTGAACGTCGTGTTCCGTCCCATCGGTGGTCTTTTGGGAGATGTTCTCTACCGCTTGACTGGAAGTGTCTGGTCCAAGAAGCTGCTTCTGTCCTCTTTGGGACTCATCATGGGAGCCTTCGAGCTGGCAATTGGCTTCACCAACCCCAAGAGCGAGGGAACCATGTTCGGCCTTGTGGCTGGTCTGGCCTTGTTCCTAGAGGCTGCCAACGGTGCCAACTTTGCAGTTGTCCCCCATGTGCACCCTTATGCCAACGGTATCGTTTCCGGTATTGTGGGCGGATTCGGCAACCTGGGTGGTATTGTCTTCGCCATTATCTTCAGATACCAAGGTTACGACTATGGTAAATCCTTATGGATCATTGGTGCGATCTCTTTGGGGGCCAACTTTGCTGTGAGCTGGATTCGCCCGGTCTCTAAGAACCCAGTGATCAGTTTGTGAAGGTTGTGAAAACGAGCATTGTTACGACTACATAAGACCATTATTTCCTTAGCGAGGAGTTCTTTTTCTTTGGGCGACTATCTTTCTCTCTGTCTTTAATTTATTTATATTTCTTACCCAAAATTGATCAGAGTCTTTATACTTCAAATCATGTATTGTAGCCTTCGGCATCCCGATGCATCGGGGCCTCGGGTTAGCACACGCCGAGCGCGGGCTAACACTGCGGCGACAAACGAGGGGCAGACGACAAGCGCGTGGGGATACTTGGCCTCTTTCAAGTTACTTATTGACTCAATTCAGTGATTGGTCTCCCTTCTTCATACTCAATTTATCCTCAACCTGCTATCTCCTCTGCCTCGTGACCTTTGTTTCTCCTTCCCCAGACCACTACCCCGCAGACCCCGCCTAAACCACATTTGTTCGCAAAGTGAATTCTTGTAGACGCACACAAAATGCCTCAGGTTCGCCGTATTGCTCAGATCGTCCACCTCAAGCCATCTGCAGTGGCGGCATACAAGGAATGTCATGCCAATGTCTGGCCCGAAGTCTTGCAGCAGATCAAGGACTGTAACATCATAGACTGTATGATCCCAGCTTTCCAATGGACTTGAGAATGGAATGGCTAATAAGACATTACCTACTCCAACAGATTCAATTTTCTTCGACAATGAGCGTACTCTATTCGCTACCTTCAAATATGTTGGTACGGACTTTGATGGCGATATGGAGAAGATGCGAGCGAACCCTAAGGTTCGAGAATGGTGGGCCATGACTGATGGCATGCAGGTATGACAGCCTTGAACCTTTTCAGATATCTGAATTATTAATGCTCGGTCTCAATAGGAGAGTCCTATCCCGGGCGCTGTCGGTAGTGCCGAGGGTCCTGGCTGGTGGAAGGTGCTGGACGAGGTCTTCTACACCGAGTAAAGGCTTTTGATCAAGCGAGGTCCAAACTGTATATAGCAGCAAATAGGTATGCAAAAATTTCATGTTCAAAAGGCTATTTGAAGAACTGGTCAATCCTCTTCTGTCGATTGTCATATGAAGCGCTCCCTATGCCACCACGGGTACGGCGCAGGCCCGCGAGATGTTCCTTATTATCAACAGCGAGTATCTTCATAGACCATCCTTGCAGAAGGATGTCTCCAGGAAGACTGCCAGATGATGGACCTTCATTGTCGACAATCGAGCTGGATGCTACGCGCACTTCTTGAGAGGTAATTTGTCGCTGTGGCCGTGGCGATGGCCATGACTGCTTCATTCGGATCGATAATTCCATAAAGCCTGTATTGGACCAACTTGGAGAGAGGAGGGCAGCTGGCCCGCCCTCCCACGCAGCGATGCCCGGCATCAGAGATATACTCATGGGGTCAAAGAGCTCCACAAAGCAATTCCACAGTACCCGAAGAATGATTCCGTGAGCAACAATGGCAACATTACGTTTCGCGGTTGGATCATCGAATAAAAGCGGTAAGAAATGGCTATGGAGGAACGAGAGAGAACGTTGTCGCATCGAGACTGTGGTTTCTTTTTCGATGATTTCGATAGACGTGCTCCTACTCGAATGACCTGGTGGGGCGCTCGCATCGATAGACGGTGTAGACGGTGACTGCCAGCGTACACCCTCTAATGAACCAAAATCCCGCTCTCGTAGATCTGAAGTTAAGATGGGAGTCACTAACCCGCCATCTTTCTTAGGAGGTTGCGGGCGACAGATGCCCTCTGCGGTGATACGTGCTCGACTCAGATCTGACGCAAACACCGAGTCAAAATGTATAGAGTTGCTTGCAAATGTATGAGCAAGAGATTCTATTTGGAGCATCCCATGGTTTGTCAGGGCTGAGTCGGTCGTCCCTGCCCTAGGGTGTGGGTCAGTGTGCATGCACAAGGGCGATAGTGGCACACGGAGACGGCTTCATACCAAGCTTGTGCGATATTGTGGACTGTCTCCCCATGCCGAATGAGAAACACTCTCATTGTTCAGACACGTGCAGTTAGTATGTCAGAGTCCGACATGGTTGATGTCAAAGAACCGAGATGCAGCCATCATCGCTTCCGTTGATAGGTAGTCACGTGGTCATGCCCTGCTCCCCAACCCGGCAATATGCCAGTCACCGCCATGTGGGCATGTGGGGGCAACAAACTACGATCCCCATCTACTTATACTAGATCAAGGACACTGAGAAAGCGCTTGAGGGAACGATGAGATTGCATGGACATTTGGAGCAGTTAGAACTGTGAAGGAAATTGCCTTGAATGAAACACCGAACTAATTGCTCCGAAGAAAAACCTTGAAAGAAAACCCCTTAACCGCAACAAAAGTGGTATGTGCCATGAAAATCCCATCATCTACATCGCATTAAAGAAGAAACGCCGACTGGCAGAAGCCAATTCCCTCATTGTATTTTGGGTAAAGGAACTTTTGTAAAGCTTTTGCAGCGAACCGAAGGACCCCAGCTAAGAAACAGCCACGCGACGCGCTTAAGCAGCGAGCTGGCGGATCTTCTCCTGGACGCGAGCCTTGCGCTCGGCGTGGGTGAGCTTGGCGACCTTGTACTTCTTGGACTCGGCCTTCCACTCCTCCTTGGTCTTCTTGGAGCCCTCGTCCTCGTCCTTCTTGAAGGGGTCCTCACGGATGGACTTGTGGGCCTCCTGGTAGAGCTCCTCAAGGTCACCGGCATCAATCTCCTCCTCGATGTACTTGGCGAACTGGGACTTGTAGCGCTCCTCATCCTCATCGGCGAGGGTCTCCATGTACTCAGTGACGTGGCCACCGAAGATGTAGTTGCGGAGGGTGTCGGCATCGAGCTCCTCGGACTCGATGTCGTAACCGGGGAAGCGGCGCTCGGAGTGGGGGATGAAGATACCACCATCGGAGGCACCCTTCATGGCGGCGAAGACACGGTTACCGGTAGAGGTGCGGACGAGACCAACATCAAGGAAGGCCTTGAAGGGGCGGCGCTCGCCGTCATCGGTCTCGACGGCCTCCGTGAGGGTGTACTCACCGTCAGCCTCCTCGACACCAGTGAACTGCTCAGCGAGACCGAGCTTGGCGAGGGTGCGGCGGGCAAGGAGCAGACCGGTGGCGTACGCAGCGGACCAGTTGGTGAGACCCTGGGTGATGCCGTAGCGCTTGAGCTCGTGGGCGTAGGCAGAGGCGAAGACCTTGTCGCCGGAGATCTCAGAGTAGACGATCTGGGTGACGATGTCGCGGTTGGTGAAGCGAACGACCATGCGGTACTTGGGCGCATTGTACTTGTTCTTGGCCTGGGTGATCAGGCGCTTGCGAGCGTAGTAGTCGGTCTTACCCTCGCGACGGCGGCGGTACTTAGTCTGGTAGCGACTAAATGAAGAAGAGGGGGTCAGCAAATGATTCTCGACTGGTAAAAGTTTCAAAAATGGGAGAATGGACTTACCTGAAGTACGCATCGTTCTTGACAAGCTTGGTGAAAGGCTGTACAAGAAGACATCGCGAGTCAGCAATTTGCGCTTCAGAATTTCGTCCGAAGCATCTTGCAGGGACCCGGCTCCGAGCGAGCGGAGGGAGGAAGGCGTGGGAGCAGAATGTTGACAATTTCAACCATCTGCGATAGTAGACACACTCACCATATTGACGGTTGTCGGAGCTGAAGCCTGGTGGTCGTCGGTTGGAAGAGAGAGGGAGGGGAGAAATTTTGGCGGTGACTTTGTGGGGAGTTTCGCTTAGCGGGCTGCATCCCGCAACCAAAAGTGCGGTTGGCGACAACAGACTTTTGGGGTGGGCGACGAGGGGGCAAACTTACAGTACCGTACGAACTTGGTAAACACGGGAGATTGGCCAGCATTTTGAAAATTACAGTACCCAGCCTTCTACAAATTCCATATCTATGGGCCATAATGCCAACAGAAAAATGTAATTCTTTGGGATATGGTCTGACTGATATGCAACGGTATGATAGTTACCATAAACTACTGATAAGACAGAAGAACAGCAAAGGCATAAAGCAAAAATTGACTCGGGGTAATCACTAGCACTCTATTCATATGTACTATTCTCTCTATACATGGCTATCTTGCCTCACAGCCGGGCCTTATCCTCGCCCTCGAGCAAGGATAGACCAGTGATCTTCTCGAGCTCCTTGACAGCATCTTCAATCCTGCCCAGGGTAACCTTGACGGTACGCATACCAGCCTTCTTTGCACCCTTCAGGTTCTCTCCAATATCATCAAAGAAGACAATATCCGAAGGCTGAACCTCGGGAAGTCCGCGCTGCTTAGCCAAAGCCTTCATTTCTTGGATAGCCACCTGGTAGATCTTGGGGTCTGGCTTGCGAAGCCCGGTATGTGCGGACGAGATGAAGAAATCAAACTGCGATCGTACCCCGGATACGTCATTGTTGTATTCATGACCATCGGGGAACTTCACGGTATTCGATAGAGCCCCCATCAGATATTGCCCCGATGCCTTCAACTTCTGAAGTGCCGGAAACATGTATGGGTCCGGATTGCGGGATACCCTCATCATCTCCCAGAAGAGCCACTCTGCATCCACTTTTGGCAGTGGGGGGACGGGGCCGGGGGTCTGGCCCTTTTTCTGCGCTAATTGTTCATGGAACAGTTTCCATAGCTCGGGATTCTTGAGATCATCGTTGAAACCCGCGAAGAATTTCGCATCCATCGGGATGTGACCGCGCTCGAGCTTGTGCCAGCTGCCATTTGGCGACGTGCGAGAGATGCTAAAGTTTACCCAGCCTGGTGGGATGTTCTGTGCAACCTCATAGTCCAGGATCGCCTGGAATGGAGAAACAACCTACGAGGGTGGTCAGCGATACTCTCATCGTAGGGAAAAGTGACTCGACGTGATCTTACGCAAACTCCACCAATGTCGAAAAGAAGGCCGACTGGCCGCTTGGTCTCTGCCATTATGTGGTTGGTGTAGCAGCAGATGACGAGAAGTGACTTTTGCAATGTATAGGGTAGCTTGGAAGATGACTCTGTTGAGCGCGTGTATTATCAAGACCTTTGCGGAGAAATCCAGGCCCTTTAAAGTCGACCCTGGATTGCCGAGGCACTGAGCGGTTTGAGACCGAGGGAGTGTTCCTCACCAGCTTCGATATGAGCCTTTGTCAACAACCACTCTATAGACTATTATCATATATTAAGAGTAATATGCGGCGTGTTCGTTCATCATATAAGCCACCATGATTTCTATTGATCGAATTTGAAAGCGCAGCCTGCGAATGCAGTCCAATCCTCCTCCAGTATGCACCTCGGCCGTGGGGTACCACGTGATTCGTTATCGATAAGATTGCAAGTGAACGCGTCCCAAGAGAAGAGGAGCACGCCGCTCTCCAGCATCGAATACAAATAATGCGGTATCCTACAACAACGTCAAAGCAATGGATTCGGCTCGAAATATCTCGGAAATAAAATCATCTTTCATCCGCGGCCAAGTTCGCATCCTCTCCGAGAGTCTCGAGCCTCCCGAGGACTGGAAGAACTATGCAGTGGAGACGGAAGAAGGCGATCTGCCTGAGAAGGTGATTGGGGATGTATTGCACAAAGGTAGAATTCTCTCTCTGTAACCAAGAAATGGCCTGATTATAATTTCCGTCTACCCATAACTCTTCAGGCTTGGGCTAACCCATCACTAGTCAACATGGAAGCCAAACAACACAATCGCGTGGTCTACTCGTCGCAGGCAATTCATCATGTAGCTCATCAGATTGCCAGTCTCTATTGGTACTCGGTCAACCAAGAAACCCAAAACAAAGCATCTTTTGCCAATGGAGTGGAGAAGACAGAGGACTTGTCCCGGCATATGTGAACTCCCCAATCGTCCCTCCACACTGCTCTCGGTTTGCGCGGATCCCTGCTGACTCTCCTCAGGAATATCACAAAACTACCATTGGATATCGAATCACAGAGTGCGAGTGATGATACAAATAACAGGTCGGTCTCAAAAACGCCCGAGCGCCTTTCAATTAAAGTTCCGCCTGCCTAACCCCCGTTGTACAGATACCAACAGCTCCGAGAACGACTCGTCACGCTGGATGAGCAGCGTCAGCATCGTCAACAAAGACTCGACCAATTACGGCACTTACAGCGCCTGCTCGGACCTTTCAAAGATCCTCAGAAGGACATTCAGCCGAATCTTGTCACTCGGGATGGAGAGCTTGTCCAGGAATTGGAAAAGATGCGAATGCTGGCTGCACGGGTTGGAGGACGAATCTCTCAACAGAAACAAGGCCGTCTCAATACCCAGGAGAGCCAGGAATATTTACTACCAGGGTCGGGCCCAAGACTAGGAGCCTTACTAGATACGGAGTCATGACTTTTAACGACCTCACAAATATACATGGAGCATCCACAGCAAATTTGAAACCCGCCCTGGTCCATACGACTTGGGTGACAGAAAGCTCTCGCACTGCAGCACCGTAAGAGACTTGCGAGCCAGTCGTAGCATTTCCCGGTAGTCTTTTTTTCCCGATTACTTGATTGACTGTTTTTCCTCGTGTACATGCAGATCCTGCGAGGGTGCTAGACTATAAAGCCGCCCGACCTATATAGATTCCCACCCCCAGGCCAGAACGGTGCAGGGGACAGCAGGCGCCTAGTGGCCAACTTGAACGGCAATTGAAGCAAGAACCGCCCAAAGGTAACGAATCTTAATTTGTAGCAGGAACGCTTACAAATTATTTGAGGAGAAAGCCAGGTTTTGACGGTTCCTTGCAAGTTTCCATGTTGAAGCTTCGTTCTCCATTTTCTCCGTCATCCATTACACCTACACCTGTCAGTCTCGGAACGGTTCGGTCTACTTAGGAGAACGATCCTGAGCTTATCCATGAGAAATCTCCCCATACATTCACCAATCTTCATGCATCAATGAACGCTCTTGATCGGATGAAACGGTTGGTTGGGTTAGAAGGGGGTAGTAGTTCACAACACACTCCAGTGGCTTTGGGGACTTCCAGCAAGAACGGGCCTGCAGTGGTGAAGATGACTAACTCGATCGGGGATGGCGCCAACTCCCGCGAACAACGCCAGCTCGTCGGGGAACCACCACTTACATTAGATCTCGCCCTGACAACCAGTGCTTTTAACTTGGCTCCATCTGAGAACCGACAGCCTTGCGATCACCCCACTCACTCTGCTCAACCCAACCAGCCCCTCTGCCAGCCTCTTCGTGACTATTCCCCTGCGATTGGCCACGACGCCGAACCTCCCTCCCTCCCTGACTCGTGCGCCGCCATCATCGAGGGCGCCGGCTCTTCCTCCTCTTCCAAGGCACCTTATACACGTGGGCACCGCCGTCGTTCCACCCACGTTACTCACCGTGACCTTGAGAAGTTCCAAAAGGAGGTCCTGGGCGTTGACAACCGCCCCGCCTGGTACGACGAGGAAAACGGCTCCTCGGTCCCCATCAACCCTTACGATCCCCAGCTCTCGGAATTGAATCTCGCTTTCGAACGAGCCGATATGTCTATGAACAGCGGTGCCGGTGGAATGGCTGGCGGAAACAATCCAGGACCCAACATGTACTCCAATTTCACGGAGAATTCACCAACTTCCAACATGGGCAGTATGCAACGACAATCCCCGAACCCCGCATATCCTCACCCTGCACCGCCAGTCAATGGCGGTGGTGCTGGTGCTGGTGGGATGGTTGCTGCGATGAATGCCAGCATGCCTATGAATGCGGGGCATCAAATGGATTTGCATCATCTTTATGAGATGGTGATGGAGTTGAGTGAGGTGCTGAAGAACAACCGCGAGGTCACAAAGAGTATTGTCACAAGTGCCGAGGAGATCATGGTTGGTTTTGACTACACCAGGAATTGACAGAAAAGTTGAGCTAACACTGGAGCTAGAAACATGGCAATTCTGAGGATGCAAGTGCCGTCATGCGGCAAGTCAACGGCGAGATATCTGGTATGTGTTCGAAGTTCGAGCTGCCTGTTTAAAGCTCATGGCACTAACGTTTAGTTCAATAGCTGCCCGCATTTCAGAGCTCGAACGTGCCCTTGCCAAGGAGAAGCGGCTAGTCGAAGATCTTAGACGGGAACAAGTCGAAAACACCAAATTGATCGGTGAATACGAAGCCAGCGTCGGCACAATGGTGGAGCAAATCCGCAACTATTGCCAAAACAACAATTTGCATTTCCTCTACCAAAAGTCTCATTACAACAACCTCCTACAGGCAGAGCGAGACGCACACCTGGAGAGCCGTCTGGACCGGGACTACTGGCACACACAAACAATGAAATGCGCACAAATGATTCGCAATGCACACCGAATCAGGTCGAATGAAGAGGAGGTCCCCATCCGCATCATTGCTGGTCTACAGAATGAAGTCCGGGCCTACCGCAACGCCTTGGGGATGGAGCCTGAGAAACCAGAAGAGGAATATGGTTGGGAAATCCTCAAGGACGTTCCTAGTCCGGAATAAAACTAGACTGCAGTGCCGGATACTTGCCTTCAGTTGGATGATGGATGCCTTCATGACCTGTATTAATAACTTCTCGTTTCTGTTGCATAATTCCCGCTGGCGGGTTGGACTTTGGATGCCGTGATGATCGCTCTTTTCCTTCGCTTCCCCTTCTCTGATTCTCAGCTGCCATAATTGGAGTTGGGTTTTGTCTATGCAGTAGCTATCTCAAGTGTCCCGGCGGGATGCTAGGGATTCGAATCATTGATAGACTTTTTACTACCATTTTTCTTCAATAGGCACGAAACACGTAGGCAAGATAATCAACAATACTTCTTTCGGGACAAGTACACCTCTACCTTGAACACTGACTATAATAGAGGCTCCCGAGGTATGCCTAGGGCTTGATAGGATACCCGTAAATACTATTAGATTGAATTGTGAAAAAAGTCACAAACATAGTTGAAGATGACCGGGAAATGGAAGTTGAGCCATAAGATCTGGCGAGCGCTGCTGAACCAACCAAGTAAGTCACATATGTACAAGACCCATTTGATGGCTGTGAAAATCAAATTGGTAGCAGCAAGCATGAAAAAATAGTAATAGTTAATGATAATGCCGAGGATAAAGTAAGGTAATATTCGAACATGGACAGGCAATATGTATGACAGGAACGCTTTCGAACAGTAAGAGACAGTAGAGTGTGGAGGACATATCAACGACCATAAACCATGCGTATTGATAAGAGCTGGGATGTTTGAGATGTGGAATTAAGGAGGCGTGAGAGACTTGCTCTCAGAGCTCTGCTGAGTGTCGTTACTGGGGGGGTGTCTTAGACTCCTCTTTGCTGGCGCTAGGCACGGATGCAGCCGAGCGCAGACCACTGTTAATCTGTGCCGCAATCTGGGACTGCTTGAAGCGCTCAAAGCCCTCGATATCCTGCCGCTGAGCAGCCCAGAGCTCGTCGACAGTAGAGCCGAGCTTTTCGAAAGCCTGTTCGGCCTCGGCGCTGTCGAATGGTGACTGGGATTGTTGTTCGTGCAGACGTTCCAGCTTCTCTCGCAGAGCGACGAGATGCGCAGCATTGTCGTCGTCAGGGTCACCTTGGCTAAGTGGTGGGTTAAGGAAATCACGACGGAGGTTCTGGCCGAGTCGGTGAACATGGCCTTCTTCTGATGTCATGGCGCGGGCATGGAGGGAGGTTATGGAGCTGGTGCGGGAGAGATGAATGGCATAATGATCTGTTTCCTCGTCATCGATCGCGTTCTCGTTGTCTATGGCACTGCCGTTCAAGTTTCCGACCACGCTTGGTCCAGTTGCATCCTCTCCAGAAAGCTGTGAGGCGTTGTCGGGAGCAACTGATGCAGGAGCGGGCTGAGGGACGATACGAGTCTCCGGGTACTCGTCTTCGAAGCGTTGAATCATCCTATGGAGAGTAAAATCCAAGAATTGCAGACGCCCTGTAAGGAGAAGAGATTAGAGAAGGTTCGAATACTTTTTGCTGCGATGTACTCACTATAGTTGGCATCATTGCCAGCTCGGTCCTCGCGAATAAGGGCAGTCTGAATCCGAGCCCGAATGTTCCTTGCCGATTCCAACAGGTTCTTCGACATGTCACGAGGCCGCTTGGCAACAATGCCTCGAGACTTGCGGCGTCTGGGAGTCGTAGTACCACTGGGTGGCGCTGACTGGTCTCCCAGAGCATCGCTACCATCTTGGTTCAAGTTGCCAAGACAAACACCGAGCGCCTTAACAACACCAGTACCGCCAATGACATAGTCCTCGTCGGGAGCTGTATCGTCTTCCTCGTCACAAGGCTCTTCAGAGCCGTTTGCATGCCCGACAATATGTTGCAAGATATCAGGCACAGGAACATCCCTAGAAGGTGAGGAAATAATGGACTCGGACAGTTCCTCTGCAATTGCACCGCCCTCGAGGTTTCGGAGAGAGTATGCCACAATCTGAGACGCCAGAGCCTTGACAACTTCATTATTCTCTGCGGTGGGAATTTCAATGTCCACTGCGATGATTGTTCTCGAAACGCGAACAGCAGCCATCATGGAAGCATAGACTGCACATGCCTCCTCTTGAGCGGCCGCATCCGTACTGGAAGCTATATCTGCGATTTGAGGGTTCTCTAGAATATTGAGATGACAGAGGCTGGGACACTCTGGGAGAACTTCGGCTAACCCGATTACATGATCCGGTGAAAGGTCAACATCTGCCAGATGGATGCGCTTGAGGGAAGGCATCTTCGGCAAGAATCGTCGGAAGGCTCCTAGGGAGCTCGGTTGCGATGAAAACAGCGCGGGATTATGAGAAACATCCATGAAGCGAAGGTTGTGAAGTCTGGTAAGGGCTTGGAGCAACGGGCAGATCACAGCCGGCGTCAAAGAACAATCGGCAAGACTGAGTGCGAAGAGAGGCTGCTCAGGCTCAATGGCAGACACGATGAGATCAAGATCGTCCTTGATAAGGTTTCCGCCCAAGTCCAATCCTTCACAATAGCCATCTTTGAGGTACTCAACCACATGTTCGAGGCCTTCTCGAGTGATACCATTGTTCGCAAGACCCAATCTTCGCAACTTCATTTTGGTGGCAGCAACACAGATTTTCTTCACTTGATCCATTGACGGCATGCACTCACTAAGCAACAATTCTTCAAGATGCTCACCACCAAAGCGTTCTCCTAGAGCGTCAGCGAAGACAGTGCAAACATCAACAGGGGGGACCTGAGGGTGCCCTGCAGAGCCGGTGGAGCTATCAGACGATGATCGGGGCTTGGGAAACGGGACACCGGACAGGTCAATAGCCTTCAGAGATTTGGACAAATGGATGAACAGGCTGATGTGGCGCCATCCTTCACGCCCAATCTTTGGGTTATTCTTGAGCGAGAGCTTTTCCACAACACCCCATCGCACATCTTTAACGACAGGCGAGTCTGGCTTCCGGGCCCGTCTCCGCCGGTATCGCATCTGTTCAACCGTCTTGGTAGAAAGAAGCCCGGAAAGAATGGCTCGCACAGAGTCGTCAGTCAGCGCGCAATTCTCCAGAATGAGCTTGCGCACTGGTACTACTGCGAGCCAATCGCTGAATGTTGCGATATCTTGTGCAGTCATTGGGAAATTACTCAGGTCCAAAGCTGCGACGGTACCAGGAGACTCAGCCAGCGTTGAGGAAGGAGACGAAATTTCATCAACGATCCTCTTGAGAACTGGTGTTTCACGTAGTTGACAGCAGCGGCGATAAATCCGCACGGGATCTGTGGTAGGGTGACTCTGGGTTTTCGAACGAGAAATGCCAGCTGCCGGGGCACGACTCTCGTCCTCGTCGTTCTCCCCATCGAGCTGCAGCGGAACCGAACCATTGGCAACGGCTTGTCTGCGCTTGCGTTCCTTGCGTTCTCTTCTTTCTTCCTCCGATCGTTTCTTCTTCTCTTGCTTGCGTGTCGGGTCTTTGGTTTCCCCGTTGGGCTTTGCATCGGCGGAAGCTATCGGGGTAGTAGCCTCAGTTGCAGGGATTGTAGCCTGAGCATCCGCGGAACCGGTCTCCTGAGGGATTGCCGGTAGCGGTGCTTCCTCTTTAGTTACGGTCGGTTGAGGTGTCTTCAACGCCGCAGCCTCCTCTTTACTCTTTTCCTTGACATCGGCCTTTTTCGACTTTTGACGATTAGACTCGGGTAGAGGCTGTCGCAGTTGGTTCGTTGGTGGCGCATCCTCATCGGAATCCCGGTGTGAAATGCCTGCAATTTCCACATCGACACAGAATGCCACGCGGTTCAACTTTGCTGGGTTCAATTCCGTAATTTTGCACCGGTCTCGACCCTCATCAAGGTTCATCACCCGTCGCGGGCAAATCGCACCATTGGAAGGTAGCTTGGGGAGGCCTCCAGAGGAGTTTGATGAGAACTTGCGCAACGCATTATGGATGAAGGAGGGTCCCTTTGGCGAGGTAGAGGTGGATAGACTGGGGTCATCTTTCCTCTCTTCTTCGCGGTCCTTGGGTGAATAGGCCGCACCGAAGGGGTTGTGGGCATCCAGGGGGGAAGTTGCCTTGGGACTCGCAGGGCTTCCCTTCAGACTCGACTGTGACGGAGGTGTTGACCCAGAGGAAAACTTTGAGCTTAGACTAGATATCCATGAATTTCGCCGCCCGCCAACAGGCTTTGGGCTACTCTTTTGTACTGCGGGGGAGGGCGTCGACGACGGCTGCTTCGATGGCTCTGCAGTCTTCTCGGCTGTCTCCCGTTTCCCTTCTACCTTTCCAGTATTGTTTTGAGGTTCGCGCTTGGGTTGCGGTTTATCCGAAGGCGGGACAGCCGGACTACTATTCGAACGAGATCTTCGGTGGGAGTTGGGGGTGGCGGTCGTCGAACTTTTATCAGAAGAGGACTTGTCGCTAATCGTCGACGAAACTGACTTCGTTCGCGAAAGATGATCTAGCGAGAGCAAGTCAGTTGTTGCCCGACTGCCCACGAGAGGGCACCGGATCCCACCCCCGGGGATATACCCGCAGGCCGCCAGCACACAGGGCGGAGCGGGACTTGCGACTTGCCTTTTTGTGAATGATGAAGCCAGCTCACATCCACAGTCTGAACGCCCTCCATTTTGGAAGTTTGTTGCGGTCACGTTTCTCGAGTTTGCGAATGCCAGGGGCCAGCTACGAAGGTTGTGTGCGGGATAAGCCGTTGTGCGACTGTGTGGCGCGGAATCGAGGTCGAATGACAGGATAGGTCTAGATCGGATGACGCATAGTTGGATCCCCCGCTTTGCACGTATGACTATGCTCTAAAATGTAGAATTCGAGCCGAGCGATGCTCCGGTTGGTGACCGTCCAGGATAGTTGAATTATGTTGATCAAAAATCCGGGGTTTTGCGACCGAGCAGAACTTCCGGAGTAGACCGATGTATCTGTGGGGCGTACACCATTTACAGGTGACCGTGGGGCAGTCTCACCATCAAAAGGTGAGGCACAGAATTCATATTGTGAGAGAGTGAATAAAGGGAATCGGATATTCAGGTCGGCAGAAAAGCAAGCAAGATGAGAATCTCGAAGCGCTGGGAGCGACCGGATGTGGGAGAGGAAAGATTAAGCATCGATTAAGGTGACATAATCTCCCCCTCAGCTCAACTCAAAAGACGGCTCCACATCGGCACGTGAGGTGGTTACTGTACATTCCCATATTCTCGCCCCGTTTTTACGCCCATAGTTAGCTACTCCGTACTTAGTAATTATTAACGTAATTCCCGCTTACCCTGGCCACCCGCTTACCCTAGCCACCTACCCCCATTAGAAAAATTCAAATTCGATTAACTCAACCAACACCGATTAATTCAACTAAATATAGCGATTTTTACATGTATTAATCCTGTGGCCAATCTCCCTGCAACCACTACACCTAGGCGGGGCCCTAGTAGGTGGTGCATTTGCCTGACTAGGCAATTCGCTCTGCCCATGCGATACCATCCTATCATCTTCTACCGGCTGGTTTAGCTGTTCAACTAGCTGTAGGCCCTCTTCGACGGTCAAACCCTCTTCGCAGGGTATCTGCTTAGTTGACCTATTACGCTTCTTAACGATCTTCTCATTCGCTACGCGGAGATTCGCGTTCTCCTGCGCAAGTATTGCAGTGTTATGCAGCGCTTCGTAGTGGCCCTTGATAATGCGATCTAATATATTTTTTGATGGGCTCGGAGGGCTATTTGACCGCTGCTTTAGCAGATCTTTAAGCATCGAAGCTTGCTTTTGTAGCTGAACGACGGTTCTCGGCGTTTTTGGCGTGAATTGGCTAGATCTGCTGCTTGGCCGGCTGCTTGGTGGTGTAGGCGTTCGGAGAGAGATATTAAGTTTCGAAAGCACTCTCTCTGCATCGACTGGTACTAGGCCACTAGCTGCGAAGCTATTCTGAATAATAGCTAGCTTTTGGAAGGCCTCTAGCCGCGCGTGTTAGTAGTTCTCTAAGAAATCGCACTTGTCGATATGGTTATATCCCGTACGCGCAAGATCGCTTACGAAGCGACCGTACGCGCGTTTAACCACTGCAAAACAGCCAACATCTAGTGGTTGTAATAGATGCGATGAATGCGCAGGCATACAAAGAGGGATAATATCGTTTTCTGCGCAGATTCGGTCGAATTGGGGCGTAAGATGGCTACCATGGCCATCAAGGATTAATAGCCGAAACCGGCCGCGTACGCGCGAATTTGTTGATGGGATAAAGAGCTTTTGTAGCTAACGTAGGCCAATCTTATCGGTAGTCTAGCCATTATCAGAGACCTCGAATCGCCAGTCTTGTGGTAGATTTTTGAACCAATCCGCCATAGCCACTTTGCCTTTGAAGATTATACATGGCGGTAGCGAATAGCCATCTGCGCAAATTGCTTCGATTGCAGTAACCCATTCGCGATTTCCTGGCTGTAGGAGACGTCTTCGACCGTAGAATTCCGCTCGCGTTACTACCTTCTGCGAAGATATAAGGCCCATTGCAAAGCCTGTCTCATCAAAGTTGTAGATATCCTCCGGTTGTATCCCGTTCTCGTCAATCACGCTTTGTACGGTCGCAAACCAGGCTCGTAGGGCTTTTGGGTCTTCGTTTAATGCGCGCTGGTAGTCGTATCGTACTGAGAATCGTGTTCGAAGCTCATCGCGTCGTTCAATAAACTTTGATGGCCAATTCTTACCAACGGTAGGCGGAGGTTGGCTACCACGCGCAGCTAGTAGGATATTGGCCATCTCTCCTACAGTAGCCGGCCTAGGCGCTGCTCCACGCGCATCCATAGAAAGAATCCACTCACAAAGCGAATTCTCTTCTAATTGGGTCAGTTTATGGCGTGGGTGGCGTCTCTCTGCTATAGAGACTACACCATGAGCGCGTGTTTGTAGTGTAGCGCGTGGTATTTCGTATAGCTTCGCTGCCGCACGGATAGATTTGATACGGTCATCTTTTAAATCGGAAAGGGCTAATAGGATTTTGCCCTCTTGTTTGGCGGATTTTAGCCAGGATTCAGAGCGAATTGGTGGCATTGTAGGTGGTTAAAGTTGGTACGTGAGTAGGAAGACGCGATTTTGGATGGGGTGGCTAGGGTAAGCGGGTGGCCAGGGTAAGCGGGAATTACGTTAGCTATGAACTATTTGGTTCCAAGTTGCAAAACGGAGTAATATCGTCTTCGACTCAGGCCATTTACCTCTTCTGTGCTTAGTACAGGCCCTATAATCTTGAAGAGTTCGGGCGAACCACTAGCACGGCGTATAAATCAGTTGTTCCCGGATCTCTGGTGTAGGAGGACATTACGGGGGGAATGATTGGAACTCCGAGTGGCGGGAACCAGGTCGCTGGGACCCTCCAAGAAATGGGCGCCCAGTCGTGGTGCAATTCCATTTGTAGAGGGTGCGTGTATGATGGGCTAGGCGCTACTACTGCAGTTAGCTCGTAATAATTAAGGCGAGCGAGGCTCAGGAGCCCTTCAAAGAGCCGACAGACTTGGTCCCTTCCGTCATGCGATCGCCAAATTCTTTAGGAGGATTTCCTTGTTCCCTGAAAAGGACCCTCTCCTGAATAGGACCCGCCGCACTAGAGCTTTGGCAGTCGAAACCGTTGTACTGTACTAGTACTGTACAGTGGCCGGTCAAACGTATTTGGAACACATTGGCTTTCCTACACCGCCTACCTATGGTAGCAATGTGCGTCATCGGGCAAGCGATCGTATCTAGTAGATTCGCTTAAAAGGAATCACTTTTTTGTTAGTCCAGCTGAAGCAATACCTCAATGTGTACGGAGTAGAGTAGGTCATTAGATACATGAGATGGCGTATAAACTATTGAATGAGTTGGGTGGTTTAATTGGCAGAAAATTAAATGCGGCTTGTGGCGTGCTCCAAAAACTTCTGAACGCTGACCGTACTCCGTATATACCGGTAAAACAGAGTGTACATAGTGCCAAGTCGAGATCTACACTACATATACGGAGTGTGTGGACTCGTGGAGGAACGATGAGTGGGTAAGTAATAATCATGCCTGTGGGCATATGTATGTAGCTGAAGATCTGCGGATCTGGTGGCGAGGATGTACCCGGTGTATTGTTGAGCATGCTGGGTACTCTCGACCGCAATAAGGGAAATCGAAGCCAGTCAAATCGCCCCTGGGAGGCGATAATTGGGCGTAGCAAAGTGGAGTTTTGTAAATCATGTCAGTGGACTTCTCGGGTCGGACTCAAGATACATATTACGGGAGTACGGGGTGGAATCGCCTGCCCCAGCCGCTGGTGCGCTCTCTGGTGGGCACTGAGCTCACGGCCACTTCATCCCTCCCGGCCGGCCGTTAAATCTACCGAGCCCAGCAATTGCTTCATTCACTAATAGATGAGAAGTAGTGCCATGGCCCCATAACCCAATGACTTTACAGGAGATTCGACTTTTGGTCTGGGGGAGTGACGGACGGAGCACTGGATGCAGCCCACGCCCACAGTATGTGCCATGCATTGGCCATGCGGTGACCTTTCGCCATGCTTGATCGAGGGATCGAGTGCTTATGCATCGAGTATTGCATCGAGTCTGCTGCCGTTTATCTCCTCGAGGTTGTTGCCGGCTGTTTCCTTCTCCTTGTTGCAGGAGATGCCGGATGTCTCCAGGACCAGTTCTTTGGTCGACCTATAGGCCCTTTCCTGTTTCCCTTTCCTTACAGTTCTCTAGTTAGATCACAACCTAACTGTTTCCCTGCTTTCTGCTTCCTTGCGCTGGCAACCAAGTTGCCATCAGTCAATTCCTTAAGAAACAGTTTCAAACACAATTGGACTTGGTGCTTTGCTCTCCTACCTAGTTGATAGGCTTTCTACCCTGCAAGTAGTATATTGTTAACACAAAGGGTGCGGAAAGTTTGAGGACACTTCAAATCCCCGCCCTTTCAATCGACAATTACTAAACAGCGACCGATAATTATGTACTCAAACAACTTTCTAGTATATATTTATAGCTCTTTCTGTCTTAGTAATATTTTTCGAAGCTAAAATCCGTCGTCTTGAGAGCGTAGAGATGTTCTAATAGCGAATTTTCGAAAACTTTACCAAGTAATCTGAAGGCTATTGGTCCTAATTGATTATGAGTGATACGACCTATTTTCTGATATAGCAGATATCTTTAAGATATGTTTTTTCTATTATATCTTTCTTAAGAATTCTAAAAGTTTTCTAGTGATAATATACGTGATCAGAAAGGTAGACTCGGATTCTACTAATTTTTTGGGTATCTTTTATATAGGGCCTCTAAAATAAATATACATCCGCTCGCAATTACTACATATTCTAAGCCGAGTTTCTCTTCACAGAAATTTTGTATTCAAAATGTTTATGTGTAAAGGTCAGTTGTTTCCTAATTATCTATAAGATCTAACCTTCAAAAATAATCCTTGCCATATAAAATTTAGGAGATAAAGTGGTTTGTCCTCAAACCTACTGATAGGGGTGTATTTTGTGAAGTTTGAATGTAGCATTTTCTATTGAAAGGGGAGGGGGGGGTTTCCTCATTAGGAATAGCCTCGTCGTGCCATGAACTTTTCTGTCGGGCCCCTCAATGTCACCCTACAACTATCACGCTAAGCTGGATGTAATTGGGCACTTACAATATGAAGTGTCGATCTAGCATGGGTGTACTTATAGCAATACTGTTGGTAATGCGCCTGGAGAAGGAGATAAACTATGATACTGTTATAATCTCTTTAGTCTGCTGTCTCGAAAACTTTGATCCGGTTTCTTTTCTGTGGGTCGAAGGGGCCTGTGTACTTATTGGTCAAACTCCACATTTGTCTATGAATTTGATTTGAGACTGCTCTTACATCAAAAAGCGCTGGTAGTGTAACGGTTATCATTCGACCCTTCCAAGGTCGAGATCGGGGTTCGACTCCCCGCCAGCGCAACGTTCGGTTTTTTTGGCTTGAAAGATCATGTGATTTGCTGGTCAAAGCACAGATGTCCAACAAAATAATATCTGAGGCTCTACAGAAGACATGGTCATTATTTTGTTTCAAGTAGAAGTAATTTAATTAGTATCACTGGTCGTTGTTGTGTTTCTGGTGCAGAGGCTGGACAAAATGCTTTCCTACCTAATTGTCACGGGCCAGTGCCCGATATAGGTCACGTGTATCACGAGACCTTGGCATATTGACGTGGAGAACGCGCAGGATAAACTTCC